CGGTATTGACTTGGTTTGAACACGAGCAGATAACCTTCGACTGCTCATGCCTAGCCCATCAATTAAGCAGTCAATTTCGGCGATCTCCTCCGCGGAAAATGCTAACAGGGGGACTTTCCCACTAAAAGCAGTGTTGAGATTGGACCGATCGGCAATGAACCAACTCTCATCCTCTGGTGCCAGTAAGTCGTGGGAGGATTTCGGTTTTCCATTCCTTACGACTGGCATGATCTTTTTCTTCAAAAGCCTCGCCACAACACTACCAGCGTTGATCGAGTTCAGGGTAGGTAGTACATTGCTGATGTTCTTGAATAAAGTCAGGATGTCGGGAATCTTACTTGAAGAGTTTATCGAAAACGCTTTTTTGACCATTGAGTCAATGGGATTGGATGCAGTGGCAAGGAGGGTTTCAAAAAGATTTTTGCTCCTGGGATACTCAGCGCCGAGATCGACTTTCCTCTGCACACACTTGTCAAGGTTGGTCCAGCCGATTAAGTTTCCACCTTTCTGGCGTGTTCCTTTGACGTATATTACGTTTTCAGTTTTGAACATGTCCCTGACTATAATTAGCAAGAATAACAACCGCCAAAACCACTGAGCACGTACCGTACAAGCCATTCATTGCCATCGCACCTGTTCTGGATCATCTCGTACACATAAGAGATCTTCTCTCGATTTGGACTCGGTTCTTCTCGCATTCGTCTCAGACAAAGTGTGTAATAGTGAATGTTATTCTCAACCGTAATGCCGAAGAGGTTTAGCCTTTGCTGCAGCGTTTTGTTGCCTTTGGTATCCATTTCCAGAATTGGGAGAATGTCATCTTTGATGTGTGAGTCCAGATTCGGAAGTACGGTTTCCCTGAGGTGGACTTGTCCAACAGGAGTTTTCACAACAACTTCTCCTATACGTCGGAGCAGCGAATCTCTTGATAAATTAGAACCGTCTTTCCGGCCTTCTTTATCATTTGGATCGAGCCAGCGAGCATAAAAACGCCAGTGCCGATTCAAAACCTGGAGAACATCGGCGGTGTGACACCTTTTGAACAAGGTAACCATCTCTTTGGAAAGACAAACGCCATCTTCTGGGTTCTTCGAAATGGGTTGAACAAGACGTGGAATTGTCGAAATCTGGAGGAATTTGGTCAAGTAATCAATCCATGAACGTTTTCTGTCCGATGCAGTAAGATATGCATCATCTATGGTTGGGAAGTCTCTTGAGAGGTGGTCAAATAACCGCTGTTCTGGTGAATCCGGTTCAAAGCGCCCAGGCATGTACAACTTCGACCCGGGACAGCGTCCACGGTTTGATGTTGCAAACCAGATGGTAACTTCATCCTGTGACCTCCACTCCGCCTCGTAGAGGAATTTTACATGCGAAATGAGTTGCGCCCGACTCCAAGCTTCCGGTTTGAAAGATTCAGCAGAATGTAGTCGGGTGATGTGGCGACATAGCTCTTGTGCGTCGATGGTCCTTATGTCGAGACTTGTAAACAACGCTCGTCGAGATCTGTCTTCTGCTGCGGTTTCATCAACAGTTTCTGGGATAGCGATTCCATCCAGGAAGCCAGGCTCACTCAGCTTCCTAGGTAGGATCCCTAATCCGCTGTCCGCTGAAACCCATCTACCGTCATGTAGAGGAACAATATCCAGTCTCTGGAGGATTTCTCTGTTGGCAGCATCTTCTAATAGGGGAAGCAAGGCTTTTGCAAGTTGTGAATGCCACCGAGGCGACCGACCTTGAAAGCGTTGCGGGTCCTGTAATATCATGGTCTCAAGGTCTTGCAAGAATTCAAGACTAGACAATGTTGCCAGGCCGATCGAGAACAAGGAGCCAATCGCCTCCATTTTGTACTGTAGAGACAAATATCGACTTTCAGTATGTGGGCCAAGGGTAAAGGGCGTGAGGTTTGAGTCCGCAAACTTGGATGGATCGGCGTATCTGAGCGTAGAGGGCTGAGAGAGGCTGCCCTTGTACGGTTGCAGCACTTTGTTCTTCTTCAGATAACTAATGATTATAGACCTCGCGGGTTGGAAAAACGGCGATGTTTTGGGATCAGGAATGTAATGTGGCCAGAGGTATTTTAGATCGCCTTTGTTGAAGCACTGGACAGTTTGTATGAATGATTCCGCAACAGAATCACGGAGGGCTTGGTTCCAGGCTAACGAAGTATCGAGTTGCAGTCGGTTAGCACTAAGAAGGAAGTCGCCATGTAGGAGGAACTAGTACAAATGGTTAACTTTTGATGTATTCCGTAGGTTTCAAACATATTACCTTTAGCCCATAATTGCTGACCGGCAAGGTTGCGTATACATTCTGTGAGTTGGAAATGTTGGCGGTGAAAGACTGCGTGACGGGAAATGCAAGAGCAAGTTGCGAATGCTTGCAACCTTGGCGTCTACGCTCCTCAGGGAGATTTTCAACCTGGTGTTTCTGAACCACGTAATGAGTTGACTTGTGTCCGACAGTCAACTCTGTAACCATATAACCGTTCTCAAATTTGTCGGTCCTTTGGACATCTTGCGTCCATTCCTCTTTGCCTTCAGCAGTTTCCATTTTCAGAACAATTCTTCTGACCCGCCGAAGGAACAGCAGCAGCTCGGGGTCAAATGTGCGGAGATCGTTGATAAGAACGTCTTGTCTGAAGTCGCGAGAAAGTTCGAGATAGAAGGACGTGTGTCCTGACCGAGGGCCACCAGGAATCTCAGCCCATGAGGGAGCAATCATCCCGAACTTCACACGTTTGTCGAATTTGAATTTGTACTCATTGGAAGATATCCAGACCACGTCCGCAACTCGGAAGACACTCTTGAAACCAATACCTTTTTCTCCAGTACAACCACTGGCGGAGTCACGGTTGTTCTTCGTACTGCATCGAACTGTACAGATTGATTCTACATTGCGTTCAGTGAAACCAGTTTCGTTGCAGTCGACGCGGAGACTTCCTGGGCGATACCGCAATTCGAATGTCGGAATCGCGTCCTCGTACGTGTTGTCGTCAGCATTTTGTAGGAGTTCGAGAATGAAATGCGTCGCCGTGTCATACAACTCTGTAGATAGCCTAAAACACCGATAAGTGAAAATACAGAGAGCTTGCGAGGGGGTAGGTACGGACAAATGAAGAGTGTTGTTGATAATCGAGGCGAGTTTCTCATGGCCTTCGATGGTGTGTTCAGACTTGATCCTATCTATGAGTTCCTTTGCGTCACGTAAAGAACTCATGTTCACGTGGCCGGTTCTTGTTGGAGTTTGGCTGTTGTTTGGGGTTGTAAAAGCTCGCCCTCGGTGTTCTTAAACAGCTTGCCTAACTCTGCCACGACAGACCTCCACGATCTGTGTGAGGCTCGGCTTGGGTCAGTTGTCAAGGCTGTTATCCAGCCTCGCACCGGTGGTACACAATCCGCTGCAAATATTTTTCGAACAAGGCTGCTGCGCACCCAGTAAGTCTTACCTACGTGGCAGCGAAAAGTGGAAATTTTATTGGAAGAGGGGCAACTAAGTCTGGGGAGCGGTCATCTGAGGCTGACAGCTTGGTGGTTGTCGCTAAAGAGAACCTTATCGGTAAAGGACTGCCTAATCGTAATGGGGCTGTGCAATCATACGGCCCGAAGTCGAAAAAGTGGTGTTACACCGCATGGTAAGGAGCAAGAATGTAAGCCTATCGCATACGCCCGCATGAGCGATTATGATATCGAAAATCTGCCTTGGAAGGCAGCCTTCAATCTAAACCTAACTGCTCCGCCTTTGTGTGCTTCAATCCTAGTGCCTCGTCTGTGGTATTGAATATTTGCCACAAATAGAATGACGCCAAGTAACCTTGTTCGATGCGAGACCTCGCTTACAATTTGTGCACGTTGTGATTTCGCGATCGCGCTGCACAGCGCTATCATTGTGGGGACGCTCATCAGTAACTATGGAGAAAAGAATGCTTCATAAATCCAGCTTAGCAATAATCATTCGAACCAGTAGGCTTGTGATGATCCACTTACAATCTATCGTCCCGTGCGCTGGGGAGGTTAAAACGACACGTCGAACCCTCGACGCCATTCGCAACCAGGCTGTGCAGATTCTACGCCACGTGGCGGTGTTAGCACGGCGCAAGGCTGCCCACCGCTCAACCCGCTACGGTGGTCCCACTCCCGTTGTACTGCCCCGGATGGCGCAGTCACTTCAGCTCGTCGCCGAGACGCTCAGGCTAGTCTACTCCCTTGACTTCGTACATGAAGCTTGAAGTCATGGCGGCCGCCGTTAGCGCTCGCGTCGTTGCCGGCCTCTGTCGATGATGGCGGGGGGCTTGCCCTCGAGTACAGCGGCGTAGGGACTGCCGCGATAGAAGATGTTGCACGATGTTGACGAAGGGTAATATTGTAGGCGCAGGTAAAGAATGACATGAAGACTAAGAGGGTGGCTAGCTAAGGGGTGGGGTTGGCAGGAACGAACGCCCAAGGGTTGTACTATTTAGTGCTTCATTTTGGATAGCTCAATACATCACCCGTTCACCTCCTTAGCTTTGCGCCTTAGCCTGCCGATACAGCGGCTTTACACCCTGCTCTTCTGACTGAGGTAAATACGAAGTAGCTACAGTATATGTTGCAACAGAAGAATACCGGGGTTTCGCAAAGTCATGTTGTTAGGAGTCGAGATCTGGCATTTACGTGAAAAGCCGCTCATGTCTTCGTGCGCTGCCTCGCCAACTTTGGCGCGCGCTTACTGGCGCCGCCGCCGCCGCCGCAAACGACAACTAAGGTTGTGATTAGGCGAATCCGTGCATCTCCACTACCAGGGATAGGTTAGCTGTAACTAACGGCGCTAAACCGTCGTCTATCATCTCAATATTCACGTATAAAAGGTTGAAATTGGCACGTTTTGGCTGGAACTTTCGTTTGCACTTGAATTAGAAGCTGCACTTGATCTCGCTTAAAATCTAGCCTAAAATACTTAACCATTCCCCGCCTCACGACAAGCCACCGACAACCACAATAACAGTGAGCCTACCACACGCCATGAGCACAACAGATCAACCGACAAGTCAAGACGGGAATGCACCCATGGATCCGCCAATGGGCGAAGCCCGTCCCGTCGTTGTCGTCACCACAGCCGAACGTCTACCTGCGACACCCGGCGCAGTCAAGTCACCTAACAGCCATGTATCAGTGATCGGGTATCCTAGAGATAAGCCTTGTGGTGAAAACAATGGGGTGCGGCAGATTGCCGAGGTTGTCAAAATACTCGAAGACGCGGGTGTGCCATGTTGCATGGTTGCGGAACCACCTCTCATCTATTATGGAACCGGCCGAACAATGATCGTACGTGGACTATCCAGTTTCTATGTCAATGATCTAATGACTTGTAGGACTGGATGATATGTGTCCCTACCGAACAACTCGACAAGGCCGCAGACTTGATTCGGGCCGAGAAAGACCGTTTTGAACCGTTCATGCCTTCCGCTATGAAGAGGAATCGCGACATTGCGCATTTGTACCCGCGCTTCAAGTTCAAGGGAGTTCGGTTATTCTTTACATTGTTGTCCTCGAAAGCCTGCCACATCGTCTGCGAATCTCAAAACATCGAGCATAGCGACAACGGCATTCCGTACCCGCAACTTGACGTCTTCGCCCAAAGCCTTTTGGATACGGGCAACTTTATGGACTTGGAAGACTTGATTGACGGTATGAATGTCACTCCCGAATGGGGAGAACAAAACCTGAATCTCGATGGCACAATCGATGAAGATTGGCTGCTATGGAGGGAATCATGTTTGCTGGGACGAGAGCCAACTGCAGAGGAGCGCTTCAAGAAAATATCAACACGGCGAGAGAGATGGATAGAGAGTGCATCTGCGGAAGCAAAGAAAAGCAGGCAAGGAATCAAGTATAGAGAAGGCATGGTGACGAGATGGCGGCGTGAAGGGGACGAAGATCCCAGGATCAGAACGCGTAAATCTCGCTAATTCCCGGAGGGGCTTCGTTAGGACTTTGCCTCGCCGCTGGGCTAGCCGGCCTCCAGTAGGCCAGAAGAAAGATACAAACGCAGGTAGTCGCGAGCTAGTCAGCTAATAACTGGCAGTCGCTCTAGCAGGTTGGCTCCGCCCATTGTCACTGCTGGCAGCGACGGGCAGGCCGGCTACCGGTAGCCTTGGCATCAAGACTCTCACAGTTTCCTAGGCCTCTAGCGAGGAATAAGAAGAGACTCGTGTGCCGAAGGCACGTATCTTGCACAGACCAGAAAGGCGAATGATAGGACAGTCATTGATCGAACCAAAAAAAAAAACAGACAATTTCTCTCTGTCGCACATAGAGTAATTGGTGACCGCGGATAAAGAGATACGAGATCCCGCTACTCGCCTTAGAGTGGCTTCATGCCAAACATCTCTATGTATCGATTGAATTCCTCCTGAGTGACCAGCTCCATGCTTTCCATTTTCTCAAGCAAAAATGAACAGTTGGATTCGTCCAGCTTATCGGAAAAGCGACTGACTTCGTCGCCATAGTGATCCAACAAAAACTTGATGTCGTGGAAATCTTTCATGGCCTGTCGTTCCTGGTAGGCATACAACTTCGCCTTCATCGCAGAGAATAAATCAAGAAGGGAAAAGGACTCTGAGTGGCCAGTGAGGTTTTCGACATCGTAGTGTTGCTGATGGTTGGCTATCGAATCTGGTGTCCCCCAATGACCTTGTACCGCCTGTTAGCTTTTCATTCTCTATAGTGTCTATGAGTGGGTTCCAAGAGTAAAACGTAGATATTACGGTAACCTGAATGAGGTCCAACCCAGTAATAAATGTGGTCTTTAGGCGTCTAACTTGACCAACTCTTACAGTTACACTGTGTTCTTTTCCCCCTTTTTTGTGGGAACAACAAGAAAAGTGGGAGTCAATTAAATAACGTACCTTCCGCCATGACATCGGCCTCAACATCGAAATTCGTGGTGCAGTCAAGATCTCCGTATTTTGGACCAGTGTGTACAAACACCTTAGTTATATTGTCAAGGGTGACTGTGTTTGGAATGACAAGCCTATAAAATTATTATCATGTTCAATTCGATTCAGTAACAAGGTTATCTGCCTACCGTGGCTGCTGTCTGAAGATTGCGTTGATATCAATCATTCGAGCCCCAAGCACGAGATCAATATCCACAGTGTCGCGCATGGAACCGCGGATGTTCATTGCCAACCCTCCTATTAAAGCAATGGCAATCCCATTGGCCTCGGCAAGGCGTGTCATGTATCTGGCGGCAGCGAAAAGATTCTCGCGAGGCGGCACAGGCAGGTCGCCAAGTTCGGCGAGGTTGTACGTGCTTGCCATGTCGACAGTAATAGCAGTAGTGCCGAGTGCGACCGACAACGACGATTGTGAAAGGATTGAATAGAAGTTGATTGTTCCGCAGGTCTGGCTTGTCAGACCGTGCGGAAGAAAGTGTAAGGACAGAGACAATCTTTATACGTTGAATTTGACACCTATGTATAATAGGCTCGTCCGTTGTAGAGATCTGGAGAAGTTTTATCTGTCGTCTGCTGAAACATGAAACTTTCTATAATTGGCTATCCCGGTTTGAAGGTGGCTGACAGGGCTCTCAACAAGCGCGCTTGGAAAGCTTAAGCGACCCTTGAAGGGTGCTTGCAGGCATCGGAAGGTGTAAATTCTCATTGATCAAGCAGGCCCGCTTATGGCTTGATTGAACGCTTAACAAGCGCTTGATAAGCGTGTTTCAGACCGGTTTGGTCAATGATCCGTCCATTTAGCCGCGCGCGATTGGATGCGTGATTTGATGCCAATCGTACCCTCGACGATTAGCTTACCTAATTTCGGATTTTCGCAGTCGCGTGCGCGGTTGGCTCAGAATGGACGATTTACCACACTACTGACGAGTGTCTGTGGGTCAGAACGGGGTGTTCCGGGTGTTTCTTGACTGATCATCAGAGGAATAATCCGAAGATGAACGGCCCCCAACTGTGGAAACTCGCTTGGCATGCGGCGCAGCGAATGCTAAATACGTAGCTCGCTCTCCTTTCATGAGAGGTCTGGAGTAAAAGAAGTTTAGCAAATATGTTTGCGGCCTTTTTAGCAATGTAAATTCTCTGGAAAAATCGGGAAATTGTAAGTAAAGACTAAGGGGTACCCGCTAGGTTCACCTGTAGAGTCAAAAGTTCTGTCTGAATTCTGCGCCGCAGCCATGACACAAGCGCCCCACCAACAGTCATTGGTCACGCGCAGAGCGAGTATAGAGGGGTACTGCAACCGATGACTAGCGCGAAGAACAGCAGGGCCCTTAAACATAGTGTAGCTATGCCTCAATTCTTTTTTTTTAAAAAAAAAGAAAAAGAAAGAGCGATGAATAGTTGAAGCTACCGTCCGGACGTGGATGTATAATTATTAATTTCACGTTTACATCCAGATGATAGCTTCAACTGCCCATGTCAAGAGCCAAAAATAAATCCACGCTAGCCGTCGGCTGCAATACCCCCCCTGTAAGCCGCGGCAAACGCGCCGCCGACACAATCAATCAATACCAGCCTCCTATGCGACAGTGATGGCTTCCAGAACGTCTGCACGGCTTCCTCGTGTTTGGAACCCACTTCGGCGCCGACGCCGGTAACAGATAACTTCCAGCAGGACTAGTAGCTACCAGTAACGCAGGCAACTACCAGGAAGAATAATTTGAATAATGGCTGGGTACCTACTTACAAAGTCGAAACAAGAGACTCTGATGGTCCGGATACGCTCCCTTTCCTCAAGATCAGGTCGTATTTGGCATTTATATGTTTTCAAGACGAAAACTAGGATTTTTGTATTCATGATAGATAGTATATCTAGTCTTACGCTGAGCGGTGTTGTCACAGCCGTTGGATTGTTGCCGGTTTTTGAGGCCGGGTAGACTATGCGATGACTAAATAGACACCCAATCTAACAAACGACCACCAGGAAAATGGAGAAATGTCCGCTACATCACGGACAAGGCTGTATTGAATTTGGTAACAGAGGATTGAGTCATGCAAAGCATCAAAATATTCTTTTATCCATTAGAATGCACAATCTCATCCTCCCGCTATACGCATTCTCTTCTCACCACAGTGCCCTGCGTTGACATGCAACATGCATCTTCACTGATGACTTTACTGGAACTGAGTACGACTTGGCATGATATTCAGTGTTTTGGGGCGCGTAGCACCTGATCTTCCTACCCAAAAATGTCACTAGCTGCAGATGCGGCGACGCTTACGCTCAAATCCTTACCACAGATTGCGGCATCCGGGCCCCCGCCCTCCTCGCCGGCACAGCCTCTCTGCCCATGAGGATCCAGAGCATCCAAAGCTTGCCGTCACCCGTCACGGCCTTATCTGCGGAGCGCAATCCAAATGTTCTGATGGAATGCCTGCAGCCTAGTCAGTCTAATTATATCATCAGACATGAAGCTATATTTGCACTAGCATCATGTCTATTTTTTCCCGAAAAAAGCTTGTGTTCATCACAGCCCACCAGGCTATTTTAGCGTCATCCAACTCACGGCTGTAGCATGGCACCGCGTTACGATGGGCTGCAGAAACATTTTACTATTTCACAATTCTCAACAGGCCGAGACTTCCAATAGAGACGCTGTATGCGACACCCCCGAAGTACATGCTTCAGATACCTATATAAGTGTGGGGGAGGCTGTTGACATTTGCTACCCGTTGTTACCTCGCAAGACACAACGGGAAATACACAGCTACGCCAAGACTGAACTAAATGCGAAAGTCTTTGAACCATGGTTCAGGAAGCTTGGCATAGATCACGTAGATCCTGGTGCCGCAGGGCTGAAGCGGCTAGTAGCATGGAGAGGGGACATGATAGATAAATTGTTCGTGGTAATCCACCACTCACTCCACTTTCTACATCTGCCCGTTTACACAGTACATCCGCATTATCCTCTTTTAACCCTGGTTCATCAATCGCACCCCAATCTTTCTCAATGACATTCGGGTACGGAGGATTTTTCGGCCTCGACGAAGAGGAATACCGGAAGAAATTGCGAAAAGCATCAACAGAAGCCCTAAAGAAGCAGGAGATTGCAAAAACAAGGAGACAAGTCAGCTGCGGGTTGACGGTTGGGTCTGGCGTGGGTTGGGCCGTATTCACCTTCGGTGCAAGCCTCGCCTTTTCGGCAATCGGAGGGCGGAAATGGCGTGTTGCCAACCGCAAACTCAAGATGATCCAAGAGGAGCTGCAGAGACGTCAGGAGAAGCTTCACAAAACTGACTGGAAGGACGTTTGTATACCTGGCACGGCCTTCCTGGTCGGCAATGCAGTGGGTGTCGGTCTCGACTTCGGCATCGATGGCGTTTATGGGACAGTAACTCCAACGCCCGCGGACGGTCTCCAGGACATGATGTCACAACCCCAGGAAGCCGCGCAGGACTTCTATGGAGGAGTTATTTCGGAAACCAATCAGATTGTCGTTTCCGATGGTACTCATATCGCAGATCCCGGCACTGGGTCTACGGCACACAACCTTGGTGCGAACACGGCACAGGACCTGGTAACTGCCGCCGCCAACCTTGCAGTCCAACAAACGACCTGGTGCATTGCAGAGTATCTCGAACACCCGGAACAGAACCGTAAAGCATCGTGAACGCTTTGATGCAAACGATGCTTGGGAACGATTGGTCTCGTCTGCAACTATTGTCGGAAGCCGATTATTTCAGGATCGTATGTGCGTGAGTCCAGCTTTTCTATCTAAATGGCTCTTTCCTAACGTGTCACAGATTGTTGTAGATGCGACGATGACAACTTTGACCTGTGGAAGGATTGCCACAACAAAGGGAAACGTTGCCTATACTCGACATAAGCACTCAAGGATCTCCAGGCCGGTGTTTCTAGAAATATCTTTCACCGAAAACAAGATCTTGAACAGTCCGAAGACACGAACGGCTGAAGTATAATCTTCGCGGGGGACATATCGCCCAAGGCCGGTATTTCGTAAGTTCATGAAGCTCAATTCTGACGGCCCAGAACTAACTGAATAAGATGTCTCGATTGCTCACCATCTAATGGCGGATTTGATATCTGTCTCCGCTACTATATGAATGGTAGTGGTTGAAAAAGCGCTGAAAGTCATATCCTCTACTCATTCCCGTGGGACTTTATTTCATTGATGCTACAGTAGCAGCGCGGGATGTTACAGCAAGAAGCATAGACTTAGAAAGAAGAAATGAAGTGAGAAGGGGCACACATGACTAAATCCGGGAAGGCATTATGACTTACAGGTTGATAGCTATCTCATTCTGATTTCAAAATAACCTAAATAAACCAGACTCTATCATTCCACGAACGTTTGCGGTGGCCGAGATCCGCGCCTTTCATCTGTAAGGATATTCTGTTAACACAGGCACTGGATAGCATACAATAGCTCATCCATGCCCGCCCATCTTTTAGAAGTCCAACTCTCCAACACGCGTCACATGCATGAAGTTCGCTCTCAACGGCGTAACACTACAACATCCGGTCAGCCTCTCTCAAGTCCATTTGCACTTCAACCACACTCACCTCGTAAACCCATTCCGAATCGCCCAACTATCCTCCGGCGCCACACTGGCCCCAATCCCCTCCGCCACATCGCCAAACCTCGGCGGCGCCCACTCGAACCCCTTCTCTCCTGCCTGTCCCTCTTTCTCTCGAAACACCCTATCCCTCCCCCACCCATTCTGCTGCACCCGCGTCCAAACTACATCCTCTTCCTCTTTTCCCCATCCCCATCCCCCCTCTCCCCCCATCCAGCGGCACATTCACGCTATACACATGCACATCCTCATCCCACGTCCTGTACAGATGCTCCGCCAACTTCACAGCATGCTCGCACGCCTCCGCGACATCATACGTCCCGTCCTCGGCATGCGCGAAGCTGACCGCGATAGATCTCCTCCCGCACAACGCCGCTTCCATCGCTGCACCAATCGTGCCGCTGCTGAGGGCGAAGACGGCGGTTGTGTTTTTGCCGAAGTTGGGGCCGGAGAGCACGAGGTCGATGGGGGTGGTGGTGTCGGTGCCGGAGTGCTGGTGGCTGTTCAGGCCGAGCTGGATGCAGGAGGCGGGGGTGCCGTTGATGAGGGTCCAGGTGGTGGTGCGGGGGTCAGGGTATTCTGGGGATGAGGAGGTGGTAGCGGGATGATGGGGGAGGTCCGGGTTGCGGCGAGGATCGAAGGCGGTGGTGTGGTGGATGTCGGTGATGATGTGGGTTTTGCCGATCCATGAGCGTTGGGTGCTGGGGAGGATGACGGAGACTTGGTGGCCGTGGGATTCGAGGGCGGTTACAAGATGGTGGACGTAAGGGGAGGAGGGGGAGGGTGGTGGGCCGTCGTCGTTTGTCACCTGGGGTTTTCGTGAGTGAGTGATGAGGCAGTTTGGTGGTGGCCCAGTACGAGAATATGCATGGCCAAGTTGTTGCTGATGAATTTTCAAAGGTCAATGGCTGGGAATTCTCAATTCAACAGCCAGAGAAACAAACAGAAGCAAGAGTGAGCGTGACTAGTACGTTCCAGTTCGTAGCTCGATTAGCTCCGTTAGTAAGCTCGGAAAAATCTTATCTTCGGATAGGGTCACCCCTCCCGCTCGCACGGTGCCACCGATGGCAACGGGCGACAGGCTCCGTATGATACCATTGTTGTGGCCAAGTTGGCAATTCACTTAAAAGAGATGCTGAGATCGAGCTGCAAAGTCTTCCACAATAAGACTCTCGTGCCAAGCCTTTTCCCTGTCCGACCGGCAAAATGGCGATCTCTTCACCATCACGGCTTTTTGCCGTACCAGCATGTGTTCGGATATCGATCATCGTCTCTATCGGGGCCTTAATTTTTGGGTATGGGTTTCGCAGACGAAAGCACGGAGCTGTGGAGCTAACGGCTTGGACAGTATGGACACAGGATCCATTGGACCGGTCACGAACATGACCAGCTTCATCGAAACCTTCGGTTCCTTCAGCTCCACAATCCATGGCATCCTTGTCTCCAGTATACTCGTACCGGCTGCGATATCGTCTTTGGTGTGCGGGAATGTTGCGGATATCTACGGCCAACCCCGCACCATCATGTTCGGCGGGTTGGTTTTCGGCATCGGTGCTGCGATTGAAGCATCAGCCCCGAGCCTTGCAGCATTCATCTGCGGAAGAGTTGTTGCAGGAGTCGGAGAAGGCTTCTTCCTCAGCATCAGCGTCGTATACATATGCGAGATTTCACCCGCGAAACGCCGCGGACCTCTTGCTTCGATACCGCAGTTCGCGACGTGCCTTGGTCTGGCTGGCTGTCGGGTACTTTGTCTCCTATGCAACATCGACGCTTGGATCCTCTGCTTCATGGAGGCTGCCGCTCGCCATACAGTCCTTCTTGGCCTTCATATTCGCTACAGTGTGCACGCTGGTGCCGTCATCCCCAAGACGGCTACTTATTTTGGGTAGAGACAAAGAGGCTGCAAGAGCTGCTGGACGCTTGGGAATCCCGATGCAGGAGGTGGAACTGCTGACCTTTAGCAACCCGACGGCCAGACCAGAGGAGAAATCACCGAAAGCAGGTTTGCTGCAAAGCATCCACAACACCCTTCGAGACTTTTCCAAGCCCTGCACAAAGACGTTCGGAAGAGAACGATAATCGGATGTGCTCTCATGGCTGGCCAGCAGCTTGCAGGAATTGACGGTGTCTTGTATTACGCGCCGCTCCTGTTTGAACAAGCGGGCTTGACCTCCGAACAGGCCAGCTTTCTGGCGTCTGGCGTCTCAGCTATTCTGATCCTCGTCGCCACGGTTCCTGCCACCCTTTTCTCGGACCGGTGGGGGAGGCGTTCGTCAACGATTTGGGGAGGGCTTCTGATGACCGGCTGCATGTTTCTCATCGGATCCCTGTACGCGTCCGGCAGCGTACACACCACACACGGAGCAGCACGGTGGGTTGTCATTGTGACAATCTACGTTTTTGCCGTCGCCTACAATGTCTCGTGGGGCATTGCCATCCGGATTTACACGAGCGAGATTCAACCAATCAAGACACGACCGATTGCGTGCAGCTTGGCGCAAAGTGCCAATTGGGTAAGTTGACCAATTCCTGCAAATTGAAAAAGACTGACATCAACAGTTTGCAAATTTTGCCGTTGCTCTGATGACTCCTGTCTTCCTTGACCGATCGCCATTCGGTGTCTATTTCTTCTTTGGTGCGTGCTCCCTTGTCATGGTACTTGGATGCATGTTTGTGATGCCGGAGACTCGTGGCAGGACTCTGGAAGAAATTGATGCTGCCTTCCACCACCACGCTCCAAAAGACGTGAAAGGAGAAGTAGCATGTGATTTCACAGTCATTGAGCTTCCCAGCACCTCCGCCGGCCAGGAGAGAACCGTCGGGGAGGAATAAGGTGCGCGCCCTTTCAGACAGTTGAAGCCGTCGGAAACCCCACCGCATCAAAACAATTTCATTCCTGGTAGACGAGAAAAGATAGACATTTCAGACTGACCCAGAGAACTCAAGAAATTGGATATTTGTATTAGCCAATACTATTGAGATGTACTTAAGTTCTCTCTCCCCCACCTTCCTTTTTCATCTCTCGTGCCAAAGTCCGGCTTGGATTGAACCTGGTCAAGCTGAATTGCCCCTGAGTGGACCTTCAATCAGGCATCAGCACCATTCATTTCCTTCGCCCAGAAAAAATTCCAAAGTCTAAAGGTATAGGTGGTTGACTAGTGTTGAAAAAATACGAGATACCACCACACTAGCGATCGCTGCCTAGCGCACGAGCGCTTTCAACCGCAAACACCATCACTGAGACACCTTAGCTCCAATACTATATAAATATCACCAATATCGTCCCCTGCAGTCTCTAAACCACCATCAACCACCCCCTCCACCCACTAACTAATAGCCCTTGTCCATGGAAAATAACACCACCACCACCAAGCGGCTGCAACGCCCAGGCTTCGGCCTCCCCATATGCTCGCAGCCAGATCAGGACACCTTCCCCAGCGCTGTGCTTGGGTGGAGCCCGGACCCAGCTACGGAGCGCGAGCACAGCATGCTGGCCGTCATGGACGCGCTGACCGACAAGCCGGACTGGGAGCACAAGATCTTCGACGACGCCATCGTCGCGCGGTGGCGTTCTGAGGCAGTGTACGAGCCGCCACCGCTGCGCTCGTGGTCGCATGTGACGCACACTACGCGGCAGGGGTTTGACGATGCGATGTTTGATTTTGTGAGTGCCATTGGTGTTTACGATGATGCCTGGGCTGACGGTTTTTGCACAGTGCATCGCCGAGCTACGCGACAAGGCCGCCATCTACGCCTCGAAGCGCTTCGTCCGCGTGCTCGACACGGGCACCGCGGTCGCCAAGTCCGACGTACTCATCCCCGACTCCCTGCGGCAGCAGCTGGTGCGGACGGTAGCGGAGCTGCTGGAGGACGGCGTGCCGGAGGCGAAGAAGGACTGGCACCCGCGGTCGGACGAGCAGGTGCTGGACCTGGTGCACCCGTCGCTGTTCCCGCTCGTCTACGGGCGGTCGAAGATCCTGGGGGACGGCCACACGCTCGGATTGGACGACTGCTTGGCAGAAGCCGGCTGCGGCGAGACGGTGCCGCGCGAGTGGATCGAGCAGGTGTGGGGATCCCAGAACAAGGTGTGCCGGTATTGGAACAGGCCGCTGTGGTCGAACCACTTCCAGTGGCTGCCGTGCGAGGTTGCGTTCACGGAGGAGGGGAAGACGCGGATTGCGAGTTATGTGAATAACTTGCATCCGGTCAGGCAGAGGGCGCTGTACCCCCTCATTGAGCGCGTCATGGATGCTGCGATGCCGCTGTGGGAGGAGGTTCTGGGGTACACGGCGGAACATCATGAGGCCGAGTCGTACCAACGCGTGGCTCTTGACGATCCGTACTATACCTACCATGATATCGCGCATGAATTATCTTTAGGTTGGGACCCGGACGATGATGACGAAGAGGACGAAGAGGACGAAGAGGACGAAGAGGGGGAGTCCAACGAAGATGATGAAGACGACGAGGAGTACGAGGAAATCGAGGACGACAGAGACGAAGAAGACGACGGAAATGAAGCGGAGAAACCAAAGGATAGGAAACTCACTCGACTCGAAAAAATGGACTCGGTCCGCACGATCATCCTTCCGAGCCCCAAACCCTACGATGAAGATAACAGCAAGCACACTTCCAAAGAGTTCAAAGTCGACCTCCGCCAGAAATTCGCTTCGGAAGGTCTTCAGGTCATCGTCAAGCTCGCAAATATCCACCTGAAGCCCGAAAAGCCCACCTACCGCGGTGGATCATGGCACGTTGAGGGTATGCAAAATGAATGGATTTGCGCGACGGCCATCTATTATTACGACTGCGACAATGTGACCGATAGCTACCTCGGATTCCGTCAGGGTGTCGACACGGAGTATATAACAGAGAAGCAAGAGTGGCAGGTAGGAGCGAACTTTCCCAGTCCATTTCCTTTGCTGGCTGACTGGCTGACGCTTTGTAGTTTGATTGGGGTGGACTGGAGTATATCTACGGCTTCAGGCAGGAGCAGCCTTCGATTCAAGACGTGGGTCATGTCCTCACGAAGCAAGGCCGCCTGGTCGCCTTTCCAAATGTTTTCCAGCACCGCGTCGAGCCCTTCAGCCTGCAGGACCGCTCCAAGCCAGGCCATCGTAAGATCCTTGCCCTTTTCCTGGTCGACCCGCACCAGCGAATCATCTCGACGGCGAATGTCCCCCCGCAGCGTCACGACTGGTGGGCTGAGGAGGTCGCCAATGGGCGGGTCGGAGAGCTTCCAGCGGAGCTGACGGAGATGATCACCATGAACGTAGATGACTGGCCGATGGGTATGGAGGAGGCAAAGGATCTGAGAGAGGAACTGATGATCGAGCGAACGGCGACTGAGGCTAAATTTGACGACCAGGTGTTCGAGAAACTTAATTTCTGCGAGCATTGAGGACTTATTGTATCAGGATCGTAAGAGCCAAACCTTGTTGTAATTCAGTAGAACTCGGCGATACGATCTGAATAGCACGCATATTTGTTCATGAAGTAATTGTGTACGAATGAAAGCTTTGCCTCCTTCTAGTTGCTTATAACCATACTCCAAAAGTTTACAATTTCGCTTTGATGCATGGCAGAGGCCCTAAAAACACACAATGACGTCCGGAGCTTCCATATTCTCACACACTACAGCTCAATCTCACACTCCCTCGACTTGTAAAAAATCTTTGCGCTCGGATCCGGGACGTACTCAGACTCAGTAAGACTCTTCGGCTGCCCGCCCTCAAACTTCCAATCATACTTCAGCAGCAAGTGAGCAATAGCAATCTTGATCTCGTTGCTAGCGAAAAAGCGGCCGGGGCAAGCATGTTGTCCTACATTCCATCATCAGTGAGAGTCAAGAGGAAAGCTGCGCTTCGACAAAAGCTTACCGTGCCCAAAGCCCAGATGTTCCGCACTGGTAGTCACAAACTGCCAACGGTTCTCCTGTCCGGGCTGGTTGCGCATATTCAAGAACCGGTGTCCGTCAAACTTTTCCGCATCAGGGCCCCAGTATTTGGGATCGAACATCTGGTAGGTCGGGACGGAAATGAAAGACCCCTTAGGCAGCCTGGTGCCATCCGAGAGTGTGACGGTCTTCTCCACACGGCGCTGCATGGCATCTGCTACGGGTCAGCACCAGCCCGAACGCGGACTTGCAAGACAGAACAGCAACTTACTAGCTCCCAGCACATGGACACGCTGGCTCTCCTTCATGCAGCTATCCAGCAGCTTCATCTTGTACAGACTCGTCTTCTTCCACCCGCCATCCTCCTTCAGCACCTGAACAATCTCCTCCCGCAGGAGGTCGATGTACTGCGGATTAGCCGTCAAGTCGTAGAGTAGCGTCATCAGCGTCATCGACGTCGTATGAATCGACACGACACTCAACAACAACTGGCCAGACACAAAATCAAACGGGCGCCCCGCAGCCACATCCTCAAACCACCCAATCGCATCCGTCGACTTCGTCTTCTCGCCCCGCAACAGCGCCTCCTGGCGTGCGGCGCGGCGGGCGGCGATCTCGGGCTCGATGATGGCGCGCGCCTGCTTGACGTGGTTCTGGACGGTGCGCAGCTCGGGCAGGAAGCGGTAGACGAGCGGGCGGGCCCATGGCGCGTAGGTGCGCAGCACGCGCGCGGCGTTGAAGGCGTCGACGGTGTAGCGGATCGAGATGGCGAGCCACTCGCGGTTGTGGCAGATGGGCTCGCCGAGGAAGACTTTGGCCGAGAGTTGGGCGGCGATCATGGGGGAGACGTGGGAGAATTGCATGGGGGTCCAGTCTGTAAACGTCAGCTCCCGTTCCAATCTCCCAGGGTACCCCGCGAAGCCTACCTTTGGCTGCTGGGATGAGCTGTCCGATGACTTGGGTGGCTTCCTCGGAAAGACCGGCCGTCATTCCACCTGGTATTGTCAGTCTCATCGGCCGCTCGGTGATGACGGTGCATGTGGAACGAACCAAGCGCTTGCGTGAGGTTCTTACGAACGACGTCCTGGAATATGTGGTGGTCTTGGATTCCCTCTCCAAAGACGTGGAGACCAGGGTAGGAGGGGAAAAAGTCCTAGCCAAAACATTCAGTACGCATGCATATACAAGATCGCGGGGGTTCATTTTACTTACCCTTGCGCCAAAACCAGTCAAAGAAAGATGCTCGTTGTTCCGAATTTCATCGGTGAAAGAAGGTGGTAGGATGATGACAGGCCCATTTTTACCAATGACCTGGAACACCTTCCCTTGACACTACAACACAGCTGGTGTCAGGACAGTATGCTTTCCTCTGTTCTTGCATGTCCACTTACCTCATCCATACCCCGCTTCATAATCGAGATGGCGTTCTTAACGAACCGCTCTTTCGCCTTTGCATTGGTCCATTCTCCCGGCTCTTTTCCAATGAGCTTGAAACCTGGATACGGCCGCTCTTCCTGCGCATAGTAAATGAAGATAGAAGCAATAACGACAAAGACAGCAAACAACAACGTTCCCAGTGGAAGGGTGCCGTCGCTGCTGGAGGAAATAACTTCGAGGGCCATCTTTGCTGTGTGTAAGGAAGGGTCCTCCGCAAAAGAGGAAGTGTGGATCTGGAGACGGACGCCGCGCTCCTGCGATTTATATAGAACACAGACGGCCACTCCCCTCGACCCCGTCTTTCGTTCGGTTGCGGGTCCCGAAGACGAGTGTCGCACAGGGGGGCCGGATCGCTGCTCTCCCGCTTGCACAAAGCGCCGATCTTCGTTTCAAAATACAGGCCCGCCGATTATTAGCTGGAGAGATGTCCGCGCTGGTGCGTCGTCGTAATGCTGAGCTGTTGATTGGTCGACGCATACGCGCGACTGTAACACCGCTGGGTCCGCGCGCCGATCCTGGGGCCGCGTCACGACTTCACAATCTTAAAGGGGAACGATTGTATCTTTAGTCTCACATGAGGCTGAGTTGCTACGTTCGATGATGCTCGGACCCGTTGTCAGCCTTACGGGCCCATCGGAGCAGCTGTGCTCTCCGCGGTTCAATTAAGGTGCGGTGGCTGAATCTTTGTTCGCCAGGCGTTAAATTGCCGGCTCAGGGGATTACACCAGAATTACCGTATTTGATTGGATGCAGTGTGTTCTCGTAATCGTTTTCTGCCCATTGGTGCCTTGTTGTGCATCCTCGCATTCGGGTTGCGCAATACGATCCCGTCGGATTCGGAAGGCCAAATTGCGGGGTTGCCGTGAAACTTATACATGACTGCCTCTACCAGACCGCTGAGTTGCGCAAAGTGAATTCCTTGCCCCTTTTTCAAGGAGTGTCAGTCGTACTGCCGCGCTTCTTACTGGCTAGCCGACGAACAAGCGCATGCCGTTCTGAGAAGCTGTCAAACCACAATATGACATACACGTGCCTTTCTCTGCGTGGTTAAGTCGCACCAAAATGTATCAATCAAAATTCAGTTGATAGTTTACTAAAGCAGCTTGATTTAGCTCACCAGGCTGTAGTCATATACAAATACTTGCCACATCCACTGCAGTTGCGACATGGAATAGCGAATCGAGTAAACTTTACGTATCATTACATTAAACCCTTGAGCACACGTTGCGAGTGCTCAACAAGAGTTGCGTGCAACTGTCTGCTCTGTTACACATATATTGTAAACCAGGCCAGACAACTGGGGAGATGCCGTGAGTATTGAAAGCATATTTTATTCTGCTTGAACCTGAGACGTCATCAGGCTATTAAGTATATAGCTATCCGTTCAAGCATAGCTCGGATGCGTTTCCGGCAAAGACGGAACAACTGTCGTGCACATGGGTGTTTTGAATGCCGGTCCGACCGAAGTGGGGTTCTACGGATGCCTATCCGATCTGCCGAGCTTACGTCATTGGAGCCACCATAAATCAGATGCCAGAGCTATCTCCTCTCGAGCTATCAAAGGCACATCTTTCAAATTCCTTCGACACAATCTCATAGCAAAGACCATCGTCAATGACTCCACGTCCCTGGGCTCTTTAATAAGTGCCCATGGTATCGAGGAAGTAATAAACTTTCTCATCTGCCTTAATGGGTCCTCGACTGGGCCGGCAAGCTTCCCGTGACGTCAACGCCCATCCCCGACGGCACGAATACGTAAACGTTTTTGGAGCTTTTGCTAATGTCGGCAATATCAACCTTGCACTCATAGGAGCGAAGAGTACGGACATCTTTGGAGCTATAGTCCGGCCGTATATGTCGAAGTTCCAAGGGGCAGGGTGTTGTTTCGAGTTGAAAGTATTCCACACCACAGATTTCCCTATATCTTGAACGGGCCGAGCCATATATGCATCAAACGTACCAAGGAGATTCTGGATCACCTCCAATAAGAAATGGACTTGCATCTGAGTGAAGAGGCCACCGTCGAAGCTGCATTCCGAACAGAAAATTGGAATCGGATCATGAACGACAGTCCATCTCCGTCCTGTCTTGTAAGAAGCTTCATGAAGAGCTTTTAGATGCCAAAGCTGATGCATCTGACCCTATGGAACTGAGAAATGTTATACAAGCTTTATATAGTCGAAAGCTCGCAAGGACAGGCACTAGCAAAACTGGTATTCCACGGGAGACCGCCACTCCTGGCGATCATGTGGTGGTCTTGCACGGCTGCAGAGCTCCGGTCGTGCTGAGAAGGCTTGATGATGTATCGCAATTCCAAATCCTGGGCGACTGCTATATCGAGGGAATTATGTTTGGTGAAGGTGTGGTCTGGGATTAAGATGAAGCTGATGAGATCGTCTTGATTTAAGCAGCTTAAGAAACCTCTTTTCATAGTTGCCAAAATTACTAGCTCATCATACTGACCGCCATATTCAAGATCAAGACCCTCTTCCTAGTGGAGGTGCAACAGAAGTTGTTGTCAATTTTTTCTACTAGAAATAGGTACCCTAGTTGCAATCTAAAGAAAGCGGATAACCCCGACCACATCAATGCCCAGGCTAATCTCTAGTGTCATCAGATGGACTTCACCCCCTTAGATTCGCATGTATGCCTTGTGCAGTCTCTGCTCCAGCATGTTCCAGTATGTCCGCAATGACATCCTGGCTATTAATCCTTGCTTGGTCAAGTGGGGTTGTGCCTTGGTCCGAAACTGGCGATAACTCAGCTCCTCCTTCAAGTAAACGACAGACACATTCTACATGACCATTGCTCGCCGCCCAATGTAGCGGTGCCCATCCAAATCTGGTTCTCAGTGACGGTTCAACACCTTGGCTTATGAGAAATTCCACCGTTTGTGCATCACCCCCCGCCGCTGCCGCATGAAGAAGATTAGGATTGGCGCTATTCTGTCTTAGGAGATTAAGAACTGGGAGGAATTAATTCATGAATCTGTCTTCCATCACCGCAGGGTGTTTTCTTGCTTACCTTTAGCTCTGTCTGGAGTTGCACTAGCATTGTTCACCCGTAACGACGCATTCCGTTCTAACAAGAGCTTAGTTATCCCAACGTCGTTGCGTTCCATAGCGCGGTGGAGGAGAGTGCAGAAATCGAAACCTCGAGTGCTGGGATCGATCTGGTACTCTAGCAGTTTCCTGACGGTCTCGACATGGCAACGCTCAACGGCCAAGAAACATGCTGTTGTTGTGAATCTAGCCCATTTTGGTTTGAGGGGTGTCCGTGTATTTCTAGTTGAAAGATCAACTTTTCCGTGCTTGACAAGTTCAGTAATGGTAGCTGTGTCTCCGTTGTATGCCGCAATGAGAAATCCGGTGTACCTTCTTAGCTTGCGTGGCGGGTGCGGTTTTGACACAGGGGGCTTGGTCCTTGGATTCAATCCCTGATAAGGCTCTCTTCTCGGAGGAGAGCTGCCGGCCTGGTTGTCGTGTGCGTGTGATGGGCCAGTAGCAGAATTATACTCTCGACCACTAGCATCGCGAAGTATCCTTTGCACCGTACCCCATAAGTCCCTCCGAGCTGCATGAAGGAGGAAGGAATGTCCGCTCTCAGTAGTAAGGTCAACATGGACGCCATGCTCCATAAGGATTGTGATGATTTCGTCGTCACCTTTCTCACAGGCGATGACAATCGCGGAATTCCCGAACTGATCCAAAGCATCCACATCCATACCGCTGTGAATGTACTCATAGACCAGGTGGGTACACCCCAAGAACACTGCCAAATGCAGTTTTGTTGTGATCCATAAAGAGAGTGGAAGCTCCTGTCCCGGATGATCCGGAACATAGATCGCTCCCATTTTCTGGAGCAGACTTTTCAACCAGTTCAGTTTAACCCGCTTCTCCAAAGGATCTTGGATGATACAGTAGTATGTCCCTAGGCGGAGCAGGAAATTGTGATAGAAATCGCTCTGGTGTTGGTTCTCCAAGAGTTGTCGAATTGTTTGTGCGATTTTTGTGCTGATCGTCTCATTCCTGATTTCCCGAATATGGCGATCCAGATACTCTCCGGCGTACCGAGCGAAAGGATAATCCGTGTGTTTATCCATCAGTAGAACGTCAGGCCGCTTAATCGAGAGTATGCAAAGATAACTTGCGCAGGTAGAAGCGATGCGGCAGCGAAAATCAAGGAATTCTGCACCTTTGTTGACGGCAAAATAGTTCTGCGCTGTATAATGGACAAGGCCTACTGTATTAGCCTCGTCAATTACAACCAATCCGCAACAAAATTCTTGAAGATTTTCCCTGCGCAGCATCCTACTTTCCTGGATGTCGATGTCTCCTTCTTCCACAGCCAGGGCATGCAACATTTCTTCAACTAACAGCGGCCGAGATGCCCACACGATCCAAGAAAGTATCCGAATGGCATAATCCCGCTTGGTCTTATCCTGGGCTTCGATACGCCCCATCGTGATTCGGTAGAATTCCTGCAGATTCTCAGGAAGCTCTTCTAGTTCTTTGCGGACGTTGTACGGCGACAACTGGGCGGTGATTGCATCCATGTAAAGTTTGGCCAAAAGAAACCTATACATATCAGCTTAGTGCAATACTAAAACCAACATAAAGTTTTGACCTTGTCAATCCCTACATTTGCGATGACTTTTGGGTGACACTTTCCCCAATATCCTTTCTCAGATTTGGATCTTCTTTGATCGTATCTTGAAGGCCGCCACGTTTTTCGATAACGTAATCGATGTACCTTTGAATGTCGTCACTCCGAGCAGCGACTGGAATCTGGCTGAAGCCTTCGGCCATTCTGTCAAAGCCTTCAAATATTCGAGAGGTTACCAACAGATTGATATCCTTCCTGATCTTCTGAAGATGATTGACGAGGTTGACCCGCAGCTCCGGTACGCATTCATCCAACGCATCTACAATTATGTAGACCTGTCGATCACGAGTGACGTCTGCAAGTATTTCGTGAACCTCCTCCAGCGATGGATGTTGTTGGGCAGGTGAACTCCTGTCGAATATATGGCGTTGACGATTCCAGATTCTCTTGAGCGATGGTGGAAGGTTTGTCGAGTCCAGGAGTTGCTTAGCGATGCTACCCAAAAGGTGCTCCAATGGAGGACGGTCTTCGTAAGCAAGGTAAAGATATGCCACCTCTGGTTGCGGCCTCCTCGAATTCCTTGGCAACTTTTGAAGATGACTGATAATAATTGAACTTACACTGATATTAGAAATTATGGCTGCCTTATGGACGCAATTACTTACGCTAGAATCGTTTTCCCCGCTCCAGCTTTGCCTTGTTAACCGACGGGTCCTTCCATGGGCGAAAATGGTCTACTCACGCATTCCGACGCACCAGAGCTTGTGGGTCTCTTCACTACCCCAGGCCACGAATTCGTTTGAATTGATCAGCCATTGACCAGTGTTTGGGGCCGTGATCTTTTCGAATTCTTGCTGCTTTGCCAGGTAGTCCAAGGGAGATAACCAAGTAAGCACATTGAAATTCGTTTCTTGTCTGTTTCCGTAGACTACGTTCGTTACAATGATGAATTTAGGTAACAGCAGGAAATTCCCTTACCGTTCTTGATTACAGTCCCTATCAATTTATTATTAGAACGGTATTTATTCTTATTGAAGCGGTCAAGACTTACCCCCGACGCGAGAGTTAATTATGCGGTTGGCGAACACACCGAAATTCGAAAAGCGGCCGCGATTCGCCACAGTTTGTGACGAATCAACCCTTTGGGAGTAATCCGGCCCCTGCATTCGGTCTGGTGGTATTTGGCGTATATGAGGGACCTTCTGAGCGTAAAGAAGCCTGACGTCATATGATATGTGAATGGAAAGACTAAAATATAACACAAGATAACTCCGAGACCGAATCTCTGAAGCTCTCATTCTTAGAAGTTAAGGTTAGTATATATACCTAAATATCGATGAGGGCAATGCCAGGGTTGATAACACCATTTCGATTGCGCTATTCATGTGATTGTATGTCTCCTTGGGTCCATGTGATACCAGCTAGGCGTTGGAGTTTAGTGATCCTGATTCTGATAGGATTTGCGCGGGGTCTCTTTAATCGTGTTGATGAGGTTATCTCGTCCATGGAACTGCTTCCATTTATCATTATCTGACTGTGAGAAATCATCATAGATGTGATCTTTGAGGTTACGTGCGAATGGGTAGAGGGGATCCGTAAGGTATTTGACGGTCTGGACCGGATTTATTGTATGGAAAGGATTCACCAACACTGTTTCAGCTGATACCTTTATGCATGCGAACAATGTGAGCGGTTGAATAGTAAGACTGAACATCTGATCATGATCATCTCTCACTCTGATATCGTATTGCCAGCACGGAACATCTACTCGTGATCGCAAAGAGAGAGCTGAATATTGTTGCCTCTTTCTGCTCCGAGCAAACTGTTTTGTTAGCTGGCAGAAATATGGAGAGAATGCATGAACATCTTTTATGGTCAACTGCCGAACTTACGGAGCCGACAGCCGTGGCATCCTCCGCCTGATAGCTTGGCAAACAACTTGGCGAACAGCTTGGCGATCCCTAATGTAAGCACTAGTGAGAAGGACGAATGCGTCAAAAAGTTGCACGAAGCTGTGCCGTTGTAATTATTAGGTTTAGCAATAGTTGCAAGAGAAGACATCATGAGAGGCATTCTTGCTACCAAATGATGCATCTCTTCTATAGATCGTTAAGATGCAGGCAATGAGGATGAATTCAACAAGTCATTTTGGCTAGTATACAGGTCTATCGTAACTCAAATTGGCAGGTGCTCTGGCGCTATACTTTTTCCGGTGAACTAACTATCTGCAGGAACTATTTTTGCAACGATAAAAATGGTTGGTGCAATAAAAGAGCTAAGAATCCTCTTACCGTTCCTGGCCAGTCAGCGCATGTGAAAATGCAATAGTGTGGGGTGCAATAGGAACATTGCATCTGTTGTTGTATTTTCTATTAAAGGCGAAGGACTGTTCATTCCCAGGGCAAATCAGCTATCCAACGGCGAAAACATATCTTTCTCAGAGTAACCTCATCACCGCAAAATATGTTCAGCAATCCCACTGTCAACTCCAAAGACCACGAAGTCCCAGACGTGCTCTCTGATCCGGCAGATGCAACGGTCGAGTAACAACCCCGCAATAGTGCATTCGTTAACAATTCCAGCTGACCATCCCAGCATCGTTTTTGTTCACGGGCCTGGTGGCGACAAAGAGGGCACATGGACCTGGATCTCTCCCGAGAGGTCTATTCAACAACCTGAACGCGTATTTTGGCCCAGGGACCTATTGCCCAAAGACCTTCCTCACGCCCGTATCATCTCTTTCGGGTATGATGCCAGTTTCGCCCACTTTTACCCTTTTTACGGACCCAGGAACGTTCCGCAGGGGACAACCCTGGATGACCATTCTACTGCACTGTTTCAAAGGCTAATAGCCCTTGAAGATGAAAGCTCTGTAAGCATCCCCTTTCGTACAACTCCAGTAGGCTGACTTGCATCATGCAGTCTAAGAGGCCGATTATATTCGTCACGCACAGCCTTGGGGGTCTCGTTACTGCCAACGCCTTGTCTCGACCGAACGGAACGGATAGCAAGAAGGATGAAATTGCGAACAGAACTGTCGGAGTAATCTTCCTCGGCACCCCCTTTGAAGGTTCGGAAAAGGCAAGTTGGGCAGCAGCGGCGCTCCGACTGCTGTCTTTCGTGAGCTCAACCAACGATGAAAAAATCAAAGATCTCGAAGAGAGATCAGCGAAACTCGTCAGCATCAACGATTCTTTCTACAAGTATCTGAAGAAGAGGGATCGGTTGGAGGTAAACAAGAACTTCCTTGAGGTTGCTTGTTTCTTCGAAGAGTATCCAATGAAGATTGGAGGAAAGAAAATGCACATCGTACCCAAGGAGTCGGCATGCCTGAATGGGGTCGATCCGCAATCCATCTCAGCACATCATTCGGACATGTGCAAGTTCGAGGACGAATACCGCAACGGATATAAATGCATCTTAGGCCAGCTGCAACTGTGGATCAGAAAACTGAGCTCGGTGTCATCCGAGAGAAAAGGCATTTCCCAGGTTGTCAAGCACTTCGTTCTATCAGTATGGCATTAACAAGCTGGTAGGGACACAAAACCATCTTCGGAGACAACAATTACCACAACGGCATTCAGAATCGCGGTGGTATTATAGCTGGAGTAATCCATGGCACAGAAAAGCATGCGAACCGTGTGACTGGGACTCATATAGTGGTGTGTATCCCCGCTCTGAGAGCTGGAGTTCTCTGACATATAGTAGAACAATCATGGAACGAGCCGGGCGCAGTCTCCAGAAACAGACGATATGTAGAACCGGAGAAAGGGAAGTTTCGTTTATTTTGCTGAGGAGGGAAAACCAGTCCGCAGCTAGCGGATCGTCACCAATCTCCCCGTTCTGTTTGGTGAAGCTGTAGTCTGGAAAGAAGATAAGGCTGATGAAATTGTCTTGGTTTGAGCAGTGCAATCAATTTCCTCTGTAGTTGCCAATAATACTACATTCCGGACAGTCCCGTCCATCGAATGAGAGTGTATTGGATGATAAACGTGATTTTCATATTCCTTTGCGATTTGGCTTCACTAAGCCACTTTTGCATCGTGGGGCGAAGCACAGCGAGTCATTTATATGATCACGGATATTAGATTGGGCAACCTCATCCTATCTCCTGTGAGGTTGTGGCACGGCGCAAGGTAGCAGGATGCGATATGGAATCGTAAATAGAGAGTTGTGTCCGAACGGCCGAAAGCTAGTCTAGAATGCTGACCTTTCACTGGCATGGAAGCTCATCCAAGATAATGAACTCCACCACTATTTCTTCCAGGTTTTTCTTCTCTTCCAAGCTCTTGGACGTAAAGACACCAACTGGACGGGCCGTTGCCACCTTTATATTCGACGCCCTCGCTCTTATACCTTTCCCAGATCTCACATCTGAAGGGGACTCGGCGCCAACCGGGACTTACGACCAATGCCTTGTCCCGACCAGAAGGAGCCGATAGAAAGACAGACGAAATACGCTTGAAGTGCTGAAGTACCACCGCTCGAGGGCTTCACGCTGGAATACGTCCCTCTGATGCAATGTTTCTGATGAGAAGTCCAAACGGCGAGAATGCATACTTGTACGACCGAACTTGTACGAACTGGGAGACTCAGGACCTTGAAACAACCAGCGCACCCCGCTCCGTACCACATCCTCCCTAAAATTACCAGCCCCCACGCAACACAAGTTTCCCTTGAAAGCCTGTGCCCCAACGCATTTCGGCGTTGTCTTTGGTTGAGAGTCAATTCAGCCATCTATGCTTGTAGATTGCACTACATAGGGCTCTTAGGTTCGAGAGATCACTGGGTATATAGTTTGTCAGCCCTCACTAAGTCCGGTGCTTCTCTATTCTCATCAATCAAGCCAGCCTCGGTAATGCATCGTGGTTCAAAACAGCCCCACACTGCTACCATCACCTCGCAGCCTTGATCTCATCATCAAGCCGTAGCAAACTTGGCCCAAGCTACCACAATTACCACGCAAGCCCAGTTTGACACCGGTCTGACAGCTATGGAAAGTGTTCGCGCATCTGGCGTTCCAGTACCAATTCCACCACCTGGGCAGCTGCCTCATCCTGGAGACCGACAGCAGTGAGTTCATCTGCCTAGCATCATGGCTGCCTACTTTAATGCTTTGCAGAACATCGATTGAGCTCACAGACATCACACGCGACCCTTCCACTCAACGGGCGCCATCCGAGCGCGAAAGCACACTACCCCTCATTTCGCCCATGGAGAGTACCACTTCTGAGAATGCCGACGAGAACACCGACGAAAATCCTAGCTTTGCCCAGCAACGAAAGGATACGAAACCAAAGGAAGGCTTATGGGAGAAGCAGATGTTTGTGGACCAGTCGCTGAGAAGCATGGCTGCATTCATGGTTGCGCTTGCAACCATCATGGTTGTTTCATGTATCTCGCTTGCCCCCAAGCTCAGTAAGGGTGACCTCAGAACGACGTCGATTCCTATCGTCAGTGGTTCGCAAGGTGATATGAACGCGATATGCGAGGTGACTTTGCCCCAAACCTTTTGATGGAATAATGATATGGACTAAATCAGACCCAGGTCTTGAAGTTCTTCATCAACGTGGCGGCCACCATAGTGCTTAGCTCGTCTAATACATACCAACACCTGGTCACCTCTCTGGACATTTGGGATATTCGTCACGCGCTTACCAAATTCGGAGATTCGCAGGTAGCGACCAACTCGCCCTTCGCGATAAAGCATAAGCGTGTTGGGCGCTGGAAGGCATTCTCAGCCTGGGCTCTTCTTATCTGTACATCGGTGGTATTTCTCCTCTTCAATGTACATGTGACCTAAAACTTACACTTTAAGCTAGCCTGTCCACCTGCTGGCAAACTCGGTGATAGGAGTTACGCAGACCATCACGGAGGCGGTTGACAAATACGAATGGCACCCACTCCTCGAAAGTAACAGCACCCTACTGGACTCGGGGGGCGCATGGGGTGGCTGCTGGAGCATCTTTCGGCTTGGACATTGGACTGTGGATCCCGATTATGTGGATTGGTTCCCTGCTTCAGACCTTGATTACTCTTCCGACCAATACGACTGTAGAAGTGTAAAGAACGACAGAACACAGTACCCAAATCCATGGGAAACGCTTCGAACTCCGGAAGAGAAGTCTGACTGCCATTCCGTAGGAAGGATATTCTATGACAAAAGTGCTTGTGGACAGTATTCGAACCAATCCACCAGTAACTTGGATGCCCTCGACGAATACTATCACGCAGATTCCCGCGATGGGAATATTATGGGAAATTGCACTACCTCTGACATCGCCTGCCACCTGGACCATATATGCGATCGAATAGATCACAAACTAGTGGTTCGCCTTTCCGCCGCGATTATCTTGGCTATTTGCCTGACTATCAAAGCAGCCTACATGGTTGCTGTTAATGTTCGGGGAAGGTCACGTGTCAAGTCGCGATGCTTGACCTTTGGTGATGTTCTTGTGGCATCGGTTATTGAGAATATCCGCATTCCCAATGAATGTTTGGTCAATAATGGCGACTTTCACCGACAAAAGACGACACACGAATGTCACAAACACTGCAAGGCATGGGCCGACACTTCTGATACTGGTGACGATATTGGCCACTGTCAGACTTGTTGCAAGTTTAACTCCGTCGATCACATGTCCAATCTACCCTGGCCTGCGCTGTCGACGAAGCACAAGAAGTCCCTAATCGCAAATCTCGGCCAAACGGCGCTTACGCAAATGTTGATCCTCAGCCTATGTTCTACGGCATTGCTAGCTGTGTCAATGATTTTGACGGTATACTACATCTCTTACTATTCTGTGGCAGTGTGCGCAGATTGGACGACATACAGCAAACAGTTTACTACCGTTCAAGCTCTGTTCCGCATGCAAGGAGTCACTTTACGACATGAAATAGCGGCGTTCTGTATTTCCAATGGAGCGCAGCTAATCTATTCTGCATTGTATCTCCTCCTCCTTTACAACCTTACCCTTATTAGCGTAGAGTACGAATGGGGCCAATTTGAGAAGGGACGCCGTCGTCTGCGTTGTACGATAGTCAAAGGACCTGCGTTCGACCAGTCATACCTTCTACAGCTTCCTAAGAGGGTCATGTTCCCAGTTATCGGCTACAGCATCCTAATGCACTGGCTACTTGGCCTCTCTGTATATACGGAGGAGGCTATTGTTACGGATGGATACTATAACTATCCGACCTACACAGTAAGTGCACGTCCATTTGAAGCATTACGAACTCACTCGTATTTCCATTCTCATTTCGTCGCGCTGATGGTCAAGGTCGTCACCGTTCCGGCATCCGTTTGGGGCTCGAGTGCTCTTCTACTCGTGATGACTATTGGTTGTTGGTGGACATACACCTACAATCGTGAAGGCTACATACCACAGATGTTTGGGTCCGTTCGTACGCTGTGCGCCGCTACGAGTGAATTGGAAACATTTCACAGGGAGGGTATCCAATGGGGTGATTGTAAGCTTATCTCCCCTCATTCAAAATTCACGTGCTAATGATACTATTTCTGTAGTGACGAAGGACGAGCACGAAGCTGTATGGCGCCGCGCTGGACTCTCGTCTGCTCCGGTTAAGAAAATGATACCAAATGAGTTGTATGCATAGTATGATGTACTTCACTCAACAGCAGTATGTTTGTGTCTCATAAAGGGCAAGGGTGGGAATTTCGTAAATAATTGAGGCGAAGCTAAGTATCAGGAAGGCGGGAACAAGGTGGACGACACATGTCTCGCAGGATCTGTTTTCGGATTTGACATAAAGCATAGAGACGAATACAGGCATGGTTGGCTGAGAGTGCCAGAGCCAACCAGAAATATCCACGGGGGTGACTCCCATGTGTTGAAAACTGTCGCTTATGAGACTGACCATTCAACCAAGAAATCATGCAGCCAAATAGCTTCTGTACTTATATCTCCCTTGATTTAATTAGGACGCCAAGGCCATCGGCTCATTCTATTGTCTCTGAAGAGGATTGTACTAGCTGATGCCTATGAAATCCTATGCATGGCGGCGATTGCCTCCCGCCACATCGTCACGACAGGCCGAGTCGGCCTCTCTATTCAAACGAATATGTCAGCCTCCTTTCTGTTAGTGCTACTTCTTGACTTACCAATTAAGATAGTGGAGTGCCCACAGTAAATTGCTTGAGGATCTCGGTTCCTAAATTCGGAAAATTTTATGGCGAAGAACGCTATAATATCTGGCAAGTGGATAATATTGGACGAGGACAACACTGTCGGGAGGATTTCTATCTGATTGGGGGAATATCTATCTGTCCGATGGAAAAGACGTCTGATTTTCTGCCGGTGCTCAATCAGCCGCCCAAGAGTAGAATAGGGTAAAACTGCAATTGAAGCATGCAGAAAGATTCTATTCTGTAGACTTATCTACTCTGACAAGCATTTTGTTGCATTTATGTAATTCGTACTACTTGAATGTCGAGATTCCCTGCCAACACAAATTAAATTCTGAGTGAGACTTACATTTTGGAATTTTTAAAAATGGGCCCCACTACCGTTACCGCCAATTAAGCACAGTGAAACGATAATGGCCGCGTAATTGCTTTAATCATCTCTACCTTCCGAATGGATCGGAAGTCTGATGTGTCCGGTAGCACTGACGTCGCTGACAAATATTGCGGCTAGCCGATAGCACCAACACTGCTTACGTAAATTCATATCTACAAACTCGCCATCGTTGGGCCTAATAAATAGTGACCTTATGAAGAAGTACTCTCTGAATCAGAAAACATCAAATCAGATATCCGACTTTCTTTCGTACTCCATTGTTCTGCTTCACGCAATGACCAGAATCACCATGGCCGCATTATTCACTACCCACTACCAGGAACGCTACGGTCCGAAAAGCCAACCACCAGACTCGAGCGTTACCCTCCCTCCAGCCCTGGACCTCATACTCCGCCACAAATCAATCCGCAAATTCCTCCCCGACGCCCTCCCTCCCGCAACCCTCGAGCTCCTGATCGCCGCAGGCCAAAGCGCACCAACCTCCTCCATGTTACAGGCCTGGAGCGTCATCGCCATCGAAGACCCAGCCCGCAAGGATACCGTGGCGACTCTCGCCGGCGACCAGGACTTCATCCGCCAGGCGCCCCTCTTCCTCGCCTTCTGCGCTGACCTCGCCCGCCTGACGGCCATCTCAGAGCAGCGCGGCCAGCCGGGCAAGGGGCTCGAGAACATGGACTTGTTCGTCATGGCGACCATTGACGCTGCACTGGCAGCGCAGAACGTTGTGGTTGCTGCCGAGTCGCTTGGCCTCGGAACGTGTTATGTTGGCGCGGCGAGGAACCGTGCGAGGGAGCTATCGGCGCTGCTGGATTTGCCGAAACGGGTCGTCGTGCTGTTTGGATTGGCGGTGGGCAAGCCGGATCCGGAGTGCTTGCCGGCTATTAAGCAGCGCCTTGGGATGGATGAAGTCTTGCATAGGGAGAAGTGGAACCATGAGGGTCACGCGGAGCGTGTGGCTGAGTATGACGAGACTCTTGGCAACTTTTACGAGAAGATGGGAGTTACTGGGAGGAGTGCTTGGAGTGAGTTCACGGCGATGTGGTTGGCGTCGGGAGATCTTGATGGAAGGGAGGAGCTTAAGGATGTGTTGATGGAACGTGGCTTCGAACTGAAGTAGATTCCGTCAGGCGGCAGAAGAGAGCTTTGGACGTTAGCATAGTTTAGAAATAGAGAGGTGGCACTTGTAAATCAGCTTAAATCTGCCATTACTAGTGATTTACTTACTGGAGAACAGGCTAGACCAGCAAATTACCTCAATACAAGAGGGGTAAAGTATCAGGAACATGTTTATCTAAGTTCGTGTCAAAGATTCGCTGTCATTATAACTCCCTCTAATGAAAATCATTAAGAAAGAGCTTTGAGATAAAGTACCCCCTAGTAAAGAAGGGAGCATGTGCCGTACTCTACGACCATGTTAACTGTCACAATAAAACCTCCAACCGCTGCTACTCCCGTCACAATTATAAAAAGTGCAAACAACACTCAATCGAGTACTTTCCGCAAATGAGTGAACTTACAAAGCATCAACGTAACTCCGTTGTACTCGTACCCAAACGCAATACCGGATACAATCCAAGCCATCGTCTAGCCTCGCTGCCGACCGAAGACCCGTGCGATGCCGCCATCGTTGTATAGCTCGCATACTTCGCGACTTGTTGACGAGCATAACTCGACCTCGGCATTTCCTGCGCCTTCTTGCGCTCGTCCAATTAATGCCCTAAGAGATGAATTCCCGCACACGCGGATTGTTGAAACGATTGTTGTAATAATCCCAAATGGAGCGATTGAGAAGATGATTATGTCGAGTAGCGTCACACACTCGCTGAGGTATTGTTTGGTAGGCTGCTCCCCAAAGAGTGAAATAAGCGGGGCAAGGTCTGTCGCCAGATTGTTGGAGAAGTCATCTCACCAATTGCCCATGATGCTGCGGCGGTTGGGATTGTTCAAATCAGACAGAAATCATCCAGGAGAGAGTAAATGCCCCGTTGATGAAAGATGATGCGATTGTGAAAGCGGGAAGGGCGATTCTTGATATCGAGGTAAGAGCACGCCCAATTAAAGAAATTGTTTCCGCCCCCACAGTGCATGTGGGTCACCACTGACGTGCTTTCACACTACTGGTGAAGAAAATCATTTACCAAGAAGATCTTAAAGCCAGGATATGTACCAGTCTCATGGCCCAGTCACCAATAGAAGACGTGTATCTAAGTCTCAATGGGCAACCAAAAGTGGATGCTGTTCCAAGTTATATTGTAGGCTGTCTCTGCAACGTGACGTAATACGGGTTAGGACCAGGTGTAGATTGCTTGATTGGTTAATAGAAATGCATTTAGAGTGCTTTTCCATCTCAACTCCACGGTCTGGTCTAGCCCTGAAACAATAAATGGTGTACTCCTGTGATTGAGCGTAGTACTCTTACAGTGCCGAATTTGATTTGCATTTACAGGCCATTATATGCCATTGCATGGAGCCGACTGTACGCTAGATTTATCGTTTACACATTTAAGAAAAATGGTCGATACTTTTCGTAAGCTATTCGTGCTTAGATTGCACTTCATAGTTATGGAGTAAACTAATTAGCCTAAATCTGGGAGCATCATAACTCGCGTATTTAAAGAAGCTCAGTCGCGTAAAAGCAGGCAAACTTCTAGTAATTTGATAGCGTGTGTGATTCTGCAAGAGTGATTTATTCAGCCAAAGAAATTTATTCAGCAGCTGTACGAACGCGCAATCTAAGTGAGGATCCGCTTCAAGAATGCCCAGAGTCTCCACCTCCTTTTCTGTTTTCCCGTTTTTAGCTTTTCAAGTCGTGGCTCCAGATCTTTAGATCGTGTCTCTGATCTATCACGTCGAAGCTCCACGCCTCCGCTGCGCGCTTCCAGCCTATCACCTCGCGATTCCACAACTTCACCTATTGGTCCTAAGTAGTCCCTCCGCATTTCCGGAACTTCGTTTTGCGGCTTCCAGGCTGAGTCTGGCCACGTCGTACCATCCATTTGCCGTTCTCGTATTCCCGTATTCAGCTGCGAGATTTTTCGCCTTTCACGTGACTCAGCAAGCAGTTTGAGAAGACGACTTTCGTTTGGGTGCACTCTTCTCAGGATTTCTTCAACGCTAGTCAAAATATCCGGTTCCTCGTAGATTGTTCTCCGCTCGTTTGGGGGGCGCGTATTACAAAAGGCGTCTGTATTGGCGCCATATTGCAAGAGTACTTCGATCGTCTCGATATAGGCGGAGTCCAGACATTGCTGACCGAGCTTCTACTGATTATTAGCTGTGGGGGCTAGAAAGAGCTTTGACTGTACCAATACTCACCTGCTTTTCGAGACATTGAAATAGGAATTCACACCACAGCGACTGACCACTGAATGTGTCATTTGGATCTGTACCACATTCGAGTAGATGGCGGATAACCTCCGGGTTGACAGCAGAAAACCCAACCAATGGTGGGTCCGCCACCAACGCATATTGTAGGATTGCTTTACTCTGGCTTGCAAGATTCGGCGTGATTTTCTCTCTCACATACAACGAAAGGCCCGTCTGTACTGCAACGTAGGAGAGATCGGTGTCAAAAAGCGGAGTTGGCTGACCTCGCTTAGGCGACACGCCATAGATGACATTGCTCCAATGGAAACCCTATAAGCCTCTTGTTAGATCACGACTTATTTGAGCCTTCAACCTTTGGTAATTTACATTTCTTCTTGCACTCTGAAGCCTTAGGACCTCGTCAAGCTGCTCAAGTAAGGCTGCAACAGGCAGGCCTCGATCCGTTTCTAGGACGTGTGCGGAAGAGAAGAATAGGTATAGGCCCTTGTCAATTAGATCATTGCCCCCCACAAATGCTGATGGTGGTAGAGTCTTGAAGAACACAAGGCTCGCCCTGCATATGGCTAGATGAACGTCGAATGTTTCACCCGCCCATCCATTGAGCCATTCACTCTTCGTGTGTAGGAAGTCTCTGACCGTTCGGTGGAAGAAATCGACCTGATAGAGGTATAAGTTTGGGACGTTGAACTTTTGGATTGAAAGATTGCAGTGAACATCTACAAAGTCCATGCATCTTCCCTTGAGCCGTTGCTTGAACCTTTGGATGTTTTTGAGATCGTCGTTGGTGAGCTCGGCTATCTTCTGTTGTAGAGCATAGTCCTCGTTTTCTATTCCCCTCTCTGTAAAGCTAAGAAAGACTAGAAGAGGAGGGAATGTGCTCGCCAAGCAGATCTTGATCATTTGAGCGGTATCTCGATGGTAAACCTTAGGTATGCCGGCCAAAATCCGTTCGAAGAGTTGGTCCAGCTCATCGGGATAGCCATCCACCATTTTGATGAGATCAGACATAGTCGGGTAATCGACGGCCGTTTGGAGTAACAAACGGACAACGTAGTAGACCCAAAGAAATACGCCTTGTGCCTTTTTGGTGATCATGTAGATGATATCCAAGCATTGGTCATCTTCCGCAGTGAACATCTCGTTGAGATATTGATCCTCGCGTAGGTTGCGGTAGACGTATAGAAGTATGTCTTCCGAGGTGAGTTCGTGCACATTGAGCTTGTCTTCGAGTCCCCCATATTCAGCTTCAAACACGTTCCAAGGCCGACTAGACACGCAGAGCTTGAAAGGTTGGGATTCTGATGATGTGATCAGGTTCCTCAGCAGACGGATCAGCTCTCGGTGATCTCCATCATACTCATCCAGTCCATCGATGAAAAGACATATCTTTGCATCCAAGGTCTCCTCATTTGCTAGGCGCTGAAAGCATAACGACAAGGCTCGCAAGTTCCAGGGTTCGTCCCAAGTCAGCTTGTCCTTGTTCCAACGCGACTCACACACGCGCGCAACTAGGTGCGGACACTCGCGAAGGATTTGGAACAGCAATGACCGCAGTAGCCCAATCTGACGTCGTTGGAGCGGATCCCCGGATACCCAGAAGAAGTGGTTGACAATCACCAGCCGGTCGGAGCCAGCCCATTCTCGAAGAGATTCTCGTGTCTTGGGATGTTGATGAATATATTTCATCAACGTCGACTTTCCGCTACCGGGCTTGCCAGTGATCCAAAAAGTCCGTGCAGATGGGGATTTCAGCCAGTCGGAAAATCCAAGGTCCGGATCATTGAGCACCCACTGGAAGGTGCTCTCGTATGCCTCAACGACATCTTCGAAGCGGTCGTACATGATGTTGTACCGCAGACTTTGAAGAATGCGCCGCCGCTTATCAGCCAACTTCGATTCTTCAGTGAGTGCGCCAATCTGTTGTCCGATCTCGGGCAGATAGATGACCCTGTGGCCAAGCTTTTGGAACTTTTCCAGTCTGCGTATCAATTCGTCAAGCGTCACTCTCGTCTCTAGCCGAAACTTCTGGTTCGCATCGATGATTTCTGCTATCTGCATCGTCAACAGACCATTTGAGCCGCTACAGAGTAGATAAGCTTCTGCATTCATTTATGGTGAGCCATAATCACCTACTGTAGGAGTGCTAATAGGCTCGTATTCAGTTGTTGCTGGAGTCGCTGAAGTTTGCTGTCCAAGTCTCTGATCACTCCCTCTTTCATTACACTTTTAAGTGTGATCCGTACGGCGCTTAGCTTGCGATGCTGGTTTGCCTGGTTTCGCAGGCCTTCCAGGACTTCCAATAGTTCATTAGAAGCATCGCAGCAGCGCTGAGCAATCTTTCGGAGTTCAGGATCTGCACCGCGTGCTCTTTCTTTCAGAGGACCGGCGATGGATTTCAGCCGCGTCGCAATCTAGTCGGCTTTTCGGTTAGCAAAATTTGAGCCAAAGAGTGAGCAAGGCCGTACCTCGCTAAGCTCGCTGTTTTCCTGGAGTGCTCCGTCCGCGGAGCGGTAGATCTGATTGAATTTTGATACCAGCCTGATGCTAAAATCAACAAATTGGATAACGTTGCCCGCCACCCCGAGGGACGATAAGGGATCCATCCCTAGGGCATGTTCAGTGTGAAAAGGGTTAGAAAAGGCTTCGAAAGTTGCACCTCCCGCGAGCCGGCTGCGAAAGCTTTGAAGACTCGCAGAGTATTTAGGCAGCACTTCCAAGCAGCTGAACGTGGGAAGGCTGAGTCCACAAGGTAGAATTGGCGGGGCTAGGCGTGCAGGGCTGAGTGCGTGGGGCTGCGTCAGCGGGGCTGCGCGGGCGGGGCAGTGCAGCGCAGCCCTGGTATAAGATGCAGGCTGACACACAATCAGTCATGCAACTTTCTCTCATTTGAGTACGGTCTTTCTCAATGATATCATTGGTTACTTGGAATCCTACCCAATGACCATCAAAGAACCTGTCAATCCGACATCTATGGACTTCACGGAAGAAACAGACAAAGAGGCCGCCAGACACGATCCAAGCATACTGGAAGCGGCGCAAGAGGCGGAATGCGAGCATTGCAGTCTTTTGAAAGGGTTCAAGCTGCCCAATGGCTCTGTGAGAGACCCTTCAGAGAGTGAAAGTTGGACTTTTTTCCACGAGCCATGTGCCTCTTGTTCTCCAGAGGACGGATCTCTCGACGACTGTTTTCTTTGCGCCATTTGCATCCATATGCGACTTCGACACTTGATCCAATGTATGAGTCACGACCGAAGATTCATGCTTGAGCTTGGAACCGTCCATGATATCCAGGAAAGAACGAACTGCCGCTTCTGCAGTTTCATACTAGACACCATCATAAAGCTCAAAAAGGAACGGGAAATAGAGATTCGAGAAAATGCCTGGGTCGGCATTGATACTTACGAGTTGAACGACTGCACATACTTTGATATCGCCATAATCGGGTTCCGGGAAGAGTCGGTAGAGCTGAGAGTCAAAATCGAGGATGCCAAAATACCAACATCAGATCAAAACTTGGAAGCCATGCGAAGCGCGATGATTCCGTGGGAAAAAGTCAAAGCTTGGATGGATCAGTGCGAAGGGCAGCCAGAATATCCACAGGATGGACCACCTACATCTTTGCCGAAAAGCTTCCGGCTCATCGACGTTAATAAACGATGTATCATTTCAATGCCACCCAGTTCAAGCTTCAGCTTCGTAGCGCTCAGCTATGTCTGGGGCGCTGAACCAAAAGGAAAATCCACAACGGCCCTGCGAGACAACATTGCCGCCCTCCAGGCTCCTCGCAGTCTGGATCTACTCCCTGCAACTATCGAAGATGCCATTCAAGCCTGTCGTCAGCTTGGTGAGCGGTATCTATGGGCAGACCGCTTATGCATTATCCAAGATGACATCCAGGACAAGCGAGAACAGATCTCAAGTATGGGAGGGATTTATTCGTCCGCGTCATTGGTCATCATTGCCGTCTGTGGAGGCCACATGGATGCTGGCCTTGCCGGTGTCTCCCAGCCGAGGGAGATCCCTCGCCCTTGTGAAGTACTTCCAGGGCTTCGATTCGTGCCTCAACTACCTCACTACTGGGGAATAAATAGAGAGACTATTTGGGCATCTCGTGGATGGACATATCAGGAAGGTGTGCTGGCCCGAAGGAAGCTGCTCTTCACGCCCACCGAGGTATGGTTCGATTGCAGCCATGGAATTCAACGGGAAGTCGGCGACCCATGGTCGACACTGCGGCCAATCAGTCTTTTCAGACCCGGAAAATCCAAGGACGTCTTCACAGAATTCATGAGGCATATGCAAATGTATTGCCGCCGAAATTTGACCAACCAATCCGATGTCTACTCCGCTATTGAAGGTATAATGTCAGAGCTATACAAGAATACTTCAGGGCGCCACTTCTACGGACTTCCATGCAAAGACTTTGACCGAGCTTTGATGTGGATGTGCAGCCATGTCCCCGGAAAGTCGCCACTCCGTACATCCAAAGACGTATATCTTCCCAGCTGGTCGTGGTCTTCTTTCAATGGAGGTCTTACGACATTGCCCTCTGATTTTGAACATCACTTTTGCTCGACGCTGTTGAGTTGGGCATCATATGACTACCTTGACGACGGCAGAACAGGGTTGAAACTCAATTATCTGGATGAGCCCAGCCCTCCCTTAGCTTGGAGAGAAGTCGGACGATATCCTGAAGGAGCAGAAATCGAAGAGCCCTACTGGTTTCTGCAACTGTACTTGGCTCTCGCCTGCGAGCTCGGATTATTTGAGGGGGTTTCGAAAGATGATGTTCCCTGGGATACTCAGTCTTCTTTCGCGAGCCGAAAAGATGCACTATCGGGCCAATTTCCCACCTATCCAAGCTTTAGGGCTGAGATACAGAGGATGTGTCAAGCGAAATACCATGGCAGCACGTTGGATCGTTGGGAGAGTGATATCAACAGAACCATATCTGGTCAGAGCCTCAGACCAGGCCCGTTGATCACTCGTGCGCAAGTGGCCCGTTTTCGGATGGGGAAGCACCATCCTGATGATTGTAGGAGCAGGATAAAGAGGTTGTGTCATCACTGCGATGTCTTGGATGAATCCTTGTTGACCTGTGGATACATTTACCCGGACGAACCAAGAATCTCACCTCGGCTCTCGGTTGAGTCATTGTCAACGTTCGAATTCATGGCGCTGTCAATATCAGCTAAGGATCTCGGTGGTGTGGAGCATGCGTTGGGCGTTCAGGATAGCCGCAAGGAGCTCGAGCGTATTATAAGCGATGAGGCCGAGGAGATCACGTTTTTTGACAGCACTGGGGAGGCTCTCCTACCCTGTCCAGTAGTAAACGTCATGGTCATCGGACGACGTAGCAGCGGCATCTGCCACCGCATGGGAATTGGATGGATATTTATGCGCAGCTGGGCTAAGGCGGAGCGAAGGTTTGAGACTATCATTTTGGAGTGAAACATCTAAATAAACTATGAGATATAGTTGTAGTTGAAAGATCTTCGGTAGTTCTTTTAAACTAAAGACGGGCTCGACTTCGTTTCTTCCTTTATGAGCTAGATTTACCCGTAGTGCCCAAAAACTAATTAATCCGGCTTGCGCTAAACCCCTTTTAGAGAAGCTTGATCTTAATACAGATAAAAGTACTGCTTAGACTTGAGCTATTATAGTAAAGCATTTTGATATAGCGGCCAGTGGCGATAAACTACGTAACGTTTCGTTGAAGCAGTCAGTGTCAGGACTACGGATGCCAGGCATCGGCTTGAGAAGCGAGGCCCACTGCCCGGGCCCCGTGAGGAGCATGCGACTCGCCTGCCTGGCCCGTGCGAGCCTCGACTTTTCCAGGGTGTTCGGGTCATGAATCACGATGCATTCACAATGCGAGTCTTTAAACCCTGCTTGCAGCAAAATATTAAACATGAAATTAGCTAGCTATGCCCCTTACAGAGAGGTGCTGCAGCCGATGGCTAGCGCGAAGAATGACACACCGTTAGTATGCCTCAGCTCTTCCATTTTTTTCCGCAATAAAAAAGAACATGCATGGGTAGTTGAAGCTATCCTCCGGATGTTAATGTGGAGTCAATAATTATACATTCTCGTCCGGACGATCGCTTCAAATACCCACGGTATGATAGAAAAAATTATTTACGCCAGCCTTCGGCCGCAATACTCATCTTATACCACGCCCTGACCCTTTAGCGCGGGAGCGGCTCCACAAGCCGGGCTGTGCCCCTCATCCTCCTGCTGTGCCTCTTAGCTACACCCACCCACCCTACGCCGCCCCCCTACTTAGCCCTCGGCGCCGGCGTCCCCCGATACGCCTCGGGCAGCACGCCCTCCAACGCCGCCTTAATCTGCACCGCCAGCGTCGCCGAGTGCCACCGATGCTGCTGCGTAAAGCCGCCCATGACCCAGTAGTTCTCGACGCGCGCATGTCGCTTCCACATGCCGCGGATCTCGCCCTCCGCATCCACGCCCCACGTGGCGTCCAAGCGCGCAGCGATCCCTCGCTCCACCTCGCCGCCCCCCAGCGCCTCGGCCGCAACGTCCCGCACGTTCTTATCGCGGAACCCCGTGCACCACACCACTGCATCCGCCTGCACCTCGCTACCATCAGCGAAGCGCACGCCGTCGGCCGTGAAAGCCACGGGCGCGACGCCGGCTTTAACCGCCGCCTTGCCGTCCGCGATGAGCGCCGTCCCGCCGACGTCGACGTAGTGCCCGCCGGCGCGCTCGAGCAGGTTGCTGGCGAGCGCGCAGTCCGGATCCGCCGAGTCGAGCACGGGGAAGCCTGCTGCCGCCAGATTGCTGTAACGGTCCGACTCCCGCGAGGCGAAGGCGGCGAAGAGGCCCTTGGCGAGCTGGCCGTCGACGGCGGTGGGGAGCGTGAGGAACATGCGGTCGGCGGCGTCGACGCCGAGGACGTCGTAGGCGCCCAGGCTGAGCGGGTCGCAGACGTAGGAGAGGGGCACGATGTACGTGGGCGAGCGCGCGTTCAGGGTGGTGCGCAGGCCGGCGGCGTGGATGTCGACGAGGATGTCGAAGGCCGTGTTGGCGGAGCCGATGATTAGTGCGGACTGTGGTGGGAGAGAATAATGTCAGGTATCAATTCGGCTTGGGGACTTTCCGGGTTGCCGAGATGCAGGGGTGTGCCGGGATGCTGGGATTTGTATGGGACTTACCTTGGCGCCCTTGTCGGCTAGCTCTTTGCCATTCTTGAACTGAGCTGAGTGGATACTGATCCCCTTGTATTTGTCCTGATCGGCCATGGGTGGCACGTACGGCTTCTGCGAGCCGATGCCGGTGGCCTGGACGAGGTGCTTGGACACGGCGGTGCGGAGGCCGGCCGGCGTCTCGAACTTGACGGTCCATTGCTGGGTGGATTGTTCGTACTTCGTCGACACGATCTTGGCTGAGTTGATTATGTTGAGGTGGAAGGTTGCAACGTAACGGCGGACCTGCTCGGCCAGCTCGTCCTTGGTTAGGAGATGAGGGGTTTGAAGGTGCTTGTCGTAAGCTGGGAACGTCAATGTTTCTCGCTCGTGCTCGGTGAATTGAATCTTACTTACTCATGTAGGGCAGCTCGCAGAATGATGTCGGAATGTGGAACTTCATGCAGTCGTAGCGGAGCGCCCAGTTGTCGCCAGGCCGCGCAGATCTCTCCGCCATCACGCTATCAACACCCAGCGCCTTGAGACGTGCAGCGAGAGCCACGGCCCTGTAAGATATCAGCTGTCTGAGTAGCAAAGCCATCTTTGTGTCAACTTACGCATTGCCACCTCCAATGATGAAGACGTCCGTCTCGATCGTCTGCAGGCCGTCCAACTGCCGCCCAGGATTCTTCAGCAAAGACTCATCCTCTTTTTGGATATCCAGGCTCTCAGTCCTGGTGCTGAATATCCAGATCTTCCACTGCGTACTCTCATTGGCCTTGACAGGCAACAACAATATTCTTCCGCTACATGTGGCACCTGGCGAGCCAGTCTTGAAGGAAAGTTGGCTGTCAATGAATTGCTGCAATTGAGTAAAACCCGTCAGCCGTGTCTCTTCAAAGATTTAGGAGAACATCTTACAAGAACCGGAGTGGCCGGAAGGAACTTGGCTGCACCCTCGATCTTGAATTGGGAGGCGGCCCTCAGCTTCGCCGTCTCCAACAACGCCGATGAAATCACGTCGGCATCAGTGAAGGTGCGCAAGTGGGCAGTCAGCGCCAGTGAATCCTTCCAGTACACCTTGCTGCCAGAAAAGAAGAGACCCTCCAATGCCTGAGCATCGTCGGCGGCCACAGCGGCGTTCAGTGCGTCCACAACAGCTTGCGCCTGCTTAGTCGCCTCATCGCCGCTCATGAGATCCGCATCCACAGTCCCCGGAGCTATGACCGGCAGAGGCTGTTGGGCAAACATGTGGCGGAGATCCGCCGCTGCGGGGAACTCATCATCGTACGACTGAGCGCCTGTTGTTCCCGCGAGTCAGTTCCCTCAACCTATGGATCGTATTGGAGAGCTCACCGATAGCCATGATTCTGATGCTATGCAAAGGATCGATCTGAACTACTCGCCAATATGCAGGAGCAACGGTCCATGAGTAAATATACCGCCCTGCGACTCGACACCCAGTCAGGAGTCAGTGACGTGACGCGTAGCTTGTGGGGGTGGGGGGCATGAGTCCCGCAGGATTCCCCGAGTCATTGCGCTGGTCTAGCGAGACTGATTCCTTCTATGGAGTAGCCCCACCACGTGTTTCTCGACCCCATTGCCATTGTCAGCAATGATTCTCAGCATCCAACAGTGCACGAGTCACTAGAACACCCTTCATTTTTCATCCCTGTGCGGTATGCTTCCCAATTCGTCAGAGAATCGACACAGGGAATATTGGTATAGAAGCGAGAGGTTTGATGTCTTCCGATAGTTGGGCTTCTATACATGTAGCTAGCCCCAACACCGATATGATTCTCAGGGGTGCATGTCGTTACTATATCTTTGAGCCGAAAGCTCGGAGATAGGATTTTCTTTTCTTTTTGTATTCCGGGGTGCATGCCGCAGCGGTAGTGAAGATCCGAATACCAGGTCGGAAGCCTTCGGGATTGACAGGCCTTCCAACGCGCGGATGGGCGGCCACCTTTATGTATCATCCCATAGCACTAGTGCTGCACTGCTCTTAGCCCTTCGGCCGACAGCCCCCGACAATCTTGGACACGACTGCGTATTTCAGTCAGAGTTGGTCCACTGGCAGTGACAGTGTCGTTCCACCCATCCCGTTCCCACGGCCATGTCATCGGAAGAGCTCGAGGCTCTCCTTGCTGCACCGGCACTCGAGCCCCCGCCGGGTGTCACTGCCAACTTCGACAATCCGCCCAACCGTAATGGCCTCGCCTGGGGCGTGACGACAGCTTGCACCGTCATTTTGACTTTGTGCCTTCTCATCCGCCTCTACGCACGGACTTGGATGGAAAAGAAGCTTCGTGTTGAAGAAGGTAAAGTTCCTCTTCACTTCTGCCTTGATAAGCAGCTTGACTGACAACACTGTCTCGATATTAGCCTTGATGCTCTGTGCATATGTATGCCATCCTATCTTACCGCCCTTGCCCCTCTTCCTCTTACGACTCACCTCGGCCCTGCTCACTATTCGTTAGGGAGCCTACTGGGGCACAGCATACGCCGGTTATTCCCTGATCTTTTCGCCTGGCTACTATGTCCACACCTGGAATCTCCGCAATGGAGACCTTGTCTATCCGCTTTGGGTAACCCACTCTTGCCTTTCTGTAGAAAACTACCACTGACCAGCCCTAGCTCATTCTCATCTACGGAAGCTGCTACTCAGCCGTGCAGCCATTGATTAAGACTGCCATCCTGCTAGACTGGGCTCGTATCTTCGTCCCCTCCGACAAATACAAGAACACATTTTGGTGGGGCTGCATGGTCATTTCCGGCTTTCAATGCCTCTGGGGGGTTCTTTGCATTATTCTTCTGAACATGCAATGCATCCCACACAATGCCATCTGGGAATTCTACGTTCCAAGCAAATGTTACGAACTGCCCAAGGTTATGCTGTCGTCGGGCAGCATCCAGGTCATTACCGACATCGCCATGGTATTGCTGCCGCAAAAGATGATTTGGGGCCTTCACCTAAACTGGCAAAAGAAACTGGGTGTGTCCATCATTTTCGGAGTCGGTGTCATGTGAGTCTCCCCCCCATTTCAGCTAGTGGTCGATGTACTAAAAGTCCGCCAGCGCCTCGGTCGCAGCCTGTTTCCGCCTTGCCCATACAGTTGCTTTCTCCAAGACGACGGACAGCATGCACCTAATCGGGCCGCTCCTGTTCTGGGCGTGCGCCGAAATGACATGCGGCTTCTTCGTCTTGAGCATACCCTGTCTCCCCAAAATCGTCAAGGAGTCCCCGCTTCCCCGCAACCTCAAGAAGGCGCTCGGCCTCAGCTCCAAGACCGCCGAGGCGGCGTCCAACGGGTACAACTCGAGTGGTTATGTCTACGGCTCGCGCTCCGGCTCGCATCATATTTCCAAGGTGTCAAAGTCGGGAGTAGCCACGAACTCTTACTGCAAGATGAATGAGGAAGGCACGTCCTTATCCAACCTCGACAGGTCGGAATCGCAAGAGCAGTTGAGAGATGGCAGTTACTACAACGTAGATGGAAAGACAACGGTTCAGGTGACGCACACAACAGAGATTACCGTCACCGACGTCGAAGCACATTCCGCTAGTAGTTTCAGAGAAGGCGCCGCTCCGTGGACGAGGCAGGAGGTGGCAAGACATTATGTTTGATTTTTCTATTGTGTAAAAACCATTGTATCACCAATCGGATTGAACATAGAGCTCAAACGGGAAGATATGCCTTATGATCTCAAGGGCATACTTGTGCTGTTCTGTGCTTGTACCCTTGAATGCTATAATCGGAATCCGTCGTATCCATGAAGAACAATAGTAGAGAAGCGAAATATACATATTTTTCTTCGCATTTCCACTAGTCTCCAACTAGATCGGAGTATGACAATACTTAAAGACAGTCTCTTAGAACTCTACAACCGCTTACCGGGATTCCTGTAGCTCAAAATCGCCCCACCGAGGAAAAATCGTACGCAGCCAGTACTTCCACATCGGATCCGGATAAATAAACGTATTCTTCCCCGTCACCGGATCCATCCACCAACTCCGACAGCCAGCATTAAACACCAACCCCTCCAACCTCCCATGCACCCACCTCAAATCCTCTCTCTGCGCCTCCTCCTTGACCGCCACCGACACCACCGCTCCCCCCTTCTTCTTCAACACCGGCCGCAGCAGCCGACAAACGTAGTTGATCTGGCACTCCGAATGGAAGATGACCGAATGCTGCCCCGTCGCGGCATTCGGTCCGTACAGCACGAAGAAATTCGGGAAACCAGCCACCACCGTCCCCATGTACGCCTCGGCGCCGCCCGCCGCGTCCCAGACGTCGTGAATCGACCGACCGCCGTCCACGCCGCGCACCTCATCGATCGTGCCGAGCCACTTCTGCGTGTGGAAGCCGGTCGCGAAGACGATGACGTCGGCGGCGTACGTGGCGCCCGTCTCGGTCTCGACGTGGCGCGGGCCGATGGCGGTGGTGCGGTCGCGGGCGAGGTGCATGTTGGGCGCGTGCAGGCAGGCGAGGTAGGTGCTGGTGTTGACGCGGCGCTTGCAGCCGGGTTCGTAGTCCGGGCGCAGGATGGCGCGGTATTGGGCGGGTGCTTCTTCGTCGATGTATGCGTAGGTTGCGGCGCGGATATGTTCGCGGAGGCGGGCGCCGCGGGGGGTCATGAGGAAGGAGGGGAAGAGGGATTCGAGTTGGTAGGCGAGGTGGATGCGGTAGAGGCGGGCGGCGAGGGGGACGTATTTCATGACTGCTTTGAAGAGGTCGGAGTATTTGGGGTTGCCCTTGTTTTTTGGGTGTTAGTGAGGGGTGGACTGTTGTGAGGGGAATGGGATGGTGTATACTCTCTTCGTCCACCAGTGTGCACTCTTGACCAGCTGGACCACCTTGCCCTTTGGGCCCACTTCTTTGACCAGCTCGGGGACGAACTGTGTTGCGGAAGCTCCGTTTCCGAGGACCACGACGTTCTTCCCGTTGAAGTCGACAGAATGGTCCCAACGGGCGCTGTGGAAAGCTTTGCCTTGGAAAGTGTCTGCACCATTGATTTCAGGGATGAATGGGCGATCCAGAGTTCCTACGGCACTGACGACCACTGGCGCCTCGTGCACCGTCAGCTTTCCGGTTTGCGTGTCTTCGAAAGTGCAAACCCAAAGCGACCGTTGCGTGTCCCAGACCATGCTCTTGCATGCCTGGTTGAAGCGACAGTGTGGAAGGATGCCGAACTTCTCAGCGACAGAAAAGAAGTCTGCACGCATAGGTATGGTCAGAAAGGCGTATTAGGATTGACAGATTATTACTCACACTCATGAAGCTCATCTCTGCCCGGATATGTAGTCGACCAGTCGGGCTTCAAAGCAAAGCTGTAAGAGTAGAAGTGGCTAGGGATATCGCAAGCACATGCGGGATACCTGTTATGCCACCAGGTGCCGCCGATGTTGTCGGATTTTTCGTACAGCGTGAAGTTGTCGTGTCCGAGCATTCTCTTCAGCTGGATGGCCATGCCAATGCCTGATACGCCTGCTCCGACAATAATTACTTCTTTCTTTGGGATCATTTTTGCTGTTCTCCGTGTCTGGAGCTTGAGAGTGAGAGTGAGATGAGAAACAAAAGATAGAGAGAATTATCTGCGGATTTGCTCCAGTATTTATGTCCACGGCTGAGTGTTGTTTGACTGAAGTACCTTCATGTTCTTCGCCCATCCTCGGCAATCCTTTGAATACTGAGCCTAAGCATCCCCGTGCTAAGACGTGGGGAAAGACGTGGAGAAATGGAGAACGGCGCTTCCGCCATACTATTTGGGACAGCGGGTGCTCACTAAAATATGGATCGTGCTTCACAACGTGGGGACTGTGTAGATATTTTCCGTTTGTGGACGGGGTTGCGCTTGTGATGTCCGAAGTGAAACGGCGTTTGGAGTTGCCTCATCTGTTGAATACTTTCCCCATCGCCTGAATCGATGGGTCATGACACAGCAGCCCTTCTAGACCGTAGCTGACAGATAGAGGCTGACGAAACATTCATGTTCTGCCCTGGGTTTCTGGAAAAGGTAAGAGCGCTTGCGCTTGCAGTTGCTCCGGACCACGCACGCTAACCGAGATTGGATATCCCGGCCGTTGCCGCTAAAATGTCTCAACACATACTACGTCAATTGCACGCGCTCAATTTATTTATACTGAATGACCCCGCAAAGGCATCTCCAAAAGCTAGAAACTGTGCGTCGTCAAGATGGGCCTCAAGTCTCCCATCCCAATCGATCAGCTAACGCTCAACGAGCCCGTCCCATACAAAATCGAGGTCGACCGAGAACTTCTCGCAGTCACGAAGAAGAAATTAGAGCTCGCCAGATATCCCGAGGAACAAAGCGACTTCGGTGAGGACGACTGGTCACAAGGGGCAAAGGTGTCACGGGTCAAGGAACTTGCGCAGTTCTGGAAGGATGAATATGACTGGGAGAAGCAAGCGGTGAGCCCTTTCAACCTTATAAGGAATATTCTGCTGCATTCGATGCAGAGATGGCCCACAGCAAGTGAATACTGTTGCTAACTTTCATTTAGAACCATTTAAACACAATCTTCAACCACTACCTCGTCAAACTCGCCGTCCCGGGCTACGGCCACCTCGTCCTCCACTACACTCACACCAAGTCCCCCTCCCCCACCGCCATCCCCCTCCTCTTCTCCCACGGCTGGCCGGGCTCCATCATCGAAGCCACCAAAGTCCTCTCACCACTCACCAACCCCGAGAACCCCTCCTCCTCCTCCACCCCTTCCTTCCACCTCGTCGCGCCCTCCATCCCCGGCTTCGGCTTCTCCCCCGCGCCCCCCACCTCCGGCGTCGGCCCCACCATCGTCGCGCGCGCCTACAAGCTCCTCATGACCGACGTGCTCGGCTATTCGTCGTTCATCACGCAAGGCGGCGACTTCGGCTCGTTCATCACGCGGTCCATGGCGCTGCAGTACCCCACCGTCGTCCGCGCGCAGCACCTGAACATGTTTCCGGCGACGCGGCCGGCGGTGCTGTCTGCGCCTCTGGCGTGGCTGCGCTGGCGCTTCGCGGGGCTGACGTACAGCGAGTGGGAGCGCGAGGCGCTGGAGGTGCGGGAGGACTTTGAGATGCACGGAAGCGGGTATCTGGAGCAGCAGCGGACGCGGCCGCAGACGCTGGGGTTTGGGTTGGGGGATTCGCCGGTCGGGCTGCTGGCGTGGTTCGTGGAGAAGCTGCATGCGTGGATGGAGGTGAGGGAGGGGTTGTCGGATGAGGAGATCATTACGTTGGTCATGATGCATTGGATACAGGGCGCGACGCCGGGACTGCGGTTTTATCGAGAGGCGTTTGGCGAGATGAGGGAGGCGGAGAGGACGTTTGAGGCGTATGTGGCGGTGCCGACGGGGGTGAGTATGTATCCGAAGGAGCAGTTGCATGTAAGTCATTGTTTTCCCCCTGTGATACAAACGCGGCTGAAAGTGTGCTGATTGGCCGTTTTTGCAATTAGTGTCCTCGAGATTGGGCTGCGCAGGTCGCGAACATCAAGTTTTGGAAAGAGCATACCCGAGGCGGACACTTTTCCTCGCTGGAGCGCCCGGATCTGTTTGTTGCGGATTTGAGAGAATTCGTGCGGGTGCCGTCGGTGGAGAAATCGATCATGAAGGCAGTTTGATGGGAGGTATTGCTCATGGGCTGAATTGGTCGGGGAAATTTCCTCCTACTCCCATACGTAACATGAGTTCATACTCAAGACTCTGAGTAGTGGAATAGGAGACGGCTACACACCGAAGTCGAGCCAAGTTTATTTCACGCAGCTCAACGGCCTGTTCAAGACCCTTTCAACCGGTTTCTCGCCAGACGCGTGCAAAGTGCTTTGGTAAGATAATTTTTCCCGCCCGAACTTCTCTTCCACAAACTGCAAGGAGTCTTGTTAGATATCAGCTGTAGCGACTGTCCCGTAGCGTTTCCGACCTGTGACGCGGCCGTCAGATATTATTACCTTGGCTACCTCTCCAATATCAACCGGGTCCTGACTGGTGAGAAGCTGGCCGGTGTATTGATACAGCTGAAATGTGCTGTAACGTAAGTTGCCACCAAGCGTTCCCAGAGCGAGTCACGTGACTTTAACACACGAGTATTGTTCTCTTACACCTCGCTAGAGGCCTAACGAATTCTTTAAAGATTCGTCACGATAGCAAAGAAGTCCTTTTGTCTCACCCAGTTAGTAAACTCCTTGCTCCGCCTTCTTACACGTCAGCCTCACATATACCTACGAATACAAGCTTACAAACAACGGTATATATTAATATCTACTGAGAGACTTAAAGTAACCAAGCGACTGATATCTCACAGAGGTTAATATCAAAAATTCAGGAGGGGCTTGGAACATTTCCAAGAAATACTACTAGAACAGCACAGTATCTATAGGATACTCGTTAGTTCTTTCAGCTCTCAAGCCGTAAAAACGTTTACTTACGCAGCAGCTGCAGCAAGAATCTCATGGCGTCTCGCGCGGGTGAAGAGGGACAAGACAGCCGAGAATGAGAGGGTGAATACGAGGAGAATTCCGATGCAGAGGGCAGTTGTCTGTGATCTTTGTGGTACATCATTCGTAAGATGATACAGCACATATGTTGGTACTACCAACAGGATCAAAATCATCATTGTAACGATGATAGCTGCGAGGCCTTCTATCCGACCTTTTGTGTAATAGACTTCCGGTCCGTTGGACTTCATTTGTGTCTCCTTTTACGTTATTAGAATGTAAGACCGACTTCGGGACTCTCTCATTGAACATACCTTTGAACAGAACATTTTCTAATTTAGATTAGCTCGCTGTTTCATAAGGGGCGAAAGGACACCTACACGAATCATAGGACAATTGATAGCCCGCAGCCCTCGCTCGATGGCATTTTCCAACCAGGCATGTTCCCTTCCAGGGCGGAGAGTGACCAGATCTTCTTTGCAGAAGAGCCATTGCTGATCGGTTTCACTTAAAGGACGAGGGCGGTTATGGCAGAAGTTACTAACACTCCGATACTCTGTGTCAGTTGGACGGCGTATAGCTACCATGTCCTGAGCTGATTTCAGCAAGTGGGCTGCATATGTTTAGCATTTCTCTTCCACATTATGAGGTCAACCATCGTACCATATTCGTTGAATTTGATCTCGATACTCCGTAAGAGCTTCTTTCGATCACTGGGATCCTGGCTACCCACTTCCCCGCTATGGAGAAATCTCTGGGGCGTACGTGAGTCCTCCTCTTCGAGCTGCTCTTCGAGGTTCTGAAGCTCGTTCTGTTTATCGAGCAGGAGTCTAGTCTGGATCAATCCAAAGCGGCGAAACAGCATGAAGTTCTCATCACTGTCAAGGAATGCTGCCAACCGTGGGTATCCATTGGGACAGGCCTGTACTGTTATTCTGTATTAGCAATATGCCGTAGAAATGCAACATGATATGACGAGCATCATGATACGTACGCTGCCTCACTTTGATTTTGTTGCTTTTTTCTGTTTCTGTTCTCAATTGTGCTGAGAATGATTTGAGTATTTGCAGCGGTTTCACCCAAGTGAACCCTAAGCCTGGGTTAGATATATCTATGGTATCATATGTTTCAGTGCATCGCTTACCACGCGAAATAACTTGTTCTGTCAGAGTTGGTGTGTTTGAGAGTTGGCGCGATTCCGGATTTGCGTCACCAATCGCTTCTTTCGAGTCTGGGTTGGAAAATGGGAGTAAAGGTGGCATTTTGAGTCGTGGTAGCAATTGCCACGAACAGAAGAGTGATGATTCTGTTCAATTGAGGGTTTCTAAGCTGCTTTTATAAGGAAAGCGGCGCCGCTTCCAAATCGCAGATGAATAGGCTGAAGTTCCAGCCTCACATATGCATGCAAGCTGAATTCTATTGCACAGACCATCTCAACCCCTCCTCAGCCTTGTCTCCTCAAACCAACCAACTTCCCCAGATTTATCTGTGACCTCTTGGCCCCCAAGATCTTTCAGCTGGTATTGCCACTTCCTGGTTCCCGGGTGACGCTGTGCATCTGTGATGGTTACGGCCATTGATCCTCCGGGTGGTCCAGGCGGGTCCTTCAGCCACGCCCTCTCATTGATATCGAAGCCTTGCGGATACTATTGCCCCGTATGTGAACAGACGGAACTACCTATAGATAGGAACACGACTTACCTTTCCCTGCACTGCTTCCGGGACATAAGACCTGTTCTTCGAGCCCTTATTGGCTTCCTACTATCGTGTCAGTACAGTTCAGATCGCATGTCTCATTTTTCTTACGTCATTGAGCCTTGTATGTTCACAAGTTACAGCCTCGCCGTCGATTTCCATTGGATATTTGGGCGCTTGATCCACAGACGGGTTCTGCGGTTGCTCAGGCTCATTGGAAGGCATGCTTAGGATGGCTCAGGATCTACCAGAAATAGTTTGCCGAATCAAGAATGTCTTGATGCATGCGGTCTGATCTCTATTAATGCTGTTTACTTGCCGATTCAGACGTAGTAAGCCATCAGGCAGCAAGAAGGCAACTCAAGCAGTGAGATAAAAAGAAATACCACAAGGCAACCATTCACCGGTGCGTACAAGGCTTCCTGTACACAGTTAGTTCCACCGTCTGATACGAGGCAGATTCGATTGGAAGCAGCCTTTGTGATGCATCGGGTGACTTTGAACCAATCATTTTCATACCCGTGAGTTACCCACATATGCGGGAGATGTGCAAATGGAAGGTAAGTGGCGGAAGGCAGTCGGGCACTTCGAAATAGCCCCACTTGCGCCGGTGGGGCTTCGGGTCTGAACTCCGCTTTGCGGCTTATCTGTACAACCACCCTTGCATGAAAAGAAAGCTAAAACTTGTCTTCATTGGCGCTGTCACCAAGACAGACTTTTGTGAGATCAGCCTTCTCGTCGCTTGGTTTGACTGTACTGAGACAATTCAGCTCCGCCCTGGTCCGGCTTTGTTTATCGTCAAGCCACAAAACGAAGGGAGCCATGTGATCACTCTTCAGCCTCACGACCTCGCCGTCTGGTTGGCATGCATATTTAATTTGTCTCGCCTCTCAGGAACTTCCTGCAAATCACGATCGCTCCATGGCAGCACCAGCAGAACCTACAGACGCAGGCCAGGGTCCTACCGAATCGCAGAACAGTCTGCATCGCCGCGATACAGCGCCAATATCGGACCCGCGAGCCTTGTCACTAGAGAAACTTCAGGCAACATTCGATGAATGCTATAATCCACTGACAAAGCCAGTCGAACATGCTGAAACCAAGGTGCTTCTGTTCTCATGGGACAAGTCCGATATGGATGTGACTAGCGAGGTATGCCATTACGGCTTGAAACATTTACTATGTGCTGACATTGCGAAGATCGCTCGACTAAAGGGGGTGTTCGAGGACGAATATGGCTTCGACGTACGGGAGGAAGTGTTGGACACTACTAGGCGAAATCCTCACACACAACTTAAACTGGCGCTGGCCCAGTTCGCTCACGAAATCGATGGCCCCAACCTTGGAATAGTTTACTATGCAGGACATGGGTTTGGGTCTGATACTAGGGGCCATTTGCATCTTACCAAGTAAGTCAGGCTTCCGTCACAATCATTTTGAGTGGAGATTAATCAGTTCAAAGCGGCTCAAGCCAGCAAGCAAGAGGAGATCAAGAACGTCAATACAACCAGGTCGCCTGGCACATCGCCGAGTCATGCATTACAGACATTGAAGCGGATATCTTGGTCATATTCGATTGCTGCTCAGCCGGATCTCTGCAAGGTCGTTCTCCACGCGACAATTGTTTCGAGTTTCTCGGTGCTTGCGATCATGATGAGGTGACAGCATTTCCTGGGGAGGATTCTTTCACTTCAGCGCTCATCCACGCGTTGCAATAGCTCAAAAGCAATCATGGATTCACCTCCCAAGAGCTTCGCAAGGAGCTGGTTAACGCCCCAAAGTTTTGCGACAAAAATCAGCGTCCAGTCCTCTTCCACCGCCGGTTGCCAAAAGAGGACCACGTGTGGATATCGGCCTCGAGAGTACCTGGAGAAGGCAGAGCAGGAGCATCTCCTCCGATTACACCTCGTGCTAGTTTTCCTAGAGAGCGCCAGATGGAATATCTAGACATGCGTTTCCGATTCGGGAAAGAACTCAATGAGGACCAGGTCAAGCAATTCGCCAAAGGACTAACCCATTTCACACGAAATCAAGAGAGGACTTTGGCCATCGAGAACATCACCCTGATGAATCACACCGTGTTGATTAGGGACATACTAAAACGCTGGCGTAGCAACACCGGAAGTAGAGCCACACAACTCAATGCTGACATTGGCTCTTACGGCGACAATGAACAGGTTGAGGAACCCCAACAGATTGACGATGGCGTGGTTGATCTAAATATTTCTCAAAATCCCCAGCGCCTCAGACTGGACGTACGAGACTTGCTTGAGCAAATCGGACAGGTTCCAACTTTTTCGCCGCGACGGCCCTATGTTATGGCGCTGATGGGGTTTGTGGCCGGGACTATCTGTTTCAGGGCTCTTAGCACCGCCAGGTAGTTAGCCTATTCGGGAAATTCAGAAGTGTTCTAGCGTAGCCTGTTCCTCGTCAAACGTGGCTCATCGTGTAAGCCCTTAATGGGAGCAATCTACTGAGCCCAAAACTATCCTAAAATATTGCTAGCCCGGCTAACCTTTCAGTGTTGGCGGGTTTCTGGCTGATGAGAAGTTGGACGGCGTATTAATCCAGCTTAACTTCACTCTTACTTGTCTGGCCACTGATAGTGGCTTGCTGTCATGACGCAAGTGCCATCGCTACAGCTACGAATGATAGCACTTCATCGTAGGGTAGACACTGCGAACGGTAAAATGCTTTTCCAAATTAGTTATTTCACTCTAGGGGCGAGTCCTCGGAGACACTTTGAGATTAGCCAGACCTGCTCTGCCAACGGGATCGGAGCCACCGATTCTGGCTGAGAGAGAACGGTGGTGGGTACGCCGGGGCCGGTAATGCAATGAAAGTCAGATGATTTTCCGGGGTAGATCCATCATATAGACTGAAGAAAAGGAGTTAAACTTCAATGTCGCCGTCCGGTGGAACGACTTGAAGTGTGGCTGAGTTGACAAGTCTTGGAAAGAGGGGTTTGTGGTAGGTTGCGCTCGAGATTCTCCGCCGGCGATGAGAAACCTAGATCATCATCAATTTAGGCATCGCATGTTTCCCTACTGAAATTAGAGATGGCTCGTTTCGTTTCATGAACCATTTGAGAATTCGTGGCGCGGTGTGGTGTGGCGTCATGTGTACCCAAGGCTGCGCTCTTTGAAGGCGAGAGGCCCATATTTCGGGATGGGCGAAGTGAGATATGCGACCTTCAGGCACATTGATCGCCCCATGCATCGCAAACTTTATCTCTGGGCTGCGATCCGTCGCCTATACTTTATCAGAATGTGTCTCCTTTTAAGCTTAACTGTTGCAGATCGTATATTCGCGGCGCCGGTTGCAGCAATTGAGGCTGGGGCAGTACGAACACGCGTCCGACTAGCCAATAGAGGCGCGACTTATCATCCGAATCACGATTTGGATCTGTTATCCTCGCGTCGTCTTTGTCTTGTCATAGCCTGGATGCGCATGGAAGCTATAAATAGAGAGCAGGTCGGACTTGGCTGCCTCGCTTGGACTCACGCGGGTCTATCGGAAGCGGGGGAGCCGGCCGCATTCGACACAGCTGCCTCCGGTAAAAATGACGTCCTATAGATTCATAATCATCATCATCGTCATCGTCAGCCGCAGCAGCAAGGGTAACCACTTTCGCCCACCGGTTCTTTCGTGTCTCGTAATTCGGATTCGAGGACACCACGCGCTACGGCCACTTTCGCCGATGATTAACCATGCCGTGCACCCCTTTAGGCTAGAAACATCCCGCAAATCTTGAGATTAGGGGTATACAGTGGATCTGGATTGGCGTGTAGTCTCTTAGTATGCTTACTCTTTAGCTACCCAGGAGTTGGTAGAGCGACTGAAGTCGAGGAAATGAATGGGATTAATAGGCTATGTGATGGTTCCCGTTTTTGAGACCAGGCATTTTCAGCTTCATGCCTAGTACCATGACTGCTCTGGCCCAACTGTGAATCCTACAAGGTTCGAATGGGTGTCTGTTAGAAGTAGGGATCAAGTGGCAGGGCACGATGGTCCGTGCGAGCTTATCCAACCACAGTAGAAGATGGGCCGCGAATACGACCTAACGGAAAAGACATTCGGGTTTCAATGTTCGGATTGCGAGAAGGATAGCTGTGCCTTGCAAGTAAAGAAAGATATAAAAGAAGTAGTCCAAGATTTCCATCCACAGTATCTGCAATCTACAATCAGCTCCTACATTCCAGACAGCCATGGCACCTCCTCATCTTTTCACCGCCTTGGGCATCTTTGCCACGGCTTTGGCTGCGTCAAACAACGCAACAAGCTCTGGCGCCCAGGGCGCTTGCGGAGAGTTGGCGACCCTGTACCCAGACCTCCTCCTCACTCGAAACTCGACAAACTACACAGTTGAGGCCACGCACTACTGGGACATGAAAGCCAATTTGAAGCCGCTCTGCATTTTTCAGCCGACCAACGCGGATCAAGTTGCCAGTTCGGTTACCATTTTCAACAAGTACCAAGCCCACTTTGCGGTGCGTGGTGGAGGACATATGAACGTAAGTGACCAAGAGCCCTTGAATACCGCTCTCGCTTACGTAAAGATAGTACGCTGGCTCAAACAACATCGACGATGGAGTTTTGCTGGCTTTGAACGGACTCGATCACTTGGAGATCCTGGAAGATGAAGGGCTTGTTGAACTTGGGCCTGGAAATCGCTGGGAGAACGCCTACAGCGCTCTTGGAGCAGTCGGAAAGTACATGATCGGCGGTCGGCTCAAGTCGATCGGAGTGCCAGGTCTCTCCTTGATTGGTGGAGTGCACTACTTCGCCAACAAATACGGATATGCCATGGACAACGTCATGAGCTATGATGTGGTCCTGGGTAATGGCACTCAGGTTGTCGCCAACTCAACTTGCAATCCGGATCTCTTCTGGGCGCTGAAAGGTGGTGCTAACAATTTTGGGGTGGTAACAAAATTCGTGTCGAAGACATACGATATCCCCAAGATCAGCACCACGATCCAGGCATTCAACGAGAGTACGGTTGCAGATTTCATCAAAGCTGTTTGCGCTTTTGCTCTGCACGACGATCCTTCGGTTGGTGCCGGCGCAGTCATCACGATCACCTATAACGCTACGACAAAGGAAGTTTCTCCATCGATCCTCGGTGTTCAAGAAGGCACGGAATCCCCTCCCTCCAAGTTTGCCGAGTTTTCGTCCATTCCTGCCGTGCAGAGGATCAACAACGTTACGACTCCGCCGCAATGGCATGCCAACCTCGATTCGCCATTCCAGATGTTCAGGTGAGTCTCTACGCTGGTATACACCATTCGTCAAGCCTCTAAATCAACATATAGAAATTCCGCCGGTCATCATGCCATCAAGCCGGATTTCGATGCCATCTGGGACATGTACACCCAGTGGAAAGCCGCCGTTGATGACATTGCCGATGTTGAAGGCCTGTATCCTACGTTTGTGTTGAACATGGCACCCAAGTCTGCTGCTTCTGTGGCCAAGACGAACGGAATTGGAAACACGTGGGGCCTCGATGATGATGCATCTTATATCTGTATGTATCCGTCAACAAAATTCCTCGCTAATCATCAGACTAACGAACATTTGCAGGGTGGCAATTCTCCACTGGCTGGGCTTCGAGCAAGGATGATCTGCGCATGACATACTGGAGCCGCTCACTGATTGAAAAATTCCATGCAGCGAATAAGGCCAAGAATCTGTCCTCCGAGTTCCTTTACATGGGCGACGCTGCCGATTGGCAAGACGTCTTTGTCGGATTTGCTCCTGGTAATGTTGAGAAGATGAAGCAAATCAGGGACAAGTACGATACGGACGGCGTGTTCCACAAACTAAACTGGGGTGGGTTCAAGCTTGGCTACTAATGGAAGATAGGCTATCTGTCTGTCGTACCATGACTGCTTAGCCAGCTCAGTGTATATAAGCTACTTCACTTCATATGTGATTAAGGGCTTCTCTTTCATCATAGCTATATCTAATAATAGATCGCGTAAAGTAGCTTCTACATATTTTTCCTCCAGATGTACATTCGGGCTTTAAAGTCCCCTACGTTATGTAAGAAACTGGTGTGCACAATGCGATAAACCTACTAGCCTACCCATCACCACCACCACCGCGACAGATACCAGTGCCGCCCAGCATACCAACAGCGCCACACCAAAGCAACCATCATTGGCAAATAAGGAATAAAAACAAAGCGCAAAGACAGCTCCATCCTCCGGCCAAGGACTCCAAGTGTCAGTACGACCGTGGCATGCGCTCCGCAAAACGCAGAGACCTCAGCCACTCCCCAGATTCGACGGCCTACTCGCCTCATTCGCTGACGTCATGTGCGTCCTCCTTCTCTGCAACACTGGGAGTCCCGAAGCCATGGTATAGCAGTGCCTAGCCTGCAGTCGAGCTGGCCGACGAATGATAATAGACAAACATGGAGTCTCATCTTTATTTGTGTGCTTGCTAGCCAGAGAACGTCGCCTTTACGTGTTTGCAAACATGTTTGCTTCTGGGTCCAGCAGGAATAATGGCAGTTGCGGCGGCGCGATCAACGCATGCCAGGCAGCGCTCTCGCTCGACTGCCTCAACAACTAGTTCTTCGCCAGGCAAGTGCTGCGGCTCGTCAACCTCATGCGGCTGGTGCGTTACCCCTGCAACCTACTTGCACGGTTGTGAGATGCTGCTGCTATTGTGCACCGTGGATATGGATCGTTCGGTGAAACCCTTAGGCTGTGCAAGTGAGGCTGAGCTCAGCAAAAAGATACATCTGGTCCAATCAGGATCACAGCCACGAGAAAGGAGGTCCTTTTGTGGCTTGCCGGTGAAAGATCATGGATGGCGGCCATTCAGCTCCAGCTGAAGTAAAGATAAGGAGAAAGGTCCAGATTCCTATAGGGTGGTCATGTAAGCAAGGCCAAATTCCACATCCAATGATGGTGTTGGTACCCTGCATGTGTTCATCTGAGCCGAGGCAAGGCTTTCATTGGGAGAACGACCTTATAATCCGGAAGTGAAACTACAAGACCATCTAAACTCATCAAACGACTAAGACGGACTCTTCTTGCTTCCACGGTAATTGCATACCCTGGGGAGCCTTTGTTCATGACGATTGTTTCAACATTTGGGGCACTATTGCTCCCTGCCTCTGGGGTAGTCAAGGGAGTAGCGTCTATATTGCGCGCACCGTGGCTCCAGAAATCACCAATTCAGAGGGCAGTCCGAGCCGATGCCGTCTGTCAAGTCATCAGAACCGAGGTCTGGCGCCCAAGATCTGGGGAAACGATTAAAGGAATACGACTGAAGAAAAACGCCCTATTATTGTCACAAGCTGATCCTACACAACAACAACAACAAAGGCGCATACGGGCCAGACTCTGGACTCCAATGATACCGGTAGCGGCCCCTGATGAATTAGCCCCACGGAATAGGCTGAAGAATCTCATTTTTTTTTTTGAAGTGTACGGATCGTGCTCCCTCCCTGAGAGCCACAGCCTGGCCGTGGTTCCAAAAGACACGGTCAAATCACATGGCCAGGCTTTGTTGCAAACCGAATTCTCCAAAGGCGCAAAGGAGAGGATTGTTGAACACTCACATGAGCTTATCATTCCCACGCATCCTCGTACTTCACAGCATCCCGCCGGCCTCACAGTGGTATCCTTTTTCTTCGTGAGGTTAGGTGTGATTCTGATAAGCTCTGTTTCTCTCGTTGTTGTTGGCTCACTCTCAGGACTTAAACCTGGAAAGAGCTCTGCAATGCCCTCGCTTCTGGAGATCGTTTTCGATACCGAATCGGCCTTGGATGATTTTTTCAACCCGAGAAGGAACAGAGAAGCGGCCGGAATCTACTCTTTCAGGGGTACATACACAAATTCAAGAAAGAACAGGAATGGTACGAGGTGAAGAAAAAGAAGACAGACGAGGACGAGACGGGGTCGGCACGGAGCAGTGGATGGAACTCGATCCCCCCAGGAATTCGCCCCGAGCCCCAATCTCTCTCTCAACGCTGGTATCAAATCGCGCAGTCAGGGCTGATTCTACGCCGCCATTGTACTTGGAAGTGTTTTGCAATCTGCTGTGTTGGCCTGGACAGGCCTTTCCAGGCCCGTGCTCAGCCTTGGGAAATCAAAAGTGGAGGACGCCTATGCGGCGCCTATGGCCGCAATTGGAACGATCCTTCTATCCTGCGGAGTCGGATTATGTGCTGACATGATCGAGAGGAGCACTGATGAACGTGTTTTCAGAAGAAGCTTAAACGATGAGACCGAGCACCGGGCCAGGGTATTCTGGATTCAGCCCGCGCCTTAGTATGTTGGTGATCAAGCATTTGATTCCTTCATATACACGCATGATAGGGGAACCTTTCACCAATACACGACCTCATGGCGATCAAAAGAGTCGGCCCCCATACCCCACGTCTTTCTAGGTCTTTTCCTGACGCTTATGGGGTACGTAATCCAATTCATTGGCTTGAGAGCATGTCATTCCTCTGTGGCTGTTGCCCAACTCCGCTTGACCGTACTTATGAGCTTTATTCGAGCTCTACTTCGCACCGAACGAATGCCTGAAGACCTCAATCTACTTTTCAAAGGCTCGGGCGGTCTAGACACATATCAGGGACACGAACTTAGCTGGCTCGCATCGTACCTCGCAGTCGATGGAAAATGCAAGAAATGGCACATTCCCAACCAGGGAGGGACACAGTTAAATCGCCTGGGAGAGTTCAGTCTAATAGGAAGAGTAATTCCTGAATGCTTGAAGGAAGCTGTTCTCCCAGTCGACCAGCATACTTCTAGGCTTCGGTTACCTGCGGAGGGCCTAGAAATCGAATCGCAATTCCGCCAATGGCTCCAGAACCCTTCCACAGTCAACAGGGTGACCGAATTGCCCGATCTAGTCCGTGCGGTCCTCTACCGCGCGCGTCTTGCGCACCTGACTCGCTCATGGCGGGATGAACACGTTGCTGGCCGGCGTATGGCTCAAAGCCTCGCACAGGCCATCGAATCTACGACAGAAATCCTTTTCACTGCAGACTTCGAACTCGAGAAAGGATGGAACGAGGCATCCACCATCTCTTGGGCCGTCCCTTGCGTGTATGGATTTCAATCACAATTCCACTTGACTCTGCAACGAAAGATGGGCTTGAATGGCTACACCAAAGGATGGCAGATTGATCGACCTAGCCTTGAAGCTATTGTGAGCTTGTGGATTTGGAATCTCGGATTGGAAAATGCCCACAAGCAAGATGACCATGAAGATGATGAGGGACCCTGCAATCCGGAAAAGCCATTTCGACGTCTGTTCCTGCCTCAAAGAAACAGCCTAAACCTCATGGAGTACTTGGGCATAGGGGTAACGCCAATCAGAGGGAAACTACTGAGGGAAGTAGGGGCTATCCAAGGCCAGATCTCACCATACACGTCCCGTGATCTAGCAGTAGACGGAGCCAATTGGCGTCGGCTGTTTGGGATGTCCAATTGCGGCGTCGTATCCCTGCATGAAAAGCCAGCTTTCTGCGAACTTCCAACTTCTTCCAGTTCTGCGATGCTTTTTGTCCAAGAAATCTACTCGTTCTTCTTTTTGACAATGGCGAATATCATCAATGGTATTGGCGGACGGACGCTAGTTGCTAAGCACATCAGAGAGTTCCGTATAACCAACACGAATCTCTCTCAAATTCAAGAAACGTTTGAGAGGAGTGGTCTTGGGAGCCGCGAAGATTGCTTGCAGTGTATCCTTCTACCATTGATATCCCAACGGAAATTTTCACGGACTATCGAGAACGCATTGCGCTATGGGATAAAGGGGGGTGACGATGAATCCGCCAATCAACTCCTGGATACCGAGGGAATTGACATAGACTCCAAAGATGACAAGAGCCGTACAGCGCTGTGGTATGCAGCGAGTCGCGGCAGGCAAGGTATCCTTGAACGGTTGTTGGACACCAGGAAAGTGGATTATAACTTGAAGGCCACGAAGCATGGCCGTTCACCAATACACGAGGCGGCAGAGCATGGCCATGCAAAAGCTGTGGAAAGATTGCTTAAGGAGCCGGGAATCGAGCCACACGCAAAAGACAAATACGGGGAAACAGGTTTGTTTTGGGCCAGGCGACATGGCCACAGAGAAGTTGAAAGGCTACTTGTTGAGTACCTTAAAGAGATTGAAAAGCCCCAAACAAGAGGTAGATAATCCCGAAAGCGACTATAACTACGAACCCTAAAGTTCAAGGCAACGTAGGCTGTTACAATGTGAAGGAGCTGGGATTCGACCAGCTGATAGCGGTTTATAGCTTTAGTAGTGATACAGGATATGGACGTTTAGGAAGAAGCTTAGGATGATTGGGCGAAGCAAAGAGATTGGATTATTGTTGCTAGAATTCTATCTAAGAAAAACACTTTTATACCCGTATTTCCTGCTCAAACAAGCCCAATCCGGAAGGCGGAAGACTTAATCAGTTAGTTTGCCTTTTGGTAAAAGCGAAGTTAACGTCAAGACTTTATACTAGGCTGATTGACTTCATCAGTTCCGAAGTCCGGTCACGTGTAAACACTTAATTATTTCTGCATAGACATCTTAGTCTGCAATATATAGTATAGCTAATACTCAGGCGTGTCGGGGTCAAGTTTAAATACTGCTGCGTGAGAGACACACGCCGTTGGAGTTGCCCGAGGTAACACATCCCGCCCTTTGACAGCATAATGTGACTGAGTAGCATTTAGAGAGTGCCTACCACCTAATACGGTACGTTAAACTACTATGAAAGAACAATGAAAGGGTGTTCAGCATCAGCTGGCCAGCTCAAGACTTTTCCCTCAAAGCTTTCCCGCAGTCTCCTTAGACGAAGCAAATGGTCGATTGTACTTTCGTGAATGAACCGCCCAAATTGACGTGTCAATGGCACGTGAAAGGATTGGAGGCCTGCCCAGTATTCCCTCTTGCTCTGATTTGAGTCACCCGAAGTGTTCGTGATTTTCGGTTGTTCTGTGTGCCGATCCACCAAAAGCCATCGCTGAATTTGCGGGAAGTGTTCTGCAGCAATGAGGGCGCTTCGGGTCTTCTCTCCGTTGAAGTATGTCACCATTGCTCCACGACGTACGAGGACCGCGACTGTGGGCAGATGGCCCGTCCTACAGGCTACCATCAAAGGTGTTCCGTCATCGCTACCCTCAAGATCAACATTGGCTCCGAGGCGTACGAGTAGATCTACCGCTTCGGGACTATCCACAAATGCTGCATAGCAGAGTGGTGATAATTCAGAGAGCTGTGCTTTCTTGTTGATCGTGCCTCGAGCTGCACAGTCGGACGGCATTCGTTTCCACAATTTCTTCAACAGGGAGACTCTCTCCATTAGAATAATTGATGCGGCGCCGATTTGATCAATGTGATCCGGATTGATACTGGCTACCATTGCGGTATTCAAAAGGAGGGAAGGTCTGAGAGTCCCCCCGCTCCAAGACTCCGCAACTGGGAAATCTCCGAAACGATTTCTGATTTGTGCGCAGCCACGATATAGAAGGTAAGCCAGCACCTCATTGCTAGAAGACTTTGAAGCTAGTCTCAAAAGGCTCTTCTCGGCCGTGGACGAGGTATAGATGTTGGCACCGTGTTTCTCGAGCTCGACCAGCGCTTCGAGACTTCCTAGTAGTATCGAGTACTCAACTGGAGTCCCACCGCGGAAGTCACTCACAAAAACATTCGCGCCGTATCTTATCAAAGCTATGAAAGCTGACATTGAGCCCATCCTCGTTGCCACATGAAGCGGCGTCTCCAGGTTCCTGTTTCTGCCCTCAATATCCGCATTGAAGTGCATCAAAGTAGCCACAGCAGCAGCGTTGTCGAAATAGGCAGCGAGATGGAGGGGGGTATATCCATGTAGATGCTTCGTTGGTATATCTACACCTATCCTGTACGGCCCACGGGCCGCGTTGGTATTGATTGCAATGTCCAGGATGGGGTGTCTGCTGTCTTCCCAGGTATCGAACTTGCTCGTGCATCCGTAATGCGTCAGCAAACACATGAGGCCGTCATTATTATGCAGTCCAACCGCCCAATGAATCGGATGAACGGCGTGTCCGAGATGCAAGTCACCGGCCTCGCTCTGGCTGAGAATGTTTCGGAGCTCTTTATCGTCTAGGCAAAATCGGAGAGCGAGGTGTGAGCACGATGCCCAAGGGTATCGTGAATGTCCACAGGAGTAACCTGAAAGTGCAAACCCCCTTCCCCGAAGGAGCGTCACAGTATCAAAACGCCGGTATTGCATAGCGAACAGTGCGGGACTGCAGCCGCAGCAGAACAGGGGATCCTGATCAGTTACAGCTCCAGAATCAAGAAGCTGGATAATAATATCTCTGTCTCCTCTCGCAATTGCGTCTTTAAAAACCTCGTCAGCACCAGAGACGCGTGCACGAGTTGACGGGACGCTTTGGAGTGCACCTGTTTGTGAAATGTGTCAGCTTTCATGGCCATGATTCCGCAGCTGAAGTTTAGTCGATAGGAGCGACGCCCTATGGCAAAGCGTATTCTTTGTGCTAGTTATTTAATCAATTCACGTACCTTTATGAGTTGTTCTTCCACGATGAATCAGTTTGGACAATCCGGTATGCTTATACCACAGCGCCACAAAGTCTGGTAATCTCCCATGACTGTCGGGAAGATGTTTACATCTACACTGCAGCAGCTTTCGGATGATATCTTCGAAGCCATGCTTAGCTGCGTAGTGAATGGGGCTGCATCCTTCCTCGTCCTGAGCATCGATGTCGGTCCCATTAGAAATCAGGACTTCGACCATCGCGGGTGACCCAGACATACAAGCAAGATGCAAGGGTGTTTGGCCACAATCATCTAGTGCGTCCACTTGAGCACCTCTTGACAAAAGGTATTGGGCTGATTCGACATTGTTGGTGATTGACGCAAGGTGCAAAGGTGACTGACCGTTATCATTCCGGCTGTTCAGATTGATTGAGCCGGCCCACGATAGAACATCTTTGAGGACTGCAACATTTCCTGAGACTAAATGAGCCAAGGTACAACCAGGCAGGAAGTACTCCATCGAATCATGTGTTGCCACTGTAACATCGACAGGACCAACGTTCTGAACATCGAAAGGCCTGAAAGCCTTCAATAAGTCCGGACTTGTGCTGAAGGCGGCATGGTGCAATGCATTCCAGCCCATGCGATCCGCTTTTGTTGCATCCGCACCATGGGAGAGTAGAACTTGGATGTGTTTGGTTTTCCCCATCAAGACTGCAAGTATCAAAGCGGTCATCCCGTGCGGCTGACAAACGGCATCAACGTTGGTTCCAGCGATGATCAGCTCTTTCATTTGCTTGATGTTGGTTTTACTCTTGTTCTCACAGCAAATGTGAACAAGCGTACGCTTATTTCCCCGGAAGGTCCCAGAAATTGCTTTCTCTGGGGATTTGGCTATCAGTCGTCTCAGCAGAGAAATTGATGCCTGTGCGTCAATACATATCTCCAGGAGCGAGTTGCCGTTGTGGCCTGGAATGGAGGTTGCTACATCTTCCGCATGGTCCAAGAGCCGATTGGCTAGAGTATCTTGTAGCCCCCAGAGGGCCCATGCGAGCATACGCGATACTAATCTCTCATTTGAGAGCAACGTGACGCCATCCGCATGACTTATCAGCTCCAAGAATAGGTCTGCAACTTGTGAGAGTTCCGGTTCCGATCGCTCAACGCACCGTTCATGTTCAAGAAGCACCTCAATTGAGGATCTTCCGGTCTGGCCCAAAGTGATGATATCTGGGACGTGATCGAGAAGTTTGCGGAGAGCCAGAACAGTCTTGCTGTTAACAAATGAGTGGCCAAGGAAAAGGAGCAGGGGAGTGTTCCCTTCTAGGTCTTCAAGGCCGACAGAAACAGGGGTGATGGTTAGCTCCAGGAGTGATACTAGAACGGATTCCTCTTGCCAATCTGGTTTGCTTAGAAGGAAATGAGCGGGTGTCTTTCCATCATTATCAACAGAGCAGACGTCAATCCCTCGTTCAATAAGTATGCTAGCCTTTTCCGCCGCGTTTCGAACACTGCGTTCGCAACAGAGGTGCAGTGCATTGCGGCCGTTTTTATCCAGTAGGCCAACGTTAATGTTCGACGAAAGTACTGAGTTGAAGAACTCCAAAGATGAGGTGACAGAATGAGCAAGGATGTCCCACCCAATTGTTGCTTCTATGCCGGAAAGATCGTCGTATGCGGAAAGTAAAAGAGAAAGGAAATCCTCATTGAACTTCTTGGTAGCTATCAGGATAGGCGTTAGTCCCCTGGCATTTTGCTCCTCAAGGCTGGACTTTGCAAAGCCGTGGTGGTTCAGTAATATGCGAAGGACGTCAATATTGCCTTGTCTTGCTGCGAGGTGGTAGATGGTGCATCCCTCAACATTCCGATCGTCTGGATCTGCGCCTCGGTCAAGTAGAAGCGATACCATGGATTCGCTGCGGATATTTGCACATTTGTGCAACGCTGTTTCTCCGTATACATCCCGTATACTGACTTCAGCACCGTAGTCCAGCAGGTGCCTAGCTGATGAGCTTGACCCTTGCTCAACTGCCACGTGCAGAGCAGTCTCGCCACGCTCGGGTGTTGTTGAGTTTACATTCACCAGCTTGGCCTTCAGCATGTCTCGAATGGTTTCTGGTTGATCCATGAAGCTTGCGCAATGAAAGAGCGCGACGTCATTAGATGACCCAGGAGTGTGTTGATCGGTGGAATCGTGAACGCCATCATGGTAGCACCAGTGAAGCGGAGTGTAGCAATCTACAAGCTTGCACAAGTGTAGAAACTTATGCTTGCACGAATCTTCGATGTCCTCTTTTTGAAAACAATCCAGAATTGCCCGAACCTGCTGTGTTCTGCCTGCTTTGCGTACCTCGTCCATAATTTCGAGGAATTCTTCGTCCGCCTGCGCCCCTGCTAATAGCAGCAGTCTAACAACTTCATTGACCCGAGATTTCTCCTGATATGGGTTTCGGACTAGAGCCAGAAGCGAGTGCTCGGTTATGTCTGCATCGACGAAGCAGCATTTACCATTTGCGCCCGCCTTGACTATGGTACTCAGCACGTCCAAAGTCCTCGAGTTAATCCTCAGTATCGGGTTGTCTGGATTGTTGGCAAGCTCTCTCCACACTCGGAACTCAACAGTCTGTTCCTGCAACAGTACCCAGTGCAACGGTGAGCCGAGAAAACTGACGTCATTAACCGAGCATCCGCCCTCAATGAGCCAGTTGCACAAAGGCGCATTCTCAAAGGAAACAGCCAAATACAACTCTTTCACTGCTCGCGATGCGCGTAATATTTGTTGAAATCTCCTATCTGTTCTTGGGTACGCGTATGCAAGCTCCAGGAGCATGTAATCTTGCGCGAACCGGAGAAAGTGCATGTTGTTTGGAGGTCCGAAAAGTTGTTTCATCTTACCGAAGATGAAAGGATCTGACCATTGCTCCTCTGCATACTCAACTAGGTGCTCAATGGCAAATCTCCTGAAGGGATATTGATCGATCCAAGCTAGCCATTGGTCGTAGTCTCCGAACAGGGGATGATCAAACTCCGGGAAGGTTGCGTATGTTACACACACCTTGGCCAATTCAAGCATGCTAGCTTTTTTCGTGAAGATGTAAGGAGCCAGATCTGGAATGTCTAGCTTTGCCTCTGTCGTAAGGAATTCTTTGACGGTAAAATGGGCAAGCTCGAGACGAGCTGTGTCTGAAGACCTCCTGACAAGGCTGCTACAATGGGTCATGATGGCTCTAATCGTTGGTTGCCGCGTTGGATCGTCCTGAGTCATGTCCTCCGAAATTGAAACAGCCACACGGAGTTCAGTCTCGCCTAGTATGTCTTGGGTATAGATGAGCCATCGCAGCGTCCTCTGGACAAGTGTCTGTATCTGAGCGGAGCGAGTATTAATTGTCTCCAGGATTCTGTGGTAGCTTGCATCCAGACTGGGAGGTAAGGACTTAAGCGCGCTTCGCATGTCATATTCGTTTGTTTGCTCGGAAAGGTAGTCCATTTGGCAGGCTACCCAGCGGAACCTTTTGTTGCATTAGGTTAGCAAGCAAACGACTCTAAAACATACATTCGCACTTACATGCCATCTGCACCTTCAACCAAGGCCTTCAAGATCTCATCTTTCAAACTCGCACTGCTTAAGTCCAACCTTCCATCGATGATACGATTTTCCATTTCAGCCGCAACGTACAGCCTCAAATCTTCGCTGCGAGCAGCAATCTGGACATGAACAAAATCTGTCTCCAGTTGCTGTCTAATCACCTCTTCCGACCTTGAGAGCAGGGAAACTTTCACCCTTTTGCCGCTCTTAGTGAGCTGGTCTGTCTGGCGGAGTAAGCTGGTAACTTCGCGTGTGTGATCTCCGCACTCGTCCAACCCATCAACGATGAGATAAACGTCGTCGAAGAATCCACACATTTTTTGAACGGCAGTGACCAACATAGAGGCCTCTGGAGACCTTGGCATACGGGATGTGGGGTGGCATTCTTTGTAGAGGTTCCGGAGTAGCTCAAACGCTTCTAAGCTTTGCTGAGCGAGCTGCGTGGCAATGGAACCGAGGATCTTGGTGGGATCTTGGCTGTTTTTCTCTTTGTAGTCGCAATAGAAATACGCAACTGCGATTTTGCCGATCTGGACATGCTTCCACGCTTCTTCGATGATGACAGATGCTATAACCGTTTTTCCCGCCCCAGGAATGCCGGTAAGCCAAAGCTTAGGACTTCGTCCGTCAATCCATGCAACGAAGTCGTCATCTTCGAGGAGCCATAGTCCCGTCTCGGGGTGGCGAAGTCTCATACTGGTTCTGTGTCGATCTTCTGGCGATTCACCCCCAAAGAAGCCGTAGGTGTCTCGCTGCTCTTTTTCCGTATACAGCGCAGATAAATGCGCTTCGAATATCTGTTTCTGCTTGGCAATCGCAGATTTGATTTTCGCAAGGTCATGCTGAACAGATCGGTTGGCTGACAAAATATCTTGAAGCGCTTGAATAGTATCTGCCGAGAGGGCTAGAACTAGTGTAGACTTGTGCTGCTCAATTTTTGCTAGGATCTCCTTAACCTCATGTGTTGCGAATGGCCACATAAGCTGCCGCAAAGCCGAATGTGCGCGCCTCAAACCAGACTCAGACGGGTCATGTTTTTCGAGTTTCTTTCGTATTTCACCCAGCAACTGGGTACAAGAGTGAACGAGTCGAAGCCGGTAGTCGGCTGGGTAGTCGTCCGCATCGCCTTCTGCGTCCAGCCGCGCAGCAAAGAGCGAGAGGCCATGGAGGGCGCCGGAGAGGCTCTGAAGGCTGTCGCAAAGTGATTTTACTTCGTCCTTTGCTTCTTTAGCGGATTTGATGTACCTCACAGCGCGAATGAAAACAATGTCAGCCAAGGCAACGAGCCCAGCTATGCTGGCAGACACAGAGAGTGGGTCAGCCATTCAGCAGATGGGTGGTAGTGCATCAAACGTTGAGGGAGTGGGTCTGAGAATGTTGAGAAGCAGAGCTCGGGAACGCCCTGTGTAATATATCAGGAGGCTGCTGCCTAGAACAGCCTCACAAGGAAATTACCTTGCATGTGGCGCAATAATGTGGTCAGCCTCTCCAATCGTGCATGTCGCCTCATATATGATTATGCCGCCAGCGTTTGGTGCGGCTGACTTTTGGGTGATACATGTTCCATTGATTTGCCCGGCTATCTCGATAGAGAGACAGCCAAGCCTTTGAGACGCATAACGCTTTACTCTAGTTGGTGGAGGATGCGGATCAACACGGACTTACAGCCCCCTCTCGCAGCTGATGGCTAGCGTGGATTTGTTTTTTGCTCATATTATGGGCAATTAAAGTTATCTTCCGGACGAGAATATCGAATTTAAATTTCTACATACACGTCCAGACGGTAGCTTCAGCTACTCACATATATTATTTTTCTAAAGCAGAGCTGAGGCATAGTTACGTTGTGTTCTAGAGCCCTGCTGTTCTTCGCGCTAGCTATCGGCTGCAGCCACCCTCTGTAATTACCCTTCAGATCGGGCAACGCTAACATCGGCTCTGTCAGCTCACCTTGCATCACTTGCATCAAGCCTGTTTCCTGCCTAGCGCAATGCAAATCATTCCCAAATTTTACCGTGTACAGTTCCAGGCCAACGATTGGCTGCAAGATAAAAAGCCTTTCTAACCCATACGCGGAACAATGAAACGCCACTTCTCAGAAACTGGCTGGATTAATTTACTCGTAACCATAGGTCTCGGGTAGTAGAAGCTGTACGAAGATCGCTGCGGCATGAGCACAAATCGAAAGCACTGTCACGGCATCAGTAACGCGATGATATTTCATTGAGGGAAAATAACTCACGCGGGATGTATCGGAACGCAGAAAGATACGACTTGCGAACAATGAGGCTGATGCTTTTTGGAAGCTCTTGGTAGAATCTTGCGTCTTTGATGATCTCCTCGATGATCTGTGATTATCAGCAAAACCCATTATCTTTAAGCGTCGATGGCGAAGTAGCCACACACGTCACGCGACCATCACGTGTACTTACCTCATTCCTGTTCCACCCTGGATCCTCCACGCGCCCAGAAGGTAGAGAATTTTGAAGCTTCTCTTTAAACACGTTCCGCAGGAGTTTGGCAGCCGTATTGGTCCCAATAACGCAGCCGACCTGCTGTGCGAGATAGTAAGCCGTGACTCCCTCAGCCGAGAAGCGCCGTGGCGTCGAACGGGCCATGCCGGCAAACTGGGCCGACATCGTCCAGCCGAAGGATATGCCGAGTGCAAAGAGGAATAAGAGCCCAGAGGGGTGGCGCTGAAGCTCACTGACGCCACTGTTGTCGTCTGGGCTCTGAGTCCAGCGCAGTGCAATGCCCAGGTATGCAGCAATGCCGACAGGGGCGAAGATGAGGGTGGGTAGTTTGTAGCGAGGATATCTTCGGGGAAGGTCAGTCATCGGCTTGCTCTCGCTTCAGTATCAAGACGCACCTGGTGAACATCATGCCGGAAATGAGACCCCCGACGGCGATTCCAAAGGTATTAGGGAGCATGTGCAGCGCTGCTACGGTGTTGCTGGCTGCCCGGCTGTAGATTTGAAAAGGAACCAGGTTCGTGACTGTCTGTAACGTTGTCAGCAACTCAGCCATCATGCGGGATGGGAGTGTCTTGCCGCAAACAACCCAAACAACAAAAAAACCTGGATTATGTAGAATCCACCTCCTACTTTCAATTTCAATAATGATAAAGGAATGAGAGGGTTCTTTGCCAAAGATCGTTCGATCATGACGAAGGTGAGTGTGGAAACTACGCAGACTACCGCCAAACCGATGGTCAAAGGATGGGCCCACGGAAGCCGATCCCCACCCAGATCTATGAAGAGAATGAATGCTGTAACAGCAACCATAAAGGTAAGGATGCCAGAGAAGTCAATCTCGCGTACGGCTGCGAGCCCCTGTTTGCTCTCCTGTTCCGGCGTCCTTTCCCGTGTCAAGTTTGTCGGCAGGGTGAATGCAATGAAGATGGCACAGCATATGCTTAGAGGGCATAGTGCACGGAAAGCCCTATTTAAATCAGTTGCACTAGTATGATCAAAATGGTGATGTTCTTACCAGCGCCATCCGACAATGTCTGCGAGCATTGCCCCAAGCGGCGGTCCAGTGCTTCGCCCAATTGTCGCAATGACTGTTACGTAGCTGCGAAAGAGGGCAATTTGGCGCGGATGCGCGATGTCTCAGCGCGTCGTCAGTAGCGATGCAGTAAGAAGTAGAGCTGTACGCCTGCTTACCGGTAATGATGACTGACACGATTCCAATCAGGCCTGCGCCTCCAAGGCCGGTGACGAATCGGCCGGCGACCGCAACCCAGAGGGATCCAGAAAGTCCACTGTTTACCATCAGTTCTTAATTGTTTGTCTTGCAGAGGTTTTTCTTATGCGCATCTAACGTACACCCAGAGATTGCCAATGGCGAACAATGCATACATAACGAGCAATGGATGCTTGCGGCCGTAGATCTGGGCAAACTTGCCACACTAATTTTGGATGTCAGCGTCACTCATTTAACCACTATCTTAATTTACTTCGCCTACAATTGGAAGTGCTATCGAGTAGCCCAGGTTGTAGCTGATCAGCAGCCAGGATGCCTCTTGCAAGCTGCGGAGATCGGAGCCGACGATGCTGTACATGGATACCATCATAGATTCGTCCGCCGAGGCCAGAAACGCACCTATATTTCCATGTCAGCATACATTTTCCTCTTGGATTCAAACTACTACCCAAGAGTATGGCAATAACACATAGGACGCTTCGAGCGTAGGAGGTAGCTCTCCGAGAGGTATTGTCATCGTGAGGGGACAATAGGCGCGTTGTCTCTTGGCTCTCCATGATTTGGCGAATTATGGCAGAAGTAGTATGCTCGAGGAGTGACTGCAACTATAGCTGACAGCAATTGTTTGCAGACAGAGGACACATCGATTGGGGCCAACAGTGAACAAGAAATAGACCTCATTAAGAACTTCCGTTGATGCTGCCGCTAGCCAGTCCCCACCAATTGTGTGTACGACGGAGCGATCAAAGCGGGGTCAAAGTTGTAAGCCCCCTCCTAGAGAATTAGTTGCATCGTAAATGTAACCACAGATAGTCGCACCCGGGAACAGTTCGAGCAGCATTAGATCCGGAAGCCATTGATGTGATTAGGATCCAATTGGGCACAGGTGGCGTGGCGGGTAATGAGTGTCTCAATGCGCATGCAGCTCTCCATGGTCCGAAACTGATTGCAGCTTTTCACCAGAATGGAGCATTCGAATCGAGGCTAAGGGTTTCAATGCGAATGGGTTTGTTTCGTGACCAGCAAGTACAAGGGGTTATGAACGGAGATTGCATTTACCTATAAATGCTAGATTCACAGAGCGAGGGGTCGGCGGGTGTCAGATCACACAACGACATTGTTACATCACGCGCTAAACGGTCTGTGGTGATACGAGTACCCGCGTTCGCCTTGCATGGTGCCACCCACGCACGTAAGCCAGAATGCTGCTCGAACATATCAAAGTACTAACGCTGCTGTGTTTTCCGCCCGACCGCGATTTAGAGATCAATCCTTTCTCGCAACCTCCGATCCTTTTTGTCTAAGGACATCGAATATTACTAGAGTTTGGCAGGCATGCCGGAGAGGCCAATCGTGTGCTGCTGCACTGCGTCGTGCAGGAGAGCCTCTTGGAACACGTGAGAGGCTACATGCCCCTTCTGAGCTACGTACAGAGGTTCCACCTTACGGATTCATTGGTTGCTGAGCTCAACGGCCTCGGTATTCCGTCGTCGAAGCACGCAGGCATGAGGATTGAATTCCTCGATGATCCCCAAGCCGTGTTGCGCAAGTTGTAGCACGCTCCCACTCCCCGCGGCAGATCGGCCAAAATTAGGTGCGGATCTCTGTCAACGGAATGTGATTGGAGCAACAGCAGGGCTTGACGTAGTTGAATGTCAAGGGGGCAAAGGGCGGCAAGCCAAGTCACTTCGTGACGGACTGTGCTTTCGATGATGCCGTATTTCCCGTGTCCCAGAAGCATGGGTTGGACCCTCCGCACTTGCGTCGTACGTAGAACGCGATCGATCATGCATGAGTGGGGTGGCTGTTCCCGAGGCGCTAAATGATGCGATGGCGTTGGCATCCAATGACATGGTCGCTTCTACCAGGGGAGCGAGGAGTGGCACTATGTGGATTGCGTGGCTCATGTGAAAATGTGGCAGGAAAATTGTTTCGGGACGACTGGGCTTTCCTTGCTGTCCATTTCCCTAATGGATGATCCTACACATACATGTGTGGCACAGTGCAAGATGAGGCGAAAGTGTCGCCAATCTATGCACCGTTGCTTGATCTTCCGCATATCGTAAATGCAAGTGAACCCAGGGGCTATTATGGCATGACCACATATTTCGGTGGGCTGGGGACAAATAGAATGCCTTATCGCTTCCTTGATCGTCAGCCTCCCACATTGTCGGTCGTTATGGAGCTAATTTAGAGGCCATGTGTCACTCATTTGGAAGCGCTAGCTGGTGGAAGATCTCGAAAGTACGACGTGGCCGATCGAGCCAAATGGCGAAAGTGATACAGGCGTACAGATCGGCAGCAGTGCGGATACTTGCCGGTGCGATAGGCGGGAGGGTTGCAGGGCAGCCCGATGGAACACAAAACGTGAGTGGCACCACGTCATTAGATCGCGGGACTGTCCGCGCGATTGGCTAACACAAATTCTTTGACAGGTCTAGCTACCAGCCCAGCTCATCAGCCCAGCCCTTTACAACTTCAGCCTCAGACTCGATGAACGACGTAAACAATTTCCCTCCCCACACCAGCTCATTGACCAGTTTGTTCTCCGCGATGTCGCCCGTTCGCATCGTTACCGTCCACAAGGCCAGTGATTTCAAGTAAAACCTCTGCCACCGTTGATCCTTAAAGTCCACCAGATTCAGCCATTATTTTATTGTGCGGCCTCCAATATTGCCCAATATGGGAAATGCATATTCTACGAGGCAATCGCCCATTGATTGAAGACGTCACCACCGTTAGCCGCGGATCCTGTAGGTCAGCTATTTTCCCGTAAACACGATTTAAGAGTTGAACTCATGTCCGTCTTAAAATGGCAGTAAAATTGAGCTCTTGCTCCTGCTATTTTCTTATCCCACATTTTCGTTTATTTTGAGAGAGGTTCTTTATGGAGAAGCACTCAAGGATAACCATCAAACTTGACCATGGCATATAGGATGCCTCAAGCGTAGGAGGGAATTCTCTGGGAGGTTTGAACATCATGAAAGGGCAATACATGCGCTGTCACGGTGGGTAAGATCGTCGAGGCTCCTGGGCATGGTGTTGGAGTCCATAGCGCGACGCATGACTGCGGCGGAAACTACTCCGGCAATTGGGGGCAGATTAGTACAGAGTTCTGATGCATTTCTTGTGTGGATAAGAGGGCTTTTGAGTATGAAAGGGGACGATTGTGGTGACGCCGGTGCTAATGCTACTGCGGCTTTGACTAAGCCTCTACTCGATCGACGACCCTCTAGCTTTAGGACTTGTTCAGACTGTGACATACGGGATCAGCGGAAGGCTTAACATGACATTTCCTACATGTAGTGTAAAATGGCAGATCGACTGCAGTGGGTACCCTTCGCAACATTTAGGCTGTAGCGTGGTCTGCCAATGAAACTGGGTGGATCATATACACAATGCCAGACCAAGTTACAATTGGTCTACTACGTGTAGATCAATACCCTGCACGCGGATCGGCGTGTGACCCGTCCCGCTGAAGGCACGCTGGCGGTTAGATCTCGGATCTGAGCACGTCCAAAGTGAGATCGTCAAGTGGGGCAGCTGAACTCGCACGACAGCTTTTGAAAGCTGAAGGCTAAAGGTGCACACTAATCGCAAGCCACTGGCAAACAAAGACAAGCGCGTTGCGGATCTCCAGGCCAAGCACCCGATCCAAGCATCGCGTCGCGTCGATATACGGAAATCGGCCCTTTTCTGGTGGCGTCCGGCAGGGCTGCTGAGCCTCTCTAGTGCGTCCGATAGTGTATAAAGCTCTCCCCTCCTCGAGTAGAAGAAGTTATCCTAGCAACAACAACAACACACCGTTCCACGAGCGCACTCATCAGAACAATATGTCAGACTACGATTACGAAGCTGATGAGGTCATGGCCAAAAACCAAATTTGGTTCAAGGTCGAAAACCAAACTGGCTTTCAATTGACAGCACAAAGTTGTTTTGCCGATTGGGGAGACTTTGCGGAACCCCCATCATCCGTAAGAAATCCTCCCGCTTCTTGGGGTTTCTTTCTAACTCTATCCAACAGGTTGCAGCTTATAGTACGGGACCTGGTGGACATGTTATCTCCGCTCAGAGCCCGTTCACTGGCTCAGCTGGAATGGTGGGCTATAAAGTCTCAGCGGGTTCTGAGACCTTATATCTTCGATTTCTTGGATCGAATCCCTACCTGAGCGCGAAGGACAATTACTCAACCTCGGCTGTCTTGGCGGAGGACCAACGCATCGGTCAGGGTGAGTATAACTGGCTCTACTATGAGCCGCCGAGGAATGGTGTCTCAAAGCCGTTTAATGGTGGAACTCTAAGGGTAAAAATTCTATTACAATCATCATTTATGCCATGGGAATTTGCTAACAGAATTGACTAGATCACGAGCCAGATCGGCCAGGCCGACGAGGCAACTGCAGTTTTTATAGTCGCCTTCGAAGAGTGAACAATGAACGTGGCGCACGGCCTCCTTGTCAAGTTACGGCATAAACGAGATAGTTATTCAATCAACTATTTCCAAACACGTTCCTGTGCAGAACATAGTCTTTCTAGAACCCGTGGTACGTCAGTAACTATGCTCCGCTGCCTTAGTAGCTCCTGACGGCCTGTCTTGTCTGAAGCGCGGAGGGTGAGGAGTTGAAGTACGATGAACTGCACGTAGAATTTGCCCATAATAGAGGTCCACCGCTAAGTGTTTATATACTCTGCTGGTCGCGTGCACTTTAGAGGGTAAACCCATTATGGTTTTAAATCGAGACATAGATGGTTGAATTTACGGAACATGTATAGCACGAGAATTGCAGTATAGGCGCCGAGACGGAGAAGCCATGTTTGAGCAAAAATACAACTCAATATGTAGAGATGATATAACCTATTTATTATCCTTTGATTTCAACGCCATCACATCTGAAATATGTTTTACGGTTGGATCTATTTTGTTCTGTAGAGAGTATAAGACAATAAAAGGGTAGGAGCAAGAGCTTAATGCCATTTCCTTCAAGAACGGCTTTGTACACAAGCCCTCAAGACCTCCGACCGCCCTTACCACCCCCGCATCCCACGCCTCCCCCGATAGCTCCGGCACCGCCCACTCCTCGACCTCGGGCCCGTCTCCCTGTTCGAACATGACGTACACCTTGGCATCGTCTTGTCACGACAGCGCCAGCTGCGTCAGCGGGAACGGCCACGAGCATTCCGGCCGCTCGGCGACGCTGAAGAGCGACGTCTTGTTCTGGCTGACTGTGGTCATGGGAACGCTGGCGGCGCCGCTGAGGCTGGTGTCTGCGGTGCGGTGACATGTCAGCCGGGAGCGGATCTGGAACGGGGGGTGGGACTCACATTTTGTCTCGGAGAGGGTGTCGTTGGCTGTGTAGTACTGGTGTTGCTCCATTCTACCGTCGGTGCTGACGGTGTAGAGCAAGAGGTTGGTCTTGCCGCCGTAGCGGTTCATGGCGAAAGCGGCGCCGATGGGGGTGGACATGTTGAGATCGGTGAAGAGCAATGAGTTGCTGACGGTGATGTTGCTCGTGTGGTCAGACCGTCGTCGTCGTCCAGTTGCCCCAGCATGGAGAGGGTCTGATTCACACTGTTGAGGGCCTGTGCCCAGTGGGCGGCTGGGTACGAGTTGTTGCCGGCGACAGATAGGCCGCTGAAGATGTCGTATTTCCAGTTGTGGGGGTCGTTGTAGGGGGCTTGACGCTCGTAAAGCTTGCCGCCGGAGCCCATTTGGTAGACGCTTTTGACCTTGGGGAGTTGGGTCAGCAGAGCAGCAGGGTAGGCATTGCAGAACATAATTTTGCATTGGATATCATGAGGTCTTCATAGGAGTAGCAGAGGTTGTCTGATAAGTTTTACACATTTAATCCAAACTAACGAAACCAAAATCGAAAATTGAGCACCCATAGCAACTCCAGGAATCCCCCCTAGTACAACTTTTACAACCTCGCTCTTCTAGAGGACGTCTCGCTGGAAAGGCTACATCTTCTCTTCCTGTTTCGATCTATCTCGTCTCAATGAATGTTGAAGCGGAAGATCAGTCCACAAATTGGTACGTGGAGCTGTTCCGTCGCCATCCCAGTCAAGGAGTCCACTTCGGCAGCGAGACCTTCAAACTTCAAATTCTCCGTCAGGCCATTCGTGGCTTCTCGGATCTCGGACGTATTCAGAATCATTTCCTTCATCTTGTTCCATTTTTCCAGGGGAATCAGGGGCTCCAACGGCGGGTCTTCAAAATTTACGGTATCAAAGACGTCGTATCTAAGCCGTCGCTGAGTACCTCTTTTGCGCATTCCTATGGCCCCCCTCTTGATTACTGCAGCTACAGGCGAAAACATTGTTGACCCCTGATTATCTCTCACGGTGAGGTCTGTGGTTCTGACTAACAACATTAAAAATGGACATGTTTCTTTGTTGCATCTGGGGTGTGTTGGTCCGTATCCTCTGATCGTTTCCAATGCTGCATGTTGAATCGCGTAGAAGATTGGAGTTCTTCCTTGACTATCCCTTAGATTCACATCTGCTTTGGCGTTGATGAGAAGTCTCAGGGTCTCCACGTCTCGTTCAGCCGCATGAAAGATTGGTGTTTTACCTTCGTTGTCTTTGATATGAATGTCTGCACCAGCTGCAAGTAGCTTTTCTGAGACTCTTGGCTGAGACTTGCGAATTGCCATCGAAAGTGGTGTGTATCCCTCATGGTCTCGAACGTCTACATTCGCCTTCGCAGCGAGCAGTAGATCAGTTATAACTTCTGAATCAATGCGCCGCAATTGAAGAGATTGATGTAGCGGCGTCCTCCCCTTGTTGTCCGGAAGATCCACTTGTGGTCCGTAAAAAAGGAGGATTTTGACCAATTCCTCATTTCCGTCAGCTACAGCGTGAAAAATAGGAGTACGCTGGCTTGAGTCTCTGAGATTTATATCCGCTTCACAATCAAGAAGGGCTTTGGCCAGTTCCGCATTGCAACGAGCTACCGCAAAATGAAGTAGAGTTCGTTGACTCGAATCTCTGGAGTTTACGTTAGCTCCGTGGGAAAAAAGCTTTCTGACCACTCCTATCCTCTGGTTCCCAGCGGTTGAGACAGCCAGTAGTTGATTGATATCTTCGTCAGACTGCAAATCGGCACCTGCGTCGACCAATGTGCCTACTGCATTCTCAAAGCCCCCCTGAATGGCTAGAATAAGTGGCGTTTTTCCTTGTCGGTCTCGAAGGTCAATTTTAGTTCCAGCCTTCAGAAGGACATCTAGGGCATCTGCAAAGCCCCGCTCTGCTGCGATGTGTGTTGCTGTTCGCCCATCTTGGTCTCTTGCAATATCCACATCAATGCCAGCTACTTTGATGAGGAAATACAGCACACGGGTCAACCCCAAATGTGCACTGACATGCATTATTGTTCCTTGCAATCTGTTCTCGTCTTGGAGGCTGGATAAGATGTCTGAGCATGTTTTCAAGATTGATACATGATCATTGCTCAAGGCGAAGGCCCCGTCGTTTTCTGAGTGTTCGTCTTGATTCCCAAAAGAGAAACAGCCGAGGATGTCCGCCGGCTGGACATTCGCATCGTGTGCCGCTTTCAGGTGGAAGGACCAGGTATTTGCTGCATACTTCAAAAGCGGAAGCTTATAGTAGAGATCCTTATAAGGACTGTGTCGTGCAGCCTTCTGAGATGGGTTTGGAGGGTCGGCAACGTATCTTTTTGGGTTTTTGAGGAACACCTGGACATCTTGTAGCCTCATGTAAGCAAAACATGTTCGGCAAAGCTGGATGTTCGCCTTAGCGGGGTCCAATGTAAGCCTCCGAACGTTTCCATTAACCGTATCCTGTCGATCGAGAAAGTCTGCAACAGATTGATGGATGAAATGAACGGTATTGTTCTTGTCGATGAATTCTCGACCCATTATGACGCTGATTCTTCTTTGTCTGACCTCCATGAGCCCTCGAGACAAGGTGGTGATCATTCGCTCAAGTTGTGATCTAGTTTTTCCAAACTCAAACTTGCGTTCGTAATCATCAATAGACTGCAGGCGAAGTTCGGCATCAACGGCTATTGCATGGGATAATTCTTCGAGACTCAATGGACGCGCAGCGAAGCGGACCCATTCGAAGAGCCGGAGAGTTTCGCTAGATGGCTGATCTAAGGCATCGGCATAGAGCTCATGAAGCTCTTTCGAGAGGGATTGGATGTGCATTTTGAGACTTTCGAGAGACCGTCCCTGCCGGGCCTTTTTCGAGATATCGTCAACGACCAGGATTGCCCACAGAAACACACCATCTGACTTGCCCACTATCTCGTGAACTAGTGTATCAGATCCTGTGACGCGTTTTAGTCTCTCCTTGACTACTGTTTCGATGTCAAGTTGGTTGCAATGCTCGAGGCTGATGTATTTGCCTTCATCCAGAGTCAGGATAGGAAAATGTCGACAAGAGAAGATGATCTTGAGATTTCCTGGTACGGTTCGGATCAGATCTTCAAACAGATCCACGATTTCAACACCAACTACTTCACCAAGTTCGTCGAGAGCGTCGACAAGGATTATCACTCTGTGCTGTGCGGTGCATGCTTCCTTCAGTGTTTTGACCAAGAATCGTTTGAGCTCGCCAGCTTGCCAGTCCCATGACTCGCCCTGCATCGCTCGCTTCTCTTCAAATTCCGAGGTGATTTGCTTCAAGGATTGTGGGCAGGTTTTGAGAAGTTGTTGTAACAGAGATCGGAGCAGGCCGATCTTGGATCTTTGCATGGCCAAACCTTGGCCATAGACCCAAAATGCTGCCAGAGCTCCGATTGACTCTCTCGATAGGCGGCTGTAAAGGAACTTCATGAGAGTTGACTTTCCGGATCCTGGTTTTCCTCGAAGCCAAAGTAACCTGTTGGCGCTGTTGGTCTAGTGAATATATTCGGGATGTTTCAAGATCCAGTCGCAAGTTCCCTTTGCCTCTTGGATCATGTCAAATCGACTCTCTACTTGAACACCTTGTCGGGATAGAGAGAAGGATCGTAAGCACTCTGTATGACTTCTCAGCACATATTCAGCTATTGATACGATATTTGGCAATATACCTCTCTGAACGTCCGACAGGTCATTCAGCAGCTGTGCGGCAATAGGACGAAGAAATCGGCTTTCAATGACTTTTGCCCCCTTCGTCGCCATGTCCATCAGTCGAGAGCTGACGACTCGATAGTTCTCGTCTGATGAGTTCTTGAATTTCACCATTTCAGAATGAGTATGTTCAATCGGGTAAACGAAGCGATCGCTGCTCTGACCATCCTCCCATTGTCGACCATGGGTTGCAGAGTGCTCGCTCACAAGGAGCTCGGGCGTGCCGCACATCTTCCAGACACCATGGCTCACTTCACATGCGGTGGGAGAGAGCTTGGTTTCATAGAAGGAGTATACTTCGGAATCCGGGAAATGGAAGCACTGGCGAAAGCTTCTAGAAAGATCAAGTAAGACTTCAGACTCCTGACGTAGAGACTCGATCAACATCCTGTTTGGCTGATTGTTGACCATAGGCACTAATTTCGTGACGGCCATGCCTTGATTCGGGACTCCAAAGAAAAGGATTCCACAAATGCAGTTCAGGGTTTCCCGATCCACGTCGTCGCCGTTCGGCATTTGAACAATGGCCTATTATTTGTCAGTGGCCCGGTTACTTCGAAAGGTGAAGTTTACGTCACCTTTTTCAGAATGATGCCACCCAAGCTATGGCCAATGAGCAAGAGTGGTCTTCTTGGTTGAGATGTCCGAATGCCTTGTAGGGCAACGCGGAACTTGATGGCCAAGTCCTGTATCCTTTGATTCGACTGACTTCCAACCAGCTTCGAATCGTAGCCATAGATGAAAATACGGGCGTCTGGCATATCGGAGGGAAGACTATCACGAAGCCACATATAACTGTCGCCTCTCTTTTTGAATGAGCCAAAAGCATGACCCCCAAGACCAGAGATGGCAACGATGCTTTGTGATAAGTTAAAAGCTTGAAATAAATATGGGGTGATGTACTGACTCGACTTTGAAACAGGCACCATTCTCGTCGGAATGCAACGGCGTCATTCCCACAAAATGTGTGTCCATGACAGGACCGTCACTTGAGCCATACTCATACAGTGACATTTCATTATCAGTAAGCAACAGATTATGCGGTGCCTCGGAGAGCTCAAATGTGGCTGTCCTTCGTGATGAGCCGCCCCCACTCGAAGCCAGTGATTTGACACGAACTTCAACGCCATCATCCAGTTGTAGGCAGCTGTTTAGCATTTCTTGTACGCCTACTTTGTTGACGCTTTCTGGTAATCCCTGCAAACGGTAGGTTGTGTCGGCGCGATTGAGGGCGTCGGCTGCTGATGAAGATGCATTGTGTGGACCATGCTCATGCGGTGAAGCTAAACTCGGATATTAGTGCATGATAATGTCCCAGGATATCGCTTCATCATACCACCTTCTAGAGTATCTTTTGACGAGATTTTACCGAAACCGCTGAAAACCTCATGAAAGATTCCCAGCCATGCTTGACTTTGCGCAGGGTTATTGGCTACCATTTTCGGTCATGGAAGCATAACCATAAGCCAACTTGACTTAGTGGCAGAGGTCGTCATTCATAATAGGCTGCGGGCCTTATGGGACGAGTGTGTGAGTCTCCCAGGTGAGAGGGAAAAATTTGAGGTTGATGATCGGTTTGCGGGGCAATGCTGCCCCACTCTTCTGGGGGCCAATTCGGCAGACGCTGTGCTATGAGCTGATGATTATTAGTGAGAACAAAGTAGAAGAACATACATATTCAGTCGCTTGTACCTTTCCATCTCATCCCGGGACCCAATGGATGCGGCACAGACACGTCGTCACGTGTGGGTCCGTTCATCGGTCCACGGGCCGGGCCGGGCCTCACCTCCGCACTCTCTACCCACAGCTAAGCATGCCACTACGCCTGCTTCTCTACGCCTACCTCGGCCTCGCCCTCGCCGCCAGCGCGACGGCGCATCCCGACAACTCGTCGCTGCAATGGGGCCCATTCCGGCCGAACCTCTACTTCGGCGTGCGCCCGCGCATCCGTGAGACGGTGCTCATGGGCCTCATGTGGGCGCGCGTCGATGACGGCGGCCATATCGTCGCGCAAAGCAAGTTTTTAGCGGGCCCCGCGGTTCCACACGCTAATCACGACTGACAAGCGCCAGATCTGCGGCACACGTGCGAGCAGAGTGACGCCATGGCCGGCTACGGCTGGACCGCCTACGATCCGCGCATCGGCGGCTCGCAGACGGTGCACGACCAAGGTAACGGCCTGGACCTGACTACCAACTTTGTCAAGGACGGCGCTAGCTGGGCCCTGCGTGTCCGCGGTACGCCTCGTTCGCATGTCGATAATGACAACCTGGGTACCGCGGTAATCTTTTACCTTGCTGTCGACGCTGCTGGTGTTGTGTGCGCCCGTCCGCCCGATGCGCCTGTCGTCGACTGCCGCGCCGATGTCCCCGGCCTGGGTCCGTTCAAGCTGCACATCCGCGATGCAGTTTCCAAGAACGAGAAGACCACTCTCCATGGCTTGCACGTTGCTGTAGACAAGCTCTGGCAGGCAAAGAGTGAGTGTTGGCGCCCGCTCGACCTGCTCGACTGTCGCTGACTTTCTGGCCCCCAGCCATTTTCTTCGATAAAGTCAATGCCATGAATGCCTCCGACACATTGCCGGGAACACACAATCGTGAAGAGGGAAACATGCAGTTTGTGCAGAAGGTTTTCAGTGGTGCCTTCGAGGTGCGTCGTGTTGCCGCGGAAAAGGACCAAGCTGACGGCTGTCCAGTTTGATATCGTCTTCTCTCCGGAAGCATATCCGGACCCTATGCCGTGTACGTCTTGTACTCCCGCTACCAGCCATGCTGCTGACTTTTGCAGCTGCCAGCATCACACACGCCCTCGCCGCTGTTGATGCTTCCATCTCGTCTCGTTTTGACGCTGCCTTCTCCCCGCAACCGCCCTTCGATCGCGAAGACTACGTCAATTGCTCCAAGTCCCTGCTGTCCAATCTCCTGGGCGGAATCGGCTATTTCTACGGCGATGCCGTGGTTGACAACTCCCACGCCCCTGAATACGACGAGCTGGATCTGGATTTCTGGCAAAAGGCAGCCGAAGCCCGCGCCAGGGCAACCCCGCAGAACATGGGGCCTTACGAACTCTTTAGTCTCGTCCCATCTAGGCCCTTCTTTCCCCGAGGCTTCCTATGGGACGAGGGCTTCCACCTCCTTCTCGTCCTAGACTGGGACGCCGACCTTGCCATGGAAATCGTGCGGAGCTGGCTCTCCCTGATGGACGACGATGGGTGGATCGCGAGAGAGCAAATCCTGGGCTCGGAGGTACGCAGCAAAGTACCCCCCGAGTTCCAAGTCCAGTACCCGCACCACGCGAATCCCCCCACCCTCTTTCTAGTCGTAGCCGCATTCGTAGACAAGCTCACCGAGAGGTCGCCCTACTCAGGCGCCCCCTCGCTCTACCTCGCCCATCCGCCTGAGGCCCAGCAGCTCCTCGACGAACTTTACCCGCTGCTCAAGCGCCACTACCACTGGTTCCGCAAGACCCAAGCCGGCGACCTGACGTCCCACACCCGCCCCAACTCCGCCCCTGACGAGGCATACCGCTGGAAAGGCCGAACCCCTCAACACATACTCACGAGCGGCCTCGACGACTATCCCCGCGCGCAGCCGCCCCACCCCAGCGAGCTCCACCTGGACGCCCTCTGCTGGGTCGGTTCCATGGCCGGCGCTCTGCAGACGATCGCCGAGCACATGGGCGAAGACGCCGACGCCCGCGTCTTCGGCACCCACCGCCAACGCGTCCAGCAGAACATTGACAGCCTGCACTGGTCCGCAGCCCGCAATACCTACTGCGACGCCACCATCAAGGACGGCGCTCACTCGCTCGTCTGCCACGACGGCTACGTCTCGCTCTTCCCCTTCCTCCTCGGCCTGCTCGGCACCACCCACGCACACCTCCCCGCCGTCCTCGACCTCATCGCCGACGACGCGAGGCTGTGGAGCCCCCACGGCATCCGCAGCCTCAGCCGCCAGGACCCCTTCTACGGCACCGACGAGAACTACTGGCGCGGCCCTGTCTGGATCAACATCAACTACCTCGTCGTCGCGCGCCTGCTCGTAAGCCGAGCCTGCCGCGTCCACCCAACGCACTCACTGACTAACGCTCCCCAGGACCTCGCCCAATCCCCCAGCAGCCCGCACCAGCACCGCGCCCGGGCCATGTACCGCGCTCTCCGCCGCAACGTCGTCGACACGGTTTTCAACTCGTGGCGCGACACCGGCTTCGCGTGGGAGCAGTACCATCCCGACACCGGCGCCGGCCAGCGCACGCAGCACTTCACCGGCTGGACCGCCCTGGTGGTCAAGATCATGGCGTTGCCAGACCTCGCGGAACAGAAGCAGCCGCTACGGCCGCCGCGGCCGATTGTGGCGCCCGGAGGGGGTTGGGGATGGGGGGTGAGTTGGGTGGTTTGGTTGGTGGGGTTAGCGCTGGTGGTGGGCGTGTTTGGGAGGGAGGTGGGGAGGGGGGTCAGGTTGGTGAGGGCGAGATTGCTGTAATGACATGTGCGTGTTTATACCCTCTAGACTGATTTACCCACGCAGGTAAAAATGAAATGTTAATTAAGCACCATATGCTCCCGGTCACGAGCAGTCTCACCCTTGTTCCTTTCAAATCCAGGATTTCAGTAATCAAATACGTATCTCATAATGTCTGTTTTCTAGAATAAGCTGAGAACAATCATGAAGTGTAAGGAGAGAATGAGCAGAGTTGGAGGTCTAAGTAAGTTAATTTTGAGCGGTGGTAAGGACGGTTGCAGTTGCAGTGAGCGGGTGGCTAATTATATATGGTTTGATTTTGAACGTATATACAATGTGGATATCTACGGTCTATGAACCCATCTAATGCACAGTATTAACACCAGGTATAACCCAAAAGGATTTACCTTCGTCCGACGCATCCCCACAACATGAAACCCCGTCTCTAGTGAGACTGATGATACGGTCCCATACCACCAGCCATCCCTCCTTCGTACTCCCGTCCCGGCCGTCCCGGCAACATCGTATACTCCTCCTCCACATCGCCCCTCGGCACCTCCTTCAACGGCTTGGTGACGTCGCTCGGATGCACCACATTGTACAGCACCATAACCGCATCCATCAGCACCGCGTCAAACACGTATGCGAACACCTCGTGCTCCAGCAGGTACCCATCGTCCCCCATGACGTACTCAATCACCCTGAACACCGACCGCACAAACACCAACGCGCTCGCCACCATCAACACAATGAAATGCTTCTTCCACGGCACGCGCGCCGCCAGCGCCACCATCCCCCGCCGCCCGACCCGGCTCTTCCACCACAGCCCGACGACCAGGAAGAACCCGAAGAACAGCAGCTGCACGAACAACCCGACGATCACGACGTTCTCCCCCAGCTTGATGCGGTCCGCGTCCGGCTTGTCGCCCGTCGTGCCGCTGGCGAGTATCCCGCCGCCGAGCACTTGCACGAGGAAGGAAATGATGTCCCCGCCGACGAAGATGCGCGTCAGCCACGTGCGCCGGATCGGGCTGAGCGACTCGGTTTGCGTGACGAGGATGATGCGCGAGAGGACCATGTACATGGACGCGGCGAGGAGGGCGGGCGCGATGAGGATGAGGAGGGTTTGCACGATGTACGGGGCTGTTGAGCGCGGTTCGCGGATCGAGATGTAGCGCGCGATGTAGCCGACTGTTTCGACTGTGGGGGTGGGGGGGTTAGTGCGTTGGGGGCGGGAGGAAGGGGGGGAGGGGGAGGGGGCACGAACATAAGCCGCCGAGGATGAAGGCCGTCATGTACCAGGTTCTTGTCCGGAGGCATTGGTAGATGTGGGTGAGGGTCGTGACGCCGAAGATGATGGCGTAGGCGAGGGCGGCGCCCCGGTTGGGGTCGTATTTGTAGAAGGGGTGGTCGTCGGACATGGCTGGGGGATTGGAGGGAAGGGTTTCCGTGTGAGAACGCGCTGAAAAACAACAGTGGTATCGACTTTACAAAGGAAAGAAGAAATTGGAAAATGAGTTGGAAAGGAGACGCTGAGATATTCAGTCAGGTGTGATGATGTTGAGGGCCTACAATCCAACTCTCTTTAAATCCGTCTTGCGATGTCTGCGCCTCCACAACTTTATTCAGGTCTTCCAACAGTGGGATGATACAATTGCATATACGCGTATATTGTATTCTAGTCCGCCTTAAGCTTCGCATTTGGCCCCATGTCAGATTCGGCTCCTATCCAATCAACGGCAGCCAACTCTGCCAAGACCGGCCGAATTTGGAATGTCTTCACTGCGCCTCGAGTGGCTGTCAGGCGGAATCTTACGGGCTGCCAATCAGCGCGAGGTGAGATTTCCGTTTTACGACTTTGGTGTAACTCGGGATTGCCGAGGATGACAGCTTGGCACGGCGGAATGCCTTGGCACTCGTCACGGTCGCAGTAATTTCAGCTTTGTTTCATGGCGATTTTCATTCGCAAGTAGACATTCGCGGGGAGTTAACTTTGATTCACGCGGGTCGAATGACGCCGTCATTCGTAGAGCACGGGAGTCCAAGTATTATCACTAGAATTCTCATGTACATCATCGGGTTTGTAAGTGAGGAATGCTTGGTAAGAGAAGGTAATACATGCCGGGAATCCTAAGAAAAAGTGAAACTTAGGCGGCAGGATACAGACATGGACCTGAATACAAACCCTTTGCTGAGCTTCGGATCGAGGCCTGGAATATGTGCATCAGTTTCCTTGGCCAACATCCCTCATAGCTACTGAGAATAAGGCTCCTTGTTTGTTAAACACTATAATTTAACGAATGTTTACGGTGTTAGTTCTTTGGATGATATTGTAACTTACAATCGAATTCATGAATTTTGCAAGCGTGTTATGATATGAAAAGAGCATGACTTCGTAAATGAAATTCCAATTTGAGTGAATCGGCTGGGGTCAGTAATTTGTGTTGAAAAAGGACAATTGCACACGACGGGCAATAGCATTAAAAAACGATGATGCTTAACACAAACCAATTGCTCGCTACATCTCAGATGGCGTCAATGGCATTTGCAACCCCGGTACCTATGCAAGCAAATTTGTCCTCATCCACGACGTTGTACCCGAAGCACTCACGGAGCAGCGAATGCCCGACCGTAGTCTTGGGAGCCACTAGCACAATCGACTCAGTACCTAGCTACTGCTTTGCGTTAATTTCCTCCCGCACTATGCTGGCTTGTTGTAGCGCTTTCTCATTTACTCGCTGCGCAATAATTGGCGCTACTACTCCCCCGCTTTTAAGCTCCTGCCAAGCTGGTAGCGTCAGCAAGATACCTCTTTGAGTTTTGCTAAGACGGTAAGAGGGCCGTCTTTGTCCACACATCTTGACTTACTTAGGCAAAGTCTTGCCAATTAGGTGCACTGTCAGTAGTCGGTCTGCATGTGACGTGTTTATAACTATACAAATACGCTGACACGTAAAAGCACCGGATGATGCAGGACTCCATCAGTGGCTGTGTAGGTGTATGGACCGCACGGTATGTTGTGTAGATCTTGGTCTAGGATATACGCCACAGGACGGCAAGGCTGACAAGGCAAACGACCTGCGATGCCCTGGTAAGATTGTGATCAGATGAGCGGCAGCGCAGGGCAGAAAAGCAAGGCTACGGCTAGACGTGCGTAGTAATCAAGCTACTGAATCTGATCCGCACTAAAGGTAACCAATCACCGTGCGAATTCTCGTCGAAATAGGACGTAGTATAACTGGGTAAGATTTTTGTTTACAAATATAGTGGTTGATGGGCATCGATCACCATGATTGTGAAGGAAAAAAAAATGCAACGTATTCGCAAGAAATTGTACTCGCTATGTAGCTATCTACCAAATTAATCAAGCGGAACCGTCCTAGTGATGAAACAGCTCGTCGTCGTTTGGATATCACGTCCAAAAGCTTTATTTAGAGATTCGCATCAAGTGTAGATAATCTCTTAGGTGTCTACACGACTGCGGAACCGTTTAAAAATTGAGATCAAAATGCGTGCATAGCTGATGTGGCGGCTGACTTGCATCTGGAACGTAACCTGGGCTCTAGTCTTATCGCGGATGGGCTTCCCGTGCGGACTAGTAAGAAAAAGTAACGTGGCTCTAAAGTCTGCCTCGCGAGCTGGAAGCACAGCTGCAATTTCGGAGCTGAAAACCTGCTCAGTTCCCATTCAACCAAGGCGATCGAGCAATGCTATCCCCTCTACTCGACCACAAACTTCCTGCATTCTCAGCAATTAGTTGATGACTCTGAACTTGAAACGCTTGCAACTCAAAAATATACGTACGGTGGTCTATCTAGCCCAAGTCTGCTTGCGGTAAAAGTCTCTTTCTGATTACAAGCTTTCTAGTCCCACTTACAACTCCCTTTACGAATCACAATGGATGGACTATGCCATTTCTGTCACCATCTACGGCTACAGCATCTTTTCTATTGCCTGCGCCATCACCACCCCATGTTAGATCCATGCCTGGAGTTGGGCAGCCTTGCAGATCTTCAACCACGCTCTGGCTGCACTTTTTGTACTTTCATCCTTCGGGTGGTGCAAAAGGAATCCCAAACCTTGGATGTCAACGTTGATGGTAGCGACCTTGTCATGCTATCGATATCTATGTTCAGTAACTTCTCAGGATCGTATTTGCTTGGCCCAAATGACTTATTGCACGACGCAGATGTTCAAGTGTGCAGCAGTCATCGCCATACGAGTACTTATTTATCTACAGCTGATGAGGATCTGAGTCTACCGCTCAAGCTTGGCGCACATCTCCTCGTACGTCAGAGAGAGCCGCCAAACAACTGCAATACCGTGGGCGCGGTCGTCAATTGGCAGCGACTGAGAACTTGGATAAAAGAGTGCACGGATCACAACTGTCATAGCGACCCCATTCATCCACCCGGAGAGAACGTCTTGGAAGGCTTACTTTTCATCGATGTTGACAAAAGATGTATCGTATCTGCCCCAATATCATGCAACTACGTTGCTCTCAGTTATGTTTGGGGCGACCATACAGCTGAGATGACCCAGACGACGAAGCGATCAATCGACAACTTGCGCAAAGTGGGTTCTTTACGTGGCCATCATATCCCTGCTACCATTAGGGGTGCGATGCATACATGCCGCGTTCTTGGTGTACCATACCTCTGGGTCGACCGGTTCTGCATTGTGCAAGATGACGAATTGCACAAGCACGATCAAATCCGGTCAATGAGTACGATATACTCGTGCGCGCTGCTCACAATTTGCGCCACCGCAGGCAACAATGCATACTACAGACTTCCTGGCGTCCTTTCTAGACTACGAGCGCAAGTTCGACCTCGGGCGTTCGCCTTTGGTGTCGAGGTAGTACCTGGACGGCGAGAAGATAAGTCAACTTGGAACTCACGAGGGTGGACCTATCAAGAGATGGTTCTATCAAGAAGGCACCTCGTGTTCACTGATGAAGATGCTTTTTTTGAATGCGAATATGGAGCCTCGGATGAGACCTCAGCCTACATGGAGCCTCCACCTCGTTTTGTCTCTTTTAAGCGGTTCCATCATAAGGACATGCGAAGCTATATGAACCATGTCGAGGAATACACAATGCGGAATCTTTCGTACAAATCAGACGTTTACAACGCATTCGCCGGGGTTGGTGGCAGCATTTATCCTTCCAAGGATCTGATACACGGAGTTCCGACATCATCATTTGATATAGGAATTCTCTGGGAGCCTGAGTGTAAACACACTGATGGTCGATGGCCCCGCCAGAATCTTGGAACCGACTTTTATATTCCCAGCTGGTCTTGGGCATCCGAGTTCGGCAATAGGATAAGCTACGCTGCAGCGTCTTTCGCATTTGGGTCCTTCGCCAAATGGTCATTTGTGGAACAACAAAATAAAGTTCGGGTTATAGAGTCAGTCGAAACCCCAATTGGGTGGGATTCATCTTTGTCCGAGTCTTATTACGATCCTCGTCTCTACTTAGCACTGGCCTGGAGAGAACATGTTATTGAAAGCGCCTCATCATTCACAATATGCTGGGACCGACCCTTTCAAGAGATTCAGCTGGATGTCCTGAAGGGATGGCCGACATACCGCGATTACTGGGAAGAAGCTCATGGAAGAGCTCGGATTGAAACGAACATTGAAACAAAACCGGTGGGCAGATTACTGCTTCGAACATCAGTCGCCCGTTTTCGGATTCAGGCTTTCGAAGAATACCCGCACCGTGGGTGCGTACTAGTATATTCCGGCGACGGTTTTCCATGTGGCCGAATTGACCCTCATCCCATTGCAATGGAGAAAGAAATACCGGACATAGCAGAGTCTTTTCAATCGTCTGGAAGAAGGAAAGCCCAACTGGTAGCGCTTTCTTGCGAACACTTTGACCACTTCAGGATCAGAGAGCTCTTTGAGATGCACCACTCACTTTCAAAAGGGAAGGAATCGGAGAGGTACGGATATTCTGTAGCTTTTACAGCTATGAGAGACTGATGTTCGCTCTAGTTCCCCTAATAAGGAATCAAGCTCTGATGCGATGAAGAGCAGAATAGAAGGTTTCTCTCGCTACAGTGCAAAGTACCTTACTTCAGACACGACATATTATGACTCCACACGCTCTCCACTAGATCCGCCGCCTGGAATAAGAGTCATGATGATCAGCTGGCAAGGTGATGTCGCATATCGTGTAGGTCTTGGGATGGTGCTGTTACGTCAGTGGAAGAAGGGAAATCTAACAGTTCGAACAATTGTCCTCGAGTAGAAAGGAGCGAGAAAAGAGCATGAGCATATTTGTTGGGCTTCAGAATGTTGATAAAAGATTGATGGAGTACGCTACAAATTAAACATTCTTCTAGACCTTCCCATTCACGGTGTACTGCAACGGGCGGGCATGGGAATTAAGCTTTTATTTAGAACGCACATTCCCTTTTTAGAAGGATATCCGCTATCTGCATGGCCTTTGCATGAACATGGTCGATCTCTTGTTTGTTTGGGACGAGAGGCTCGTGTTGCTTTTCAATACGAGGGATCTTGTGCAAATGAGGCAGGCAGCAAGAACAACTACTCCACAGCCAAGCGCTTGGTCAGGTTATCGCCCTTGTGCACTGTTACCCCACAATCGCCCATATAATGCGAGTGTCTGTAGCCGTGATGTCTTGTCATCAGACAATCGTTTTGTTGCGTTGCTACTTTCGTTTAGCCTTCGCTCGCTTGAACATGCTCCCGAAAATTGCTTTTCAGGGCGGCCTCGTGGCTCTGCTGGTGCAGACAGCCGCAGCCCAAGTACGATGCGCCACTCCTGATCCCCCAAAAGAGCTGCTGGAGCATGCAGCGGAGATGAAAGTGCAAGAAAAGGCGATGAAAGACGCCGGCATCCAGCAAGCCCGGGCCCCCATCACAATCAATGCTTGGTTCCACGTCATCGCTGCCTCTGACGCCGTTGAGGATGCCAACTTGACGGTAGAGTATTTCTTGCCAAATTTAATTCGGTATCATCTGACGTCGTAAAAGGATGAAATGCTCCAAAACCAACTCGAGGTGCTCAATTCCAACTACGCTCCGCACGACATTCAGTTCAATCTTTCGGGCACAACGAGGACTGTCAACAGCAGTTGGTCTGACAACACCGATACGCTTGTCATGAAGACACAACTCCGAAAGGGCGATTACGCCACTCTCAACTTGTATTTCCAGAGGGTAAGCTGATACGACTTGAAATTTCCAATGGCCACAGCTGACCGTTATGCAGAAACTCCCGGGTGACTCATCAGGGTAAGTGAAACAGAAAGCGGTCTTTCGAAGAAGTTGCTCAACCACGTTAGTTACTGCACCTTCCCTGGAATCGTTGAAGAGGGGACGCTAGACTTCTTCAACGACGGCTGCGTGATTGACGCCCAGACCGTGCCTGGAGGCAGCAAAGTCCCGTACAACGAGGGGAAAACAGCCACCCATGAGGTAAGGGGTCCTTGAATCTGTTACGTTAAAGCGTTGCATCAATGATGTCTAACCACGGGTTCGCAGGTCGGCCACTGGTTTGGTGAGTCCATACGTTGTTCCTTCGCAACAGCGTGGCTGGAGAGTGGCTGACGCAGGAATCCTTCCCAGGTCTCTACCACACTTTCCAAGGCGGCTGCAACGGCGGTGACGGTATCGACGACACTCCAGCCCAGGCAAGCTACAGTGAGGGCTGTCCCGTTGGCCGAGACTCGTGTCCGGATCTGCCTGGCCTGGACCCCATTCACAACTACATGGACTATTCAGATGAGTGAGCTGTCCCGTGTTGCCGACTACGATCGAATATTTCCTAACAGTTAGCTTAGCGCTTGCTATGAGGAGTTTACTCCTGATCAAGATGCTCGCATGCGTTCGAACTGGGACTACTATCGCGCGGCCGCGCAGGGCAGTGAGTAGAATCAGGCAACAGGTTCGCGTGGCTGTGTACGTGAAACCGAGGGATCTAGGCAAGCGCAAGGTGCTTACCAATCTATCAATAAGCAAGATCGGACATGATTAGTTACTACGATTGGCTTAGTGCTGGACTTGACCGGACCGGGGAATCTTTTCAATTCTCTTTGGAACCCGCAAACCTTAATTCGGATAAGCAAAATAAGCGGCTGAACATGGATCCGAAAGTAGCAGTCTAGACCCCGCACTGCATGCAAGCGCACATCAAGCTTATTATGACCCCGATGGTGAATCCGTTATGCAATCCATCACAGTAGCACCCAGGATACTTGCAAAGTCAAACGGTCACCGGTGACTAATGAAATCCATGAATCACATGTCCTTCGGATTGGTTGTACATACATACATGGCTTTCATAGGAATGTGCAAAGGGATTTGCTGATCCTCGCCATGATCACAGCCATCTTCTCTGCTGATGCAGAGCTGAGTTTAAACTTTGTCAGAGGAATAGTGAGCCACCCCGCCTGGTAAGGATTTGCCCGGAAAATGCGTCTAACGGAGGCTGAGCAGACAGAGCAATCCACCAATCGCGTCCACCTCAGGTAAGACCTCTTCACCAGAGTGATGGGAAGTAGACCTGCGAGGGAATCTGGCAAACGTGATGACTGGGTCAGCCCCTCCAGCAGGGCAAATGGCCAGGAACTTGCATACGGCGCTGTAGTAGAGTAGGTCTCTGCAAGGAGGACTAGTAAGACAGTAGAAGAAATTCTGGTGTGGGTAAACTTACTCGAGATTGGTCGTCTGTTTGAGGAACAGTTAGCTGGTTTAAATGGTGAGCCCTAAGCTCAGGTTGAAGGAGTATGTCTCACCGCCAACAAAATTATTGACCGTGCGATTGGTTACTGGATCTTACGGACTGCACGTGAAGTCGAGCGTGCCGCCATTGGTGGCAAGGATTCTGAACGAGATCGAGAAATCTTCATGTTTAAAGTGATGAGGTTTTATCTTGAATTAACCATTGAGATAATAGGACTGTTAGGGTTGATGTATAGGAATGCGTCCACGAATTTGTAGTAGCTTGTGATTGTGGTGCATGGTAAGATTATTTCCGATTTGCGTGAGATCTATCACCACGATTGTCTGCTTAGGCTTTCGTGGAAAGGAGTTGAGCGCTATGTGGGCTTAACCAAAGCAACTAGTGCTTACAAGAGCGACAACTGCACAGTTCTGTATGTGTGTGACCCGTGGTTGTTCCGGAATATACAGCTGAACGACTACTTCCTGCTTCAGTCGACACATCAATTGCTTGCTTGACGATTTTTAAATGAGCAAGTTAGGAGGATCCATTCCGCCTAGTAAATAACGGTCTGAACCTCGCAACTAATGCAAATGCACATTAAGCTTGTTGATACTCCTGGATTGAATTGGGAAATGAAACAGATATGCATTCGTCACGTTGGTGTGGGTAAGCTCTATTGCGTCAAAAAGTGGTTGATAACTAGAGCAGCTCATAAGCTAATTGATGAAAAGCATGGCTATAGTTTTTTTTTTGTAGTTTTGTAGTAAACGAGTGAATGAAAAGGCCTCCATTTGCCACCCCCTCTAGTGGTTTTCACAAGGTTGATAGTAGCTGGTCCAGACCGTTGGCGACCGCTGTCCAAGCACTAAACCGGGATGTTGATAGCGCCGATACAGTAGCTTCTGCAAAACGATTAGCAAAATCAAGAAAGCATTCAATGCGGGTAAGCTTACGTGGATCCAACGGGACTTTAGATCCAAGCCACAGTTTACCGGTCGTGCTGGTGCAGCCAAGACGAAGCCGCCGTAGGAATATTACCGAACCCTCGCAAATGAATTGATTGGTTGATTGGGCGATTGGTTATGAAGACTGCACTGGTAGTTGAATGAATGAGGTGCCATCGGTGGCCGCGAATAAAACTGAATCGAACACCTGCCGAAACTGCTGCCCTGGAAGTTCATGGTCTAGACCGTTATCACTTGCGGTCATCATCGTCGTTGTCGTCGTCGTCGTCGTTGTAGTCTTGCCTGCGGCGAACAGAGCTAAATGGTGCATGAATCGTCATCCGACCTGCAGCAGTTCTCGCCACTGTCGTCGCAAAGACAGTCCTCTTCGACAAAAGGATCGCATCCATCGCCTCGCTTTTCACGAACAGAGCTGGAGTCGCCATCGTCGCAGTCATCCACAGTCGGATCGCAGCAGTTCTCGCCATTGTCATCGCAAACACAGTCGGGGTCGTCCTCCGGATCGCATTCTTCATCTTGCCTTCGACGAAGAGAAGCAGAGTCACACTCCTCGTCATCGTCATCGCAGCAGTCGTCGTCCACATCCGGGTCGCATTCGTCTTGCCTTTTACGAACAGAGCGACGAACAGAGCTGGAGTCGCAGCAGTCCTCGCCGTCGTCGCCATCACAAACACAGGGAGCGTACCTGCGATGAACAGGGTTGGGGGAGTCCTTCGGATCAAAGAGAACTCCCCTTGGCTGCGCAGGGTTGAGGGAAGTTCCCTCTGGCTGGCCTCGAGGCAAAGCGACCAGGGGAGTGGCGCAGAAGAGCGCAGTGGCGATGATAGCGACAAGCTTCATGCTGATGGAGATTGGATTGTGTGTTGAGCAGTTGAAGGGTTGAATCGAGTATGTATGAGCGGATTGATGATTTTGGAAGGCTCAACAGGGCAATTTGCGAGTCTTTATATATGTGAATTAGATAGTGATTGTGGTTAAGATGGTAGGTCAAGCTTTAGCGGTAGATCTACTGGCTGACCAGCATTGCCTGGGCCGAAGGGATTGGGCATTGCGCCACTCGTATGCAAGACAGCTAGTGGCTTGTAGACTGGGACCGCGGAGCTGCATGCATAGTCTGTAGCTGTGCAGCTTCACCGACTACGTTCCTTTGGATCGACATGAAAGTCATTCTCTAATCGCCCTTACCAAATACAGAATTTCTAGGAAGTACTATACAGGAGACGTTGTGTATCAAACCCGAAATACACAAGTCCAAATTTGTAACGTTATGGCCCTACTAATTACAACACCCACGAAAGTTACAGCACTCCGAGATTGATTAAAAGCTTACGTAAGGGCGATTGGGCATTTTATTCTTTAACAAAAAAAAAGGCTTCATCAATCATTCAGGGCTAGCATCAATACGATACCCTGAGGGAGCAGTATACACGTTTTTATTAAGAGAACGTAGAGGGTGTTGGTGCAGGAATTGGAACGGCGGACGAGATGAGAGACCCAGGGTTGGGCGTTGCATTGAGCTGGCTATGGCCCTGAACGAGAGACTGAGGAGGAGGGTGGTGATTGCCGGGGAGTGTATGGTTGCTGGGGATGCGTTATGAGGATATCTCCAAGTGTTGTCCAGGAGGGGTGTCGCCGGGCAATTGCGGCGTGCGGAGGTTCTAATTGGCTATAGAAAATACTCTGCCATTCGCATACGAAAACCTTAAACCCGATGCCGAGGACCTAAACCCGACCACGGGGGACCTAAACCCGACCTTTTCCAACGCTTCTTTACTTCAACATCTATCTTTTTACTATTGTAGATATCTAGGGACTTGGCAATTATTACAGCAGTACGAAGAAAAACATGAATTCTAATTTTGTTATAGTTTTCTTCGTGAATTTCATTTTCAGGTCCTTGATGGAACCAAATGCTAACACAACGTGGATCGTCATGATCCCCGGTATCTTATTAACACAAGGCCAAAAGCAAAATTTAGTCTCCACCTTCTTGATCTGTCTCCACACCGATATCGGTATCCGCACTCCTTCAGCGATCCCAGTTGTACCGATGGGATACGAGCGTGTATGAATGACTGAGTTATATTCACGGAGCACTCACTGCTGCCGATCTCAGATGATGCAATCTAAGAACTCTATTACGACAGTTGGTTTTATCTCTACCACTCAAAATATCACTACAAATCTGGTATACCACTGGAAATGTTGAATGGTTACTTTCCTCCGTCTATGAGAAATCATCGGTGTTGACTACGATCGTCCTTCTTGATTGCAAGTTACTCCGGCTTCGCTAAAAAGGAATCTAAGGTCCCAGATGCTGTGGACTTCTGCTATTATTTTTATGTAATCAAATAGGCTTGCTTTATGAATAATCGGACCATTTCTTGAAGTTATTCCCCCGCCTCGCTCTCGCCTTCCTCGGCTGGTCTTTCCTATCTTTGCGGCATTTTCCCTTACAAGTCCTCCTTGTGGCTGTGTACTTCACGAGCGTTTCGTCTTTTGCGAGAGTGTTTAGCATGGAGCTCTTTCGACCGTAGGTATCCTCGATTCTGACGATAATCGGGGTCACATGGATAGTTGCATTCGAAGATCCAATACTGGCCAAATCTGGGTAAAGTAAGTCAACTGACTTTGTAGTCTTCGTGAAGTAGTACATTTAGTGATGCTACTGATAGTATGCAAATCCGAACCAGCCTCTGGCGTGATACACAAAATATGCGAATGGTCATGATTGCACTGTCTGCCATCTGTTTTTGAAAGGAACCTCTTGCCTCGAACGGCCCATCAAAGCTTCGCGTTCCAAGCGGCACGATCGGCACTTGGCAAAGGCTTGTCCTGCCCATCCCAGAAGAGTGGGCAGAGCTGGAACCACTTTTCCCTGCTGCAGTAAACGTGCACTGACCTCTTGTGACCGAGGTCAACGTATTTCAGAATGCTTAAGCCATGTGCGTTCTCGTATGAGAGGACGGTTCCGTTGGTAGCTTTGGGCTCACCCACAACGCACGGCGTCCGCGGCTCATCCAGGAAAATATAGTGGATGACGCCGGACCACCACGCATTCACCCTATGCGAGCCGCGGAAGGTCGCATCGCCCACTAGCGAGTGCCGTCCTCTATCGTAATCGCCAGCGTCGTAATGCGCGCCGTAATGATCCTCCTACAAAGCCACGAGTCAGCAACGAACACCAATCTTACAAGGGACATCCCTACCTTGGCCCAATACACCTCAAAATACGAAAACGGCGTATCGTCGAACCTCCCAAACAAACACAGCACATGCTTATCCTCATGCAGCCTCCGCAGGTACTCCCGATGCTCGTCCACCGTCCCCGTCTCATTCCACCCCTTCGCCACCCTCGGATCATTCTGCCACTTATTAAACAACCCCAGATGCCCTGCGTCCCGCCAATCCACCACAACGAGCGAGAAGTGCTCATCCAGATGCGGAATGTACCGACTATACACCACCGACCCCGGCGCCGGCTTCGCGGGCCGCACCGGATGCCGGCTGTACACCCGCTCCCGCGGGAACTTCATCGAGAACTCGTAGTCCTGCGGCGTCGGCGGATACGCGCTGGCGCCCTTCCGCACCGCCGCACCGTCCGTCCCGTCGCCGACAGCCCATATCGGCCGCGGTCCGAGCGGGCTGCCCGCGCCCTGCCAGAAGGCGGCGCGGCGCAGGATCAGCTCGGAGGACGGAGGGGTAGACGCGTCTTCGTTGCCGGCGGCGGTCCAGGGGCGTGGGTGTGGCAGCGCGAGGCCGGTGCGGAGGAGTTCGGCGCGCAGGACGGAGCTGTCGGGGCCGAGGAGCGTGGCGCGGAGTTGTTCTTGAGACGGGTAGATGACGAAGAGGGCGTGGATGGCGTTCCAGAGTTGGGCGAGGGTCGGTGCTGCTACTGCCACTGCCGCCGCTGCCGGAGGTGGTCGTGGTGATAGTGCGTCGGCGTCATCGGCGAGGGAGGAGGAGGAGGTGGTGGTGGTGATGGTGGTGGAGGGGGACTCCCAGCGGAAGGCGGTGACGGCGCTGCGGCGTGCCCGCGCCCACGGGCTGTTGTCGCTGTCGGCGGGCAGCTGGTCGCGAGGCTCGTGCCATAGGTCGTCGAAGGTGAGGTGGGTGGAGTGGAGGGGCTCGGGGAGGGGCTTGCCCGGTTTTTGGGTTGCCGACTTGACCAGCCTTAGTGCGCGGGGTGTCGAGCCGGGGACAACCTGGACCTGGTAGGCGGTGAGGAAGGGATGGGGGAGCTTGATGACGAAGTTGGCGGCTGGTGATTCTGCCATGTTGCCGAGACAAGCCGGTGACTTAGCAAACAAGAGTGAATGGGGATAAAAGTTTGCTATAAGCCGAGGGTATTAGGTGCTAATAGTCTGTGTTCGGGCGTATAAATATATCAGATGCTCTCTCTTCTCATATGCCGAAGTGCGAGCTTGCCGAGCCGACGTTCCGCTGCCAGTGACAATATGGCCACCCGCCTTCGAAGACATCCCTCCGACAGCGGGGACAACGGGTACTGTGATGTCTGAGTCGTATGAGTAGGTGCGCTCCCTGTTGGTGTTTGGCACGATCCCGTAAATGGAGTGGGAATGCGTCGGCGAGGGAATGCGCTAATCATTTCGTATCCTTCAGGTCCTCAAGTCAGGACAGGGCCAGTGCAAAGGCCTTGCAGGGTCACGGTTTGCTCCGGGGTGGCGCTGTTTGTAGGTGCAGTATAGGGCTTTGGGAAGGCTGTATATTGCGTGCTTTGCGAGAGCCAAGGATAAAAGGATCATGCAACCGGTAGTGGTAATGCACCCAACCACCCCATAATCTCTTAGGAACATGGCAACCGAACAGCCCCACCCTCCGGTGCAACACTGCATTGTTTCTTTTCCTACGCCTCAGATTCTCCTCATCACGCTGAATAGACCAAAGCAGCTCAACTGTATCGATACGCAAACAAGCAAGCAGATTCAACAGCTATGGAAGTGGTTTGACGAGCAACCATCACTGCTCGTTGGCATCATAACCGGCTCAGGACGAGCCTTCTGCACGGGAGCCGACCTAAACGGTACGCACACCTCTCGGCTGCAACAACGGAATCTTCCGACTAACATGTGGTGGCCTTTTTTTCTTTCAGAATGGAACAGGCTGAACGAATCCGGGCAGGTCTCGCCGATGGACGCTCCTGGGCTCGCCGGGCTACCGCGGCGAAGAGGGAAAAAACCGGTCATCGCAGCCGTCAATGGGATCTGCATGGGCGGTGGCTTCGAGATGATCGTCAACTGCGACCTAGTCATCGCAGCCCGGAGCGCAGTTTTCGCCCTGCCCGAGGTCAAGCGCGGTATAGCGGCGGTGGCAGGATCCCTGCCAAGGCTGGCCAGGATCATTGGGAGACAGCGGGCTATGGAACTGGCGCTGACGGGCCGCACTGTGACAGCCGGGCAGCTCGAGGCGTGGGGCCTCATTAACCGTGTCGTCGAGACCGAGCCTGTGGCTGCGGCCGTGGAGCTGGCCAAGGAGATCTGCGGGAATAGTCCGGATGGTGTCATCGTCAGCAAGGAGGGCATCGAACTCGGGTGGGAGAAGGCTAGTGTCGAAGACGGCAGCTCGGTGCTCATTGAGGGATGGTACGGCAGGCTCATGGCCGGGCGGAATTTTAAGGAAGGAATCAGGGCGTTTGCAGAGAAGAGGGCGCCACAATGGGTGCCGGCCAAGCTGTAGGATTTCGACAGGGATCTCCGCGGAACCAGACCGCGGGCAACGCGATATTCAGGGCAGGCCACTTTTAGCCGCTTCTAGAAAATCCGGTCAAGATGGTGAAAAATTCCAGACGTACTTGTTCAAAGCCGGTTCCATTCTCAGTCCTTCATTGGAAGAGCTCTCGTTACGGACGTATTCGTAGGAAATGGGTTTTCTGACCGCCTCTCTCGGTGCATTTCGCGTAGCTCAGGCACAAAGAAGTCGGTCCCGTGGGAAGGCGTGATCTGTGGATCTTGATGGAATATATCCATTTATTTTTTAAGCGAGTCGACGCCGTCTCGGAGCGGACGGAGAGGGGCGGCGTGCTCCGACCGTCCCACACGCTCGCTTACTACTGACGATCAAACGGCGGGCGGAATGATGGGCTGGTATGGTGCAATAGGCGGGGGATTATCTGATTGGTCTAATCAGATCAGGTGCCGAAAATCTTATCTGATCCTTTCGTATTCCGGCATGAGTACCCCTCCGGTCGGGCCCGACGGACTCCGGATCTCTCTTTCTCTTTCTCTTTCGTGTGCGCCGCCCAAATAAGAACAAGGCATCCCTCTCGGTCTTTCGATCATCTCGGCCTAAAGGGCATCCAACTTGACACTTAGCGCACGGGCAAATTTCGCTGTCCCATGTCGTCCTGCCGTCAACACCTTCCCAACTGCCGAGATACGAGGACAATGGACACTAACGACGTTACATATGATCCATACTGTGCGGAAATGCGCGCACTTTGCCAAGAGCGGGCGTGCCTGACATCAGGAAGCGCGGTGGTTGAGGGCGATCTCGGATGAGAGCATGCAGTCACTTTGAAAAAAAAAACTCGCCGGCATGTGGGAGGCGAAACAGCCGCGGCGTGATTTTTCCGCTTAGAAAAAGGACGCAGTAGCCATTCAATAATCTTATCTCCAGCCATCTAATCTGGATCCATCATCTGACGGCGGCGACCAGCCAAGCCACCATGCAGTCTAACGACAGCCTCCCGATCCCCGCAGCGGTAGGAGGCACGTATGCAGGACAGTTGGAACAGTCCTACATTCTGCCGTCTACCAAGGTTCCAGCTTTGCATCCCTTCCACGCGGATGAGCAGAATCATGGTTCCATCCAAAGACTCTCACTGCGTGGTGTTGAAGCATCGGGCAAACGAGATGTGGCTGATGACGTCAGAAAATATGCGAACGCCGTCATGGCGTTCACCGGGCTGGACGATATTGCATTCGGCCTCGTGATAAGCGAATGGAAGGGAGTTGTGCACGCTGTAGCTGAAGAAGGACCTTTGAGCACTTCTGTGAAGGTGTTTGGTTTGAACTCGGTTACAGACGACCAAGTCAGTGCACACACGGACTTTGTGTTGTATATCAACCCGGCGAAGCAATGGAGAGACGAGAGGGTGAGTTAAAAATACGTTACTCTTTTGACAGTGATCTGATTTGGAACAGGCAAAGTTTGTCCTCGAGCTGTCACCGGACGGCGAATCAAACTCGGTGTCATACGACACGCAGTTGATCCCAGAGCCTGCCGTTGCGAGCATCGTACACGCTTTCGAGAGCTTCATGCTCGGACTGCAGGACGAAGCATCAGACGATAGCAAACAGCTGCTATCGATAACCAACTTCCCTCCCTTGTCAACGCCGTCCCAGATACCGCAGGATCGAGATGAGACATTCAGCGTTTTGCTGCATTCGGACTTCGAGCGGCGCGCAGCCGAGACTCCCGACCAGCCAGCACTGGATTTCCTTCATGGAGGACACCATACAATTCTGTCGTATGCGGAGCTGGATGCAGCGGCGAACACACTGGCCGCTCAGATACTGGAACAGCTGGGCCAGCCCAGGAAGCAGCAGGAGGGCAGGCCAGACATCCTCCCGTTCTACCTCCCTCCGTCCCCAGAGCTCTATGTCTCATACCTGGGCGTGCTCAAATCAGGCTACGGCTTCTGCCCGCTTCCACTGGACGCCCCGGAAGAAAGACTGCGGGACATCCTAGACGACCTCGCTCCCCGCGCCGTCCTGGGCAGCGGCGCCCCAGAGACACGCCCCAACGCCCTGCACCCGCTGGCCTGGATCGACGTCACGCAAGTGACCCAAAGTCACAGTCACCCCGACAAACCTCCGGTCCAAATCAACCCGGCCGACGTCGCCTACGTCATGTACACCAGCGGCTCGACGGGCAAGCCGAAGGGCGTGCAGATCCAGCACCACGCCTGCACCTGCTCCATCCGCTCGCACGCGGCAACGCTGCCCCTCTCGACCAACCCTGACAAACCATCCCGCTGGTTCCAGTTCGCCGCCTCGACTTTCGACCCCTCCATCATGGAGATCTTCGTCACCTGGTCGTCAGGCGCGACGCTGTGCAGCGCCGACCGGCAGCTGACGCTGTCCGACCTCGAAGGCACCGTCACCGCGCTCCGCGCGACCGTCATGATGACGACGCCCAGCGTGGCGGCGCTGCTCCGCCCGGCGAAGCTGCCGACGCTGCGCAGCCTGTGGACGATGGGCGAGGCGCTGACGCGGAAGGTGATTGAGAACTTCGCCGTTGTCGTCCCCACCACTCCCTCCGCCGCCAACGACGATGAGCACGACGGTCCCACCGGCCTCGCCAACGCCTACGGCCCCACCGAAGCCTCCATCAACTGCACTTTGTTCCCCGTCCCGCGCGGCTTCCGCGGCTCCGTCATCGGCCCCGCGCTCCCCACCTCCTCGCTCTTCGTCCTCGACCCGTCGTCCACCACGCCACGCCCTGTCCCAGCCGGCTTCGCGGGCGAGCTCGCCATCGGCGGGCCGCAGCTGAGCAAGGGCTACCTCAACCGCCCCGCCGAGACGGCAGCCGCGTTCGTGGACAGCCGCGAGTACGGGCGGTTGTACCGGACGGGCGACCGCGCGCGGCTCGTGTGGGGCGAGGATGGGAATGAAGTGTTCGTCGAGTTCCTCGGACGCATTTCGGCGGGGCAGGTCAAGTTGAATGGGCGCAGGGCGGAACTGGGCGAGATCGAGGGCGTGCTGGCGGAGGTGCCGGGCGTCAAGGACGTCGCGGTCGGTGTGGCGAAGCATGGCAGTGCGCAGGTCGTCGCGTTGATCGTGCTGGCGCCGCGCTGCCGCGCAGGCAAGGTCGTCGAGGCGTGTCGCGAGCAGGCCAGGAAGCGGCTGCCGGACTTCATGCGCCCTGCATACGTCGAGGTCGTGGCGGAGCTGCCGCGGTTGCCGTCGGCGAAGATTGATCGGAAGCGCGTCGCGGCTATTGCGCAGGAGGTCGTTGAGGATGCCGCTGCTCAGGCGCCGGTGGTGGTGCAGCGGCCTGCGGGCTCGCTGGGTGGTGCTGGAGCGGAGCTGTTCACGCTCGTCCAGGGCCTTATCGCTGATGCTGTTGGCACTGATGCGGCACATGTGCAGGCGGAGGCGAATCTGTTTTCGCTGGGCCTCGACAGCTTGCGCAGCATGGCGTTGCTGCAGAGGTTGCGGGAGAAGCTGGACGTGCCTGTCTCCGTTGCTGAGATCCTGCAGTGCCGGACGGCGGCAGGTGTTGCGGCGCTCCTGGCCGAGAAGCAGGCTGATGCCTCGCCGTCGACGGCTGTTCTTCTGGACGAGCGTCAGCGTCAGCTTGAAAGCTTTGCCCGCGACCACAAACAAGACTGCGCTAACTACCTTGACTTGGCAGACGAGGAGGTAGAGGCAGTGTATCCTCCTACGGCTACACAGTCTGGTATGTTGGCCAGCTTCGTGCGGAGCTTGTCCAAGGATGCGCCGTGCAGGACGTACATCAACCACTCCGTCTTTGAAATACAAGAGGACGCGGATTTGGATAGGCTGAAGTTGGCCTGGGAGTCCATACTGACCAGGCACGAGGCATTCCGGACCGTCTTTGTGCCGGTTGATGATGACATGGCGCCGTTCGCGCAGTGCATTCTTGCCCCTCATTCCAGCAAGGCGCAGGTCACTTGGGAAGTCGGAGATGTCCCGGACACTTCCAGCCAGCACATTAACGACGCACTGCGCCGCATTGAAAGCGACATTTCTCTCGAAGACCCGCCGTACAAACTCACCTTGTTGACCTCGCCAACACAGCGGGTCATCATCGTCAGCCTCTTCCACGCTATCTTCGACGGTGGCTCGTTCCAGCTCCTTCTCGATGAAGTCGATGCCGAATACCGTGGAGAAACGGCACCGCACCGCACATCGCTGCGCAAAGCAGTCGATATGCACCACCTGGCCGACCACGACCAGCATGGTCTCTTCTGGTCCCGATACCTGGAAGGGTTGAGTCCTCTTCCCTTCCCCAACCTAACGGGTCTGCGGCCCGAAGCCAGAACCGGACTCCCGCAAACTCACCAAATAGAATCGACGGTGCCCCTGACGCAGCTGCGAGATGCTGCGAAGGCGATGGGCACTTCTGCCCTGGCTGTTCTGCAGGCGGCCTGGCTCGTGGTTTTGTCAGGCTACACTGGCTCCGCCGACAACGTCGTCTTCGGCAGCGTCATCTCAGGAAGATTCGACAAGGACTTGGAGGTGTGCATGGCGCCCACCTTCGCCACCATCCCCGTCAGAACCCCGGTAACAGAGATGGAGAGCATCACGTTCCTCGATGTTGCGCGGAAGCTGGCACAGGCGAATGCCGAGTCCTTGGGTCACTTGCAGGCCAGGATTGGAAGCATCACGTCGGCCAGCGGCCAGCTGCCATACGACACGCTGTTTGCCTTCCAAGAGTTCGGCGTCGCGGGCGAAGAGAGCAGCATCTGGAAGTCGATCAACTACCCGCCCATGGCCAACGACTTCGCAGTCATGATCGAGGTGTGGCCCAGCAGCCAGGGCGCCATCACTCTAAAGGCCACATTCACCGACGCCCACCTCAACCAACAGGGCGCCGACGTCATGTTGACAGAGCTGAACGACATCCTGCAACACATCCTCTCGCACCCCGACCAGCCCTTCGTCTCCGGCCTGTCAGCCCCACGCGTCTCCCTGCTCTCAACCCATCCAGCCTCCGAAGCAGAGCTGCGCAAGGTCGCCGACGACACCTCGCTGCTGCACTCCCAGCTCGAATCCCACGCGCGAACCAATCCCGACGCCACAGCGCTCGTCTTCGTCACCGCCCTCGACCCCACCACCGAGCAAATCACCTGGACCTACGCCGAGCTCAACCAGCGCGCCTCCGCCTTCGCTGCCCAGCTCCGTGCCCGTTTCGGCGACCTGCGCGGCGTCTACGTTCCGCTGTGCCTCGAGAAGAGCCCCGCGCTGTACGTGGCGCTGCTCGGCATCCTCAAGGCCGGCGGCGCGTGGTGTCCCGTCGACCCGTTCTTCCCGGCCCGCAGGCGGCACGACCTCATCCTCCGCACGCAGGCGCCTATGGTAGTCGTCGACGCTGGAAAGCCCGAGTTGGCGGACGGGATTCCGCGTGGTGTCCGGAAGATCGAAGTGAACAACCTGGGGCAATGGACCGATCCCCCCGCCCTCCCCGGGCTGACCGCCGAAGACGCAGCAGCAACCTCGCTGCTGCAGGCGAGCCCAGACGACCCAGCCTACCTCATCTGGACCAGCGGCACGACGGGCCAGCCCAAGGGCGTCCCGATCCACCACCGCGCCGCCGTCGCGAGCATGACGTCGCTCCAACGCTGCGTGCCGTCCAACGCCGACGGGAAGCAGGTCCGCTGCATGCAGTTCTCGCAATTCACCTTCGACGTCTTCGTCCAAGACCTGTTCTACACCTGGGGCCTCGGCGGCGCCGTCGTCTCGTCCACGCGCGACAACCTGCTGCACTCCTTCGCCGCGCTCGCCACCGCCACGCGCGCTACCCACGCGCACCTGACGCCTGCCTTCGCCGCGGGCGTGCCGCGGAAGAGCTGTCCGACGCTGCGCGTCGTCACGTTCATCGGCGAGAAGCTGCCGCAGCATGTGGCGGATGACTGGGGCGCCGGCGGCAACGATGACGGGGGCGACAGCAGCAGCAGCAGCAGCATCATCGCGTTCAACACGTACGGCCCCGCCGAAACGACCGTCGTCTCGACCCTCGCGCAGTTCGCCGGCCCCAGCCTCACCGCAGCCCAGCGAGCCGTGGCGGCTTCGAACGTTGGCGTCGCGCTGCCGACGCTCGGCACGCACGTCGTGCACCCGCGCGACCCGGACCGGGTGGTGCTGCGCGGCGCCGTCGGCGAGCTCGCGCTCAGCGGGCCGCAGCTAGCGAAAGGCTACCTCGACACGCCGGCGAAGACGGCGGCCGCGTTCGTGTGGAGCGCTGGGCTGGGCTGCGCGGTGTACCGCACCGGCGACGAGGTGCGGGAGTTGCCGGACGGGTCGATCGACTTCGTGGGGAGAGCTGATGATTTGGTCAAGCTCGGGGGGATAAGGGTGGAGTTGAGCGAGATTGAGTGGGCGTTGAGGGGGTGCGAGGAGAGGGTGAGCCAGGTCGCTGTGCAGTATCTGAGCAGGCCGGACCGTATGGCGCGGGTGGTGGTTGCGTACCTTGCCGCGCCCGGGCTGGCGCGGGGGAAGGAGTTGGTCGTGTTGGGTCCCCAGGCGGCCGAGGTGGCGAGGAAGACGCTCGAGATGGCAAGGCTGGAGCTGCCGGAGCACATGATTCCTGGTGTGTTCTTGGTCGTGAGGGAGATTCCGAGGACCAGGAGCGCGAAGGTGGATCGCGATGCGCTGAGGGTGGCGTATGAGACGGTCGATTTGCAGGCGTGGGAGGAGTTGCTGAACCCGTCTGCCGTGGCGTCCGAGGTTGCGCCTTCGCCGTCTGCGGGGCGGTCCGAGGCGGAGTTGTTCGTGATGAGGAAGATCCAGGACCTCACTGGCGCGAAGGTCGAGGCCATGAACAGAGCGAGCAAGTTGGCGGCGCTCGGTGTTGACTCCATCGGCGCGCTGAGACTGGCTGCGAGACTCAAGGCGGATGGCTACAGTGTTTCGGTGGCCGATATGATGGCGTCCAGTACTGTTCAGGGGCTGGTGACGCTGGTTGAGAAGGCGTCCTCGAAGAGCCAGGAGAAGACTGCGGGAGACAGACTCCAGCAGTTCCACAGCAAATGGGCGCCGAAGCTGCAGGAGAAGGGGGTGCTGGGCAGGTTCCAGGTTGCTCCGGCTCTGCCGCTTCAAGAGAGCCTGTTGAGCGAGACGATGCAGAATGCGGAGTCGTACTGGAGCAATCACGCTTTCGAACTGAAGGCCAGCATCGAGCCTACCGAAGTACTCGAGGCATGGGCACAGGTCGTTCGAAACAACGATATCCTCCGCACCAGCTTCTTCCCAACAGCTGAATTCGACGACCTCCTGCCCGACGACTCCGCCCCCTCCTTCCTCCAAGTCATCCACGACGACACGCACGTGGATTCTCAACAGATCTCGATAGCCCCAGGAACCTTCCTCGACGCCGCAAAGCAGCGCGCCTCCGCCATCGCCGCCGACCGCCAGCAAACCGGCTTCCGCAGCCCGCTCTGCGCCATCACCATCTTCGACGACGGCACCACGTCGACGCTGATGCTCACTCTCCACCACGCCATCCACGACGGGCCGGCCATGCAGTACCTCTTCCACGACCTGGAACGCGCCTGCCTGGGCCGCAGCCCCCCTCCCCGTCCGCAGTGGCGCCAAGCGCTCAGCCTCACGCCCTTCATCTCCGCTCAAAACCCGCAACCCACGCTGGACTTCTGGAAAAAGGAACTCGACGTCTTCGCCGGCGGCGACGCCCGCACCTTCCCCGACCTCTCCGGCCGCCGGAACACCGCCGCCGATACGAAACCGCAGTTCCTCGACTGCGTCATCGACCTCACCGAGTCCGTGGCGTCCCTGCTGGAGCTGTCGAGAGCGATCGGCGCCGGCTCCGCTGTGTCAGCTGTGCGTGCTGCGTTTGGATGCACGCTGGCGGAGTACCTCGAGAGCCCGGCCGTCTTCTTCGGCGAGACGTTCTCGGACCGCGTCATCGACCCGGCGCTGGCCGACGCCGTCGGGCCGCTTATTTCGGTCGTGCCGGTGCCGTTCCACGCGGCGGAGGGCAGCACCGCGCGCGAGGCGATCGCAAGACAGGCGGCTGTGGTGGATGAGTCGGTTAAGCATCGGCATGTGCACCCGCGAACCGTCAAGCGGCTTGTCAACTGCCAGCCGTCTCAGCCGCTGTACTGCGCCATGTTTGCGTATCATCCGGAGGATGTGGGGCAGGAGGAGGGGGAGAGTCCAGTCTGGAGGCAGTTGGATGAGTTTATTCCGCTGACGGTGGAGCATCCGATTGCGTTGAATGTGGAGCAGAAAGGCGGCAAGCTGCAGTGCACGTTCTCGGCGCTGGACTCGGTCATGAATAGGGATCAGCTCGAGCTGTTCGCCAGGCAGGTCGATGCCTTGGTCAGCGCCATGGTGCAGCGGCCAGACCACCCCGTGGCAGACCTCGCAGAGTTCTTCCCGAAGAGCCTGCTGTCGGTGGCGGAACCTGAGGTCACCGATGCCATCGTTAAAGCTCCTGAGCTGCCTCCAACGCACTGGCTCGACCACTGGGCGAACGAGCATCCCGACTGGGTTGCTCTGGAGATCGCCAGAGATATCAGCGAGGACGGCGTCACGTCCCAGTCCTGGACCTACAAGGACGTCAGCCTGATGTCCGACCGCATTGCCGCCTTCATCAGCAACAATGGGTTGTTCAATCAGATGGTCGCTTTGTGCATGGGGCGGTCGTTCATCGCATATGCCACAGTAGCAGCCATCTGGAAGAGCGGCAACTGCTACCTACCCGTCGCCGAGGACCTACCGCTGGAGCGTCAAGCCCTACTACTCCGCGACAGCGGCTCCGCGATGCTCTTCACCGACAAGGCCTCCATGTCGTCTCTCCCCGCCGTCTCGGCCGACTGCCGCGTCGTGCTGGTCGACGACGAGGACTTCGAGTCCAGCCTCCCACAACCCCTGACGACGTCGCCAGCCTCGCACCCCGACGACAACTCCTACCTCCTCTACACCTCGGGCTCATCCGGCACGCCCAAGGGCGTCCTCGTCTCCCGCGGCAACCTCTCCGCCTTCACCGAAGCCCAGTCCGACTTCATCTGCCGCGAAGTCCCCTCCACGCCCCTCCTCGGCGGCACAGGGAAATACCTCGCGCACGCCAGCCGCGCCTTCGACGTGCACATCTGCGAGATGGTGCTAGCCTGGCGCCACGGGCTGGCCGTCGTCACCGCGCCGACGCGCGCCGCGCTGCTCGACGACCTGCGCCTGGCGCTGGTGCAGCTCGGGGTGACGCACTCGGGCTTCGTGCCGTCGCTGCTCGACCAGGCCGGGTTGGAAGCCAAGCACGTGCCGAAGCTGCGCTACCTGGGCGTCGGCGGCGAGAAGATCTCGCAGCGCATCATCGACGAGTTCGCCGCCAGCGACGCCATCTCGCTCGTCAACGCGTACGGCCCCACCGAGGCGACGATTGGGATTTCGTCCATCAACGTCAGCCCCCAGACGAACGTCAGGAACATCGGGAAGGTGGTGGGGAACGTCCGCGCGCATGTGTTTCGCCCCGGGACGACGCAGTACGTCAAGCGCGGGCAGGCGGGCGAGCTGTGCGTGACGGGCGACCTCGTCGCCAACGGGTACCACCAGCGGCCCGACGCCAAGGGCTTCGTCGAGTTCGACGACGGCCAGCGCATGTACCGCACCGGCGACATGGTGCGGCTGATGGCCGACGACTGCATCGAGTTCCTCGGCCGGAGTGACAGCCAGGCCAAGGTCCGTGGGCAGCGGCTGGAGCTGGAGGAGGTGTCGGCCGCCGTGGCGAAGTGCGCGGGCGGCGCCAAGGTCGATGTCACGTCTTTGGTTATTCCGTCGCCGAGCACGGGAAGGCCGCAGCTCGTGACGTTTATCAGCCGTGCGGGCATGAAGCCGGCGAAGGCGGATGCGGCACCGCCGGTGTTCGTCGTCGAGGAGTATCGCGAGTGGGCGCCGAGGATTGTGGCCGGGTGTAAGAATGTGTTGCCGCCGTATATGGTGCCGAGCTATATCGTCCCGCTTACCTTCATTCCGATTCAGATCTCAGGGAAGGCGGATGTGAGGAAGCTCAGGGCTATCTACGAGGCTATTCCGCGGGCTCAGCTGGTCGGAGGTAAGGGCGCTGCACAGGCAGGCAGCGTGGCTGTGGATACCCCGGCCCAGCGGCAGCTCAATGCGGTGGAGACGAGGGTGAGGGATGTGCTGAGGACTGTCGTGCCGTTTGAGCTCGGCGAGATTTCGCCTGCTACCAACATCTTTGACTTGGGCATCGACAGCTTGAACGCCATTGACTTGTCCATCAAGCTCCGGAAGGCTGGATTCACTTGTTCCGTGGCTGATGTTCTCAGCCGGCCGCTCCTCTCTCAACTTGCGGAAATTCCCTCAAACGTACAGGAAACTCAAGCAGTCGTGGCTCAGGACCACTCCGAGTCCCGAAAGAAGCTCCTGGCTCTCGACGCTGCTTTCCGCGCCCAGAACACCAACCCCAAGCTGCCGAACGCCGCCATCCAGGCCGTCCGCCCCTGTCTTCCGCTTCAGGAGAGCCTGGTTGCCAGTTCTCTAAATGACGATACCAAGTCACTTTACGTCAACCATATCGTTCTGAAGCTCGCTCCTTCCATCGACATTGAGAGGCTGCGGGATGCTTGGCTTGATGCACTGGCTGATGTTGACATACTGCGCACCTGCTTCGAACAACTGGACGGCACAATTGTGCAGGTTGTTCTGAAACCCCGTGCTGTCGCTCTTCCGTGGGATAATATTTCCCACGGACCTTTATCCAAGAAGCAGAAGGAGATCTCCGCGGACATCATTGACAACATCCAGGTTCTCCCGCCCTACAGGCTCGCCACAACTGAGGGCCTGCTCCTGATCTCCATTCACCATTCTTTGTACGATGCTGTCTCAATGAACCTCATCTTGAGCAGCGTGTACGCTCACTATCAAGGACTGTCTCCTCAACAACAGGGTGATATGGAGGCTCTTTACACTTACCTGCTTCAACACGACCTGAAGGAAGCTGAGAGCTTCTGGAAGCAGTATCTCCAAGACTTCAGGCCGTCTTACGTCTCTTCTAAACCACGCAGTGAGGGCCAACAGCTGCGGATTGTCGAGATGGCTCTGTCAAACAAACTGTCTGCGCTGTCCAAACAAGCATCTCGAGCCATGGCCACTCTGACCTCCCTGCTCGAGGCGGTGCTCGGACTGATCTTGGCGCAATCCGTCGGCACCGACGACGTGACGATCGGCCGCGTGTTGGCTGGCCGCGCCATACCAGTGCCCTCTGCCGACACTCTGATTGCTCCGCTCGTCACCACGATTCCCTCCCGCATTCGCTGTGACAGCCAGTCCGTAGCCACGGTCCAGGACGTCATCGCTGCAGTCCACAACAACAGCACTGCGTCGCTGGCGCACCAACACACGCCACTCCGCCACATCCAGCGCTGGGCGGGCTGTGCCACTCCTCTCTTCGATGTGCTCTACTCTTTCTCCCGCGCCTCATCCGAAGAGACTCTGGCCTATGCAAACGCATGGACTGAGCAGGAGGGCAGCGGGGGAATGGCGGCCGACTACCCTCTCGCCATTGAAGTCGTCGCCGACTCGTCGTCTGACGTCGTCACTCTCCGCGCTGCCTCGACGGATGTGTTTGGAGATGAAGGCAAAACCAGAACTCTGCTCGAGAATATCGATCTCCTCGTGCAAGCATCAGCCGCCGCGGACGGGCTTAAGATTGCCGACCTGCACATCCATGGCGCGGCGAGGACCATTGACTCGGCGGCGTCTGAGAATCAATGGGACGAAGACACCTGGTCCCCTCAGGCACAGGTGATGCGGTCCGCCGTCGCCCAGCTGTGCGGCCTGGCAGAACACGAGGTCACCAAAAACGCATCCTTCTTTTCCCTGGGTCTCGACTCCGTCACCGCCATCCGTTTCTCCAAAGCCCTCAAGGCCGCCGGCCTGCGCGTCTCATCTGCAGACATCATGAAGCACATGTCCATCGGCGCCCTCGAGAATCACTTGACGCTGGCCACTCAACCCAACGAAAAGAAGCAACCAGTCGAGGCTCACCAAGTACCCCTCCCGATCCCAGCAGACGTACCGAAAGACGACGTCCTGGACGTCTTCCCATGCACCCCGCTCCAGACGTCCATGATCACCCAGACCCTCAGCTCCGGCAGCGGCAAGCTGTACGTGCACCACCACGCCGCGGCACTGCCGTCCACCATCGACGTCGCCCGCCTGAAGGATGCGTGGACGCAGGTCGTCCAGAGCACCGACATCCTGCGCACCTCGTTCCACGCAGCACAGTCGTCGCGTCAATTCATCGGCGTCGTCCACGAGGCTGCACAGCCGAACTGGTCTGAGGTCGAGGCTGCAGAGTCGATCGCCCGTGCCATCGACGACATCGTCGCCGCCGCCGTCTTCCCTGCTGAAGCGGACTTCCGCACGCCGCCGCTGCGCGCTACGCTGATCACGAGCGGCGAGCAAAAGGTCCTCGTCGTCACTTTGCACCACGCCCTGTACGACGGCCACTCAGTGCCGCTCATCTTCGCCGACTTGGCCGCTGCGTATCACAGCCAGTCCATTGGCAGCAGACCGTCTTTCAGTGCCGCTGCCCGTGCTATTGCCACCGCGCAGCAGACCGACAATTCGTACTGGTCCCGCCGCCTGGCTGGGTACCGCAAGGCTGCCCTGCGCGACCGCCCTGGCGCCATCACCGACAAACTCCACACGCTCGACCTCGCCCTCGCCCCTGCCGCACAAGATATCCTCGCCGCACGCGCTGCGCTGGGCATCACGCTGCAGACGGCCGCACTACTGGCGTTCGGCAAGGCCCTGGCTACGCAATTGACTGGCGTTCGTGATGTTGTTTTCGGCCACGTCCTGGCTGGGCGTGATGTTGAAGGTGTCGAGGACGCGGATGCCGTTGTGGGTCCGCTGTTCAACACCGTACCGTTCCGCCTGCGGCTGGAGGGGTTGCTGGCAACGAACGGTGCCGTAGCGGGAGAAATTCAGCGCGAGCAGGCTGAGGGCCGCTCCGGCCAGCACGAGGGGTTGGGCGAGGTGACGAAAGCGTGGAGGAAAGCCACGGGGGAAACGAGTGAGAGGCTGTTCGACGCGTTGTTCGTGTTCACGAAGACCGCGCCACCGCCGTCTGAGGGAGACGAGGAAGAGCTTTTCCGCCCCTGGAAGCCCGCCGACGGCGAAAAAGAGTTCGTCCCCGACGACGCCGACTACCCCCTCAACTTCGAGTTCGAGCAAGGCCCTTCGCAGCTCGTCGTCCGCGCCTCCTGCCGCGACCGCCACCTCGACCGCGCCGGGCTACAGGCCTTCGTCGCCATCTTCGAGGCCGCCCTGGAAGACGTCCTCACGCGGCCCGACCGCGCGGCCGTGGCTTTCCCGCCTGGGCTCAAGGACCTGCCCGTCGCTGCGGCTGAGCGGGTCGAGAAGCTGGAGGACGGTTTCGAGGACATGGTTCCCGGGCCGGACCTCGATGCCGTGCGGGATGGATTAGCAGAGGTGACGCAGGTCCCGCGCGAGGAGGTCGAGCTGGCCAGCAACGTCTACGCGCTGGGCCTCGACTCGATCGCGGCGATCCAGGTCGTCGCGTTCTGCAGGGAGCGTGGTGTCGTCGTCAGCGTCACGGATATCCTGCAAGGCGGCACGCTCGGTGGCATCGTCCGGACGCTTCGACAGAAGAACAAGAAGCAGAAGAAGGCTGCTGCTGCTGCTGCAGTCGACCCCTCCTCCTCCCCAGCCAAACCGAAGGAGCTAGTCAGCAGGGCTGTCCGCTTCGCGGCCATCGACCTGCTCGCTGTCGACCCGGCGGCCGTCGAGTACGTCCTGCCCTGCCTCAGCGGCCAGCTTTATCACTTGGCTGGCTGGCACAACAGCGGCCGCACGCTGTTCGAGCCGACGTGGGCTTTCGTCGCCAGATCCCCGGTCGATCCGGAGAGGCTGAAGGACGCGTGGTGGCGCCTGCGGCAGCGGCACGCCATTCTCCGCACGTGCTTCGCCGCCGTGGCCGGGGAGAACGTCGTGCAAGTTGCCCTGAAGCCCGAGGCCGTCAAGCGGGATTACGGATTCCGGCAGCTCGACGCTGGCCAGGGCGAGTTCGTGCCGGCTGTCGTTGAGGAAGTAAAGGCTATCGCAGCGAGGCCGTCGGACCTGTTCACCCCACCCGTTCGCCTGTGTCTGCTGCGCAGCGCGGAGAAGAGGGACGCCGTCCTCCTCACCTTCAACCACGCCACCTACGACGCGTGGACGATTCCGCTGCTCCTCGCCGACCTCGCGGCCCTCTATGCCAGCAAGGACGTCCTCGCCCCACCCCCCGCCTTCGCCGACTTCATCACCCACGCCCTCAGCACCACAGCCAACGACCAGGCCGCCGCCGCCGCCGTGCAGCAGCACTGGCAGAACTACCTCCACCTCGCCTCCCCGACCATCCTCGGCTCCTCCTCCTCCTCTTCTTCTTCCAACAACACCTCCACCTCCTCCCTCCCCCGCCAAACCTTCGTCCTCATCCCCTCCGCCATCCGCTCCCTCACCACCCTCGACCAGCGCTGCCGCCAATCCGGCGTCGCCTTGCACGCGACGCTCCTCCTCGCCATCGCCCGCGTCCTCGCTCGCCACACCAGTGCGACGAATCCGACGTTCGGCCTGTACCAAGTCGGCCGCTCGGGCAGCTTTCCGCGGATAGATGCGCTAAGCGGGCCGACGCTCAACCTCCTCCCGCTCGTCGTGCGCGATGCGCTGGGGGTCGATGCGAGGAGCGGGGCGAGGGCGGTGCAGGAGGATTTGGGGGGACGGTTGGAATTCGAGCAGGTGGATTTGAGGGGGGTGGTGGATCGGTGTGTTGAGGGGGGGTGGCGGGCGTTGGGGAATGTGTGCGTTAATTTGTTGTGGCAGCGTTCGCCCGCTGCTGGAGGGGAGAAAGAGGGTCTGGAGGGGGTGGGGTTGCAGCTCGAGCCGTTGAGGATTGGCGTGCCGACGGATTTTGCGCCGAAGGAAAAGGTTGTGGGGAGGACGGCGGTGGATGGGATTGATGGCGGGTGGTTGCGGAGGGAGAATAATTTGTTTGTGGATGTGGGGAGGAATGAGAAGACTGATGCGATTGATGTGGGGGTGAGGTATGAGGGGGATGGGTTGGCAGAGGCGGAGATTGAGGGGTTGGTGAGGGAGGTGGCGGAGGAGTTGGGGAGGTTGGTGGGTGCGTTGTAGATAAGTGATTGGAGTGAAGGGGTGGAGTGTGAAGAAAGAGAATTTCTTTGAGTTATTTCTTCTGGTTGTAGATATGTAGAAAGGTCTCCTACTATTGGCGCTCGGGATCGCGTTGTAGTGATTAGTCTTTCATCTCAGAACAGAAATTTCGTAGCATCTTTTCCGGTTGGCTTTAAGCCTCATCTTATGGGTCGTAACCAATCTGCGTGTCTTTTTCTGCGGGCGAACCAAATGCGATAGTCAGTCAATACTTTCAAGACGTTCGAAGAAAGTAGATGAACCGTTGGCACGGCTCGGACCGAACCGTGGGTAGGAGAATAAAGTACATACTTTCCCATACTCGGCACAGTCGCCACCTACAAAAAGCGGCGGCGCGTCCCATCATCCCGCATTCGGATATGGCATTAGTTGAGCCATGGGTTGAAACAAAAGTCAATAATCGTTAGTAAGGACCACAGCCCAGCACACGGCCAGCGGGCTCTCGTTCAGCCGTGATTAACTCGTCGGGTAGAAAAATATCCGATCTTCCGTCTCAGCAGCCCTATTGCGGGGCAGCGAGAGGTTGGGGCTATTTTTGGGATGGTACGTTCACGAATCGCGTAGGTCGTTCGTGACTTTTCCTCTCGACCCAGCGCAATTCGCGGTGCAGTAGTGGTGATGTAGGTTTCCATCCACTTTTATTCGCAACACGCTCGGCAGTCAAGATGCATTTATTTTCGTTCACGCACGGCAAACGGCCAGGATAAATCAGTGCACGCCATAGTTCCATAATGCTTAGTCAATGACTTACGCAGGCATCGGTTGAAACGAATGTGGGGCAACCCGCATTACCTAGCGGGGGTCTTCGCCCACACACGGATCTCCAGGTTTTGGCTCAGCTTACAAAAAATAAGATGATTCTCGGCTCATCTCGGCTCACCTCGGCTAGATACGCAGCTCTCCCGTAAGTTTGATTGTGTAATGTCATGCAATTGGTCAGAACAATTGTTTCATCATTGATGGCCATGTTCTCTACGAGAGCAATATACATTGCATCGCTGAGCCCTATCGCTACGCTCGGTCGTAACCCAATTGAGGTAAAGTGCGATCTATATCTAACCGTTGTCCAGAGCTTCATTGACCACACATGGAGTAGCTTGCATTGGCACGACCAGGGTTGAGTCAACCACAACGAATCAGCATCATGAGAAGGTCATGACTGCCGCGGACTAAAACCACAAGCCCGATACGCGCATTTGATGAAAAAGGGCGACCATGGGGGCCAATATCTGCAGTATAAAGAGAAGCACGAGGATAATTCCTGCTCCACTTAACTTCGCCAATCTACAATAAAAAGCGGAAAATGGAGGCTAAGTTGGTGCCGCTCCTCCAAGAATTCCTGTTCAACGGCGATGCGCGGCTCTCCAACCTCCGCGTAACCCACGTATCACTTGCCCTCTTCATCCTGGTACGCCACCCACCCACCCACACCCAGCTCCCCCCAATCACACAACAACCACTAAACCCGCGCGCAGTGGCTCACCACCTCCACCACCCTCGCCCTCTACAACCTCCTCCTCCACCCGCTCGCCAAATACCCGGGCCCGCGCCTCGCCGCCTGCACGTCCCTCGTCTACCTGTACCACTTCCTCGCCGGCACCAGCGTGTCGTGGGTCGCCGCGCAGCACCGGCGCTACGGCGCCGTCGTGCGCCTCGCGCCCGACCGCCTCAGCTACACGAAGGCGGAGGCCTGGAAGGACATCTTCGGGCACCGCACGGGCGGACACCGCGCGAACCCAAAGGACGCGCGCACGCAGTCCGGCGCCATCGATGGCTATCACAGCCTCGTTACCGAGCCGGATGACGAGCGGCACGGGCAGACGAGGCGGGTGTTTTCGCACGCGTTTTCGGACCGGGCGTTGGTGCAGCAGGAGGGGTTGATTCAGGGGTATGTGGGGGAGTTGGTGGAGCTGATACGGAGGGGGGGTGGTGGTGGGGTGGCGGGGGAGAAGGGGAAGACGAAGGAGATGGATGCGGTCAAGTTGTTTAACTTCGCGACGTTTGATATCATGGCGGATCTGGCGTTTGGCGATCCGCTCGGGAATTTGAAGGAGGCGACGTATGCGCCGTGGGTGGATGCCATGTTTGGGTGTTTTAAGAACCTCCAGATTATCAGGTACGTTGGCCCTTTTTCTGTGGGACGATTGGGCTTACAGGCTTTTCTGGGGCGCTGGTGCTGGGACACCGGACCGAGAAATACCGATTCGCGAGCTGATGGTCAAATAGCGCATTGAACGAATACCGCATCGCCCAGATCATCTATGCCGTCTTTCTGATGCCACGCACCGTCAGAGCCGCCGCCGAGCTGACCATCTCCCAGTGCGCGGATCTAGTCGCGCGCCGGATGGACAAAGGCAAGACGGAGCGGCCCGACATCTGGGGCCTCATGATGCGGGCCGAGGAGAGGGTGCAGTTCACGCGGGGCGAGATGACATCGCAGAGCTTCCTTTTCATGATTGCCGGCACCGAGACGACGGCCACTCTGCTGAGCGGATTGACCTGGTTTTTGATGATGAATCCGACAAAGTACAAGAAGTTGGCGGAGGAAATAAGGGCTGTCGAGAGTGAGGAGGAATTGGAGAGTGACAGGAACTTGCGCAAGTTGAAGTATCTGAATGCATGCCTGGAGGAGGGCCTGAGGTGTAAGTGTTCGGTGGTGATTGAGAGATGTTGATTCAGGCTGACCAGCTGGGAAGTGTACCCTCCAGTGCCGTTGGGGACCAACCGTAAGGTTGCCCAAGGGGGGAACACGATCTGTGGAGACTGGTTACCCGAAGACGTACGTTTACACAGCTCCTGCCAGTGGTATTGACTTAACTCACCAACCCATTCAGACTCGGCTCACGGTTGACCATTATTCTGCCTACCGCTCGGCAGAGAACTTCAAGGATCCTGACGTCTTCCTCCCGGAGCGCTGGATTCCTGGAGAGCCTGGATTCGAAGAACATCATGCTTACGATAAGCGTGAAGTTCTGCAGCCTTTCTCATATGGGCCCCGCAACTGCCTAGGGAAGAAGTGAGTACACACCTATCTTCACACGCCAGCCATTGTCTCTGATTCTGGTGACACTAGTCTCGCCTACTACGAGATGCGCGCATTGTACGCCAAAGTACTCTGGAATTTCGATCTTGAGCTGTGCGCAGGGATGGAGACTTGGATTGACCAGAAGACGTGGGCCCTTTGGCACAAGCCCCCGCTCATGGTCCGTTTCACGCCTCGTGTCCAAACTTGAGAATGGTAGCAAAATTTCCAATCTCGTTGGAAAACTCCAAAATCATTACGATCCACATACTGTTAGAGTTTGATTCATGAAGGACCTGAAAATGGAATTTACGGAAGTCAATGTCATCAGCGCATTGCGAATGGCCGGGTGCATTGATCTTGTAGCCAATCAGAACCCCCGCACGCCGCAATTGCCCGGCGATTTCCCCTCGCGATAGTGCTGGGGAATATCCTCATAACGCTTCCACCAGCAACAATCATAGAGGCCTCAGCAATCACAACCCTCCTCCTCTTCCTCAATACCATGGTTGGCCCAGTCATCCGCGGATATTGTTGAGACAGCCACCACTGCACTGCCTATTGCAGTTCGCATCGTTTTCGAGGTAGACGTCCCACGGGGCCTCAGGAAGGTAGAAAGTGTTGGTGCAGGGAGTGGAACGGCAGCCGAGAAGAAAACCCTCAAGCCTGGTACTGTTGGTGTGGAGGTCTGGGTTCATCAACTACTATATGACTCAGGCGCTGAAGGTCTGCCCCAAGGGCGAGCAGACGATTAACTGCTCGACACACTCGGGTTTATACGCTTCTGTAAAACAGGAAATAAGCTTGTTTGAGGGACAGGTTGCTCTTCGTGGTGTGATTCATCATCTTACATTGAGGTTCATGTTAAAATTACTATTAAAATGTTCATCCTGCAAAGGCGCAACACATGGATTCTGAAATCATTTGTGCGTGCAGGACGTCATTGGTGTCTATTACACAGTGGTACAAACTTTGCTCTTGAGACTAGTATGATACCATTGCCCAGATGTACTATCGAGCTGTTCGTGAAGAAAAAAAAAAGGAGATGGCAAGGAAATAACTGAGAGGCTACTTGTACGAGGAAGAACACATTCAAACAGATCTAATACCCATTTGCGCCACGACCAGGACAACACATGCCACACCTATGTTGCGGCGCTTAGTGATTGGCTCACTCGAGCCTCACTTCGTCCTCAGTTATGACTCCATTATGATCTTTGTCGTGTCTGTGACCTTGTCAGAAAGTCTAACCGTGATGATACATATCTTTCAAATTTAGAATAGAATCACTTACTGTCCAAACCAATCAATGTATATCTGGTTATCATAGCCGGCATCCATATAAGCCAAATACTCCGACAGAGTCAGGTTCCCGGAGTGGTCGGTATCCGCCGCAGCGAAAGCGTCATTGGTAAGATCGGGAGGGTCAGGCTCATCGATTGAGGAACCATCAGCCTTTCTGCAGCCTAGAACGGCATTCAAGCATGTTAGTATATTTACGAAAACAGATCTAGAGAGAAGCAAAGCTTGGTCTACGTGGGCTGAGAAATTGGAGACAATATACCTTTCTTACAGGCGCAACAGAAGATATTGCACTTGTTGACACCGCAGCATGGGGTCGATTTAGTTCCATCAGCGCAATCTCTCGGACCACACGTTAGATCACGGACGTCACAACTAGGGTTGCAACATGCTCCGAGGACTGCAGGGAGTACAGCAAGCGTGACGGAGAGAACGCGGTAGAAGTGCATTTTCGAAACCGAGTTTGATAGTTTGAAGCCGTAAAAAATTTCGAGAGGGTCCTGGAGAGGTAGAAGGCTGGATGATGATGGTTGAAGGAGAGGTTATGGTCATTTTATGAGACGGGTTGATTATGCAGATATCCAGGAGCTCAGCTGAAACGGTGAGGAGTTGGTTGATTTCTTGCTGTTTGTTGTCACACGCCTCGAGTAAAAGTCGTTCTCGCTCAGCCAGCCGTCTCAGGCCAAGATAGGACTGCATGTTCCTCACTTCAAATATGGTAACTTTACAATAAACTTAGTTCAACAATATAGGATGCCGTCATCTGGTGGGCAATCTTTCCAGTCCTGCAGTTGCTCATTCAGTGCCGAAATAATATGACTGATTCATCAAATTGTGTAACATAATCTCAAACAGACAAGAAGTTCAGTATGTGGGACGGGAGCAACATCACTAACGTGTGGCTGGCCATTGGAGCCGATAAGCAAAAATTTCACGATACGTTAGAATGCCAAAAATAACGAGGACATGTTTAGTGCAGACGCGTCTCAGGCGCTCGTACTCAGCCTTATTACCAGGCACAGTCATTCGTGCTGCACCGCCGGCGGCGAGCCGCAACTGTACTAACTCGACGCGAGGCAGGCAAACATCTCAGCCTCGCGGCGCAATCTGTTTGGATAGTGGATCAGTTGGGTTATGTCGTACAGAATGTGTAGCGCAGCATCGTTTATGGCAAACTCGTTGGTTGGGTCGAAGAATATGATTGCCGAGCAACAGACGACACCATAGTATTTCCAAAGAGCATACAATGCTTCTAAACAACAGAATATTTCCGATACGTGTGGCTGGCATATTTTGTAGCGCTGTTTCCAGCCGAGAAACTTTTGCATTGTGACGGGGCGCATTAATGAGCCGCATCCGTTATTTTGCGAAGTTCTGCCATACACATGGTTCGATTTATTTTACCGGGATGGTATTTTCCGGAACATGTATTTTATGCATAGCACTTCGAGCTTACCAAGTAAAAGGACAAAATTTCATCTGAGAGCGCTGTAATTGTAGGGTCGTCAGTACACAAGACTCCTTTCTTTAAAAGAAACCGTGGTATTGCCAGCTCTGGATCGGACTCGGTCAAAAAACTTCACTTCGTAGTCCCCCGGGGCTGATTCCTTTTGACCGATCGACAAGGTTGAATGCCCCATGGATTTACGTGGAACGTAGCCATCTCGTTTATGGAATAAGTTATATCAAGCGGTTGTTATTATACTCTTACACCATTAGTAGCTTGAAATAAACTCATTGGTGTAAATTGGGTATTCATGGCGATAGTTAAGTCTAGTCTAATTTTCACGAGATCTCTTGCCATTGCAATGAAGGCTGGTTGGCTTTATGGAACCGGTTTAATGATTGGAAATAGACTGCAGACTATCTAATTGAGGAAACAATCAACAAACGAGAAGAACGAGCGTTGCTATACATAATTGAAAGAGACACATTCCCATCGTTCACTCGTTCCTGATGGCACTTGGCCAAACTCTTAAGTCTTGACGGGGCAGTTGTAGGGCCCTTGGAGGTACCCTGTCGTAGAACCACAGTAGGCGCCATCGCCACCGCCATTGCCGACGCACTGCAGGCAAGTTAGCTGGTGGGATTCTTAACATGTTGTAGTCTTGCTGCATAATCATCTCTTACCGAAGTACCAGCCGCGCAGTCATAGTTGATCCCCGCGACCTTGCAGGAGGTACCGTTGCAGTCCTATAGTCCCTCATGTCAGTATTTCCAATACTCGGGAAGGTGTGTCTGCGGCACAAGGGGGAAAACATACACCGCAGAAGTCGTCACCGTCCCTGCAGGCTGCATTGACACCGATGGCGGCGCCGAGCATGAAAAGGATGGAGACGACGTTGAAACGCATATTGAAGGACGTTGATTGAAGAGGTGTTGTGGCTTGATAGTGAGGTGAGATGATGGTGTTTTGAGGACTGTGATGCCGGGTGAAATGAGAACGAAGAGACTGGTACTTATACCTTAGTTCTCCTTCACATCCAGCCCCCGCGCAAGTAAGTGATGTGTAGAGATGAAGAGAGCTTGTTGCCTTGGGTTCAATTCTGACAGCTTGCCACCGCAGTGAGTACGTCACGAAGGATTGGCTTCCAGGCGTGAAGGTGTTGTCACTGGAGCCTGAGTAATCCTCTTGAAGAATGCTGATGCTAGCAAATATTGATTTTTTGGGTGTATGTGGAAGGGTGGATGCCGGGTCAGCAACTTCATTGGTGATGGGATGGCTGTGTCGGGACCGCAGATGACAGAGGTGAGATAAGATCTCAGCCTACGTAGACAGTGAAGTCGAGTGGAACGTCATGGAGGAGGGCTACACTTTTGTGAGACTGTGTGAAGAGCGTTGTGTGACAGTATTTACATCACGAAGGAGTGTGTGTAGGGTTATACAGCGCGCAGTAACAGGCGCACTCTAAAACAACCATAAGCAGGTTCGAATTCCCGATGAAACGTTGTGCAATCTAAGCTGCCTATCTTCTAAGATCAGGCGGATGTTGTTGTATGTTAGGTAAGACAGGCCGCTAGACGCTGCTTGACCAGATACAAGCTTTTTCGTAGCGTGGTCGTCTTCGCAGTGCGCGTTCTCTTGGGCCCGAGTAAAGGGCCTGAGTATATTGTGGGGATGATCGCCGTGTGGCGGCGGCTGTGGCTCGATCGTATTACGCTACTTGGTGGGAGGCTGCTGCAGGGCGTAAGCATTGTGACGTCGGTGTAAACAGTAACATGCGTGTCTATCCCTTCGTGGTCCAAAGTTTCATCTTATCTCCATCGTGCTATTCCAATTTTAAGCAGGATGGATTCAGGCAGAACACTTCTCTCACATCAAAGCGTGTGACCTCGCCAACTATGTCGCGCGATTCTGCCACGACAAACCCACACCCCGAATGCGGTGAGCAATGTACCATGAAGGGATTTTCTATCAATTCCCTAGGCGTCATTCTGCTTGTTATTGTAACAAGTTGGGGCGGCTGCATCTCTGCACAGCCCTTCGGGACTCTCAGGGATTGAGGTCCGCATACACAAGTTGGAATTCGGCAATCGACGGCAAATAATTTGTTGACTCCTTCGATCCTGATACAAGGGTACTGCCTAGTTTCTGTCCTCCTCTTCAGCCCCCAAAGCGTTGATTTCTGTTATTGGTCGACTGAGAAATCCATGTGGGGTACCTGAACGGAAGAATCCCGGATGTGGTTCGTGAGGAAGTCCCAATTTGGTTGCTAAGCCTTGCAGACAGCCCTAATGATTAACGTTAATGGTACTTGATCGACATCATGATTCGGTTACGGTGTGCAGGAACATCCAAACCCCAATTTCGCATTAAAGCCTACACTAGTCTGCGTAGATACATGATTACTTTGATAATATCTCGTCTGAGCCTTGGTCCGGTGCATCGCATACACGTCTCCGCCCCGCGCCGTGCTCGGAGATGTGTCGATCTTTCCTTTGCTAAAACACCTGCATCCGCCTCGCGTTACTACCGCCCGGTCTTCCGCTCTATCCGCCGCTGCTGTCACCGCCTCTTGTTTCTTCCTTCAGCTCGGTCTCCTTGGTTAGAGCCCTTCTGTGAATATCAACATTCCAAATTGCTTGTACACGCTATACTCTCCTTGTCAGACCAGCTGATAGCAATGCAGCAATTCCTTCTCCGATTCGACGACTGTAATGCCGAGCACTCTTCGTTCTATGTTAACCAAGACTGCCCAGGCAACATAGCCACACAACGCTGCACTTGCCCTGACTCGGCGCTGGTATCAGTCTCATGATGACGTGGCTCAGGCATGCGCACACCGCTCGGCAGAGCCAGCCATAGCCGGCAGATCTACCGACGGCAGTCGCTAATACGTTTCCATTATGCCGTTGATGGACGCTCCATGCATCATCAGATGGTGGAAAGCTCAGTTGATTGTATTCCTCTCATCATTTGTGCTCCCTGCCAAACTACCTTTTCCTTCTTCCATGTGCCTCACGACTCCTTGTGTCACATATCAAGGCCAGAAAAGAACAGAATACTGCGGATCCACAAAAGGATTTCAATGCTGAAACGGATGCGGGGGCCTAAAGAGGATTGTGCACATCGCTTCCCTTTATACTTCATCCACTGAACAAACCAACACGCATGAGCTCCGCCCAAGGGTTCTTTGATTAAACGGGTAGTAGTAGCTCTTCAACATTGCTCAATTGGGCAGTAGTAGCTATTCAACATTGATCAATCGGGCAGTAGTAGCTCTTCAGTATTGATCAATCGGGAAGTAGTAGTCCTTCAGTCTTTTCTTGCTGGTCTTCAATCGCTGTGATGGCGAGAAGGCCTCTGGCAAGCAGTCGTGTATAAATACGCCCCTTGTGCGTTGCAAAAAGAGCACCATCACATCTTCGAACACTTTTCGCAACCTCTACAATCCAGACTCAAACTCGTCAACAATATGCGTCTCAGCATTTTCTCCGCTTTCTTCCTTCTCGCCGGCGCAGCCGTTGCCGCGGAATGTAAGGATGGCGACGCGGAGTGTGGTGTACGTCACGATTCCTTACGGTTCTAACCACAAGACGAAGTCTAACTCTACTCGATTAGGAATGCAACGGCACAAGCTGCTGGTACAGGTTGGGAAATTGGCCTTGCTGTGAGGGGACGTCTGTAAGTATCAACATTGCATCTGACCGTTAAACAAGACAGTATTGACATTCTACGTAGTGCGTAGGAAAGGGTGGCGGAGATGGCGCGTACTGTGGTTCACCGGAAACGCTCAACCAGGGTCTTGAGTGTTTCAACTGCCCAGTATAGAGAGGTTTCAGCGCACTGAGGGGTGGTAAACGCATTTGGCTACTCCCCTAGACTACTTCACAGTTTTTTTGCTAGGCCACACAGTCTTTACCGTTTACGCAATGGATCCGTTGTTATTTATAATCACCGAGCCAATGATCGTGATGTTTCGTAAGATGCTCCTGCGCATTATACCTGATACGCTCTAGCATTTGTCGTATATTTAGCTTTTAAGACCCTGAAAAGTAGGTGCTTGATCATCGTAAATCCAGGCAAGTCACATCCCATCGTCAGATATCTGCTCTTTGTACATACTACCTCTCTGCTTTCGTTAGTGTTGAACGCCGATCAAATTTAAAATATTTGCAGATGAAGATCGAGAAATGCATGCAGGATGGCATGGTGAGCGTGAGGGAGGGTTGCTGAGGAACGAGTCCCCATCATCTGCTATGACTAAGCTAACTAGTTCCACGGTTCGGGTTTCCGCTGTCAGGGGCTCCGCTGTCCGGAGCTTCCTTATTCGTTGTTCCGCTGCTCATAGCCCCGCTGTTTTCTATGGTTCCGTTACTCGTGGCTTGTAGTTTCGCTATCTATACTCAAATCCGTAGGGGTCCTATGTCCTCCATCATGCAGACCCGCAGTCACCCCCAACACATCGCTCAACAGAACTATGTATATATATGCTCTTTCCGCATCCAAGACATAGTTTATCAACATCCTCCACCACGTCTTGCAACCTCTACGATCAGACGTAACAGCAATATGCGGTTTAGCATTGTCTCTGTTCTCTTCCTACTCAGCATTGGCGCTATTGCCAGCGACTGTCAAGACGGTCATAGATCCTGCGGTGTAAGTTATTACTACATACGATGTTTCTGTAATGAACCGTCTAACATTCTATTCGACTAGCAATGTAACGGTCATTCTTGTAAAGTCGGTTTCTTTAACCGGCATTGTTGTGGAGACACCACTGTAAGTATCGACGACGATGTACTGATAATTGAAGAAGCCAGTCCTAACGCTGCGTGTAGTGTATAGGCCAGGGTGGTGGAGACGGGGAGTACTGTGGATCTTGGAGTGCATGGACCTGTTATGAATGCCCGATAAAGCTGGGCTGAAAACATTGTGGTAACCACACAACTTGATTTTGCCAAAGATCATATCCCATCTTCGAATGTGTATGGCTTGCACCATCTCTGTACTCGCATCAGCTCTGGTCTTAGACAAAAATAACTTCCAGGCACTGACTGAGTCGTCAGGCCGTGACGCATTCACAAAACGCAAGTCCGTGCCGAGCTTGATGCGGTTCTCCGGGTCTTGTTTGATCGTAGACGCGTGAATAATGTGCGGCTTGTGGAACACAAGGTCACCTGCCTCGTAAGCCTCCAAGAGCCAACGACTTTTGTGCTGTCGCGCAAACCCGGCGGGTCCATTAGCAAGAAAACCGGTAGTCATCATGTCGCGATTGAACGCATTCTTGCATTCCTCTTCACTCAGACCAGAAACAGCCGCTTCCTTTGCAAAGTCGTCCTCGAACTGCTGGCCGAGCTTGTCACCTGTAAAAACGAGCTGTTGGTTGCCATCGCTGAACTCCGGAATGCGATTCCAACATGCCGAATTTGAGGTAGATGAGCCCACCCCCCTCCAGACTCACATCTTCGATCGGCACCCACGCTGTGACAGCGGTCGGCTCACCGTGCCTCAGAAAGATCTGATCATAATGCACGCCCAGTTGCCGGGGATGTTGCTCCTCAACAACGTTCGCTGGAGCGGCAACGTATCTTCGCCCCATCCCGTGAGCTGCTTGACGAAGGCGGGGAGGGTCGGATGCTGGCAGAGGCCGCTGGCGTACCAGGATGCGTGGTGCGCGCGCTAAGCGTCAGGTCAACGAAGCTGGCCGAGTTGCTACCGCCGTCCAAACGGGCCGCTAGCGCCGGCTGCGTTGGCTCCGATGCCGGGGAAATCTGCCTTGTCTTTTTCGGGATCAAATATGCCGTCGACTGGGTTGCTGCCGGGCTTGAGAACGCCGGATAGCTCTATCATCGAGAAATATTGCTCCCGCGCTTTGAGGACGTCGGCTCGGGGGAGGAGACCTTTGCTGAAGAGATAGCCCTCATTGTGGTAGCTGTGTCGTAGTTCCTCAAGAGGCTCATCTGCCCGCGACTGCCGAAGAAGGGTAACGTCTGATGGAGCGAGGGGCCCGTCGTTGACATGTAGCTCAAGGTTGGAGAGGTCGGGACTTTGCAGCATCGTTTGGACTGAAGTCATATTCGAAGTTGCGAACAATGACCAAGTAAATTGGGGAATTGGAGATTGGCTGGATCATAGCGATACTGCAGAGGGATCTTCCATGCATGCTTAGAAATATATTGTTCTCTTTGGCAATCCATGAATGGTGGTCTCGGAATCTCCGCCGAACCCTGCAAGGTTCACATGTTGACCAATATATCAATCAATCTACCCACCACAGGGCATTTCAACAAAGCCATTCCTCAGAAAGCACCAGTTCAGATCATATCCTTCGTAACTCCTTTCAAAATCATAGCCAACATGTCCTCCGACGACCTAACCATCGCCCGCATCGACGTCTTCCACCTCGACCTCCCCTACTCGGGCGGCCTCTACCGCCTCTCCAACAACCGCCACTACACAACCTTCGACGCCACCCTCGTCCGCATCACCACGCACAACGGCCTCGAAGGCTGGGGCGAAAGCACCCCCTTCGGCTCCACCTACATCGCCTCCCACGCCCTCGGCGTCCGCGCCGGCATCGCCGAGATCGCGCCCAAGCTCCTCGGCCTCGACCCGCGCCGCGTCGACCGCGTCAACGACGCCATGGACGCCGCGCTCGCCGGCCACGAGCACGCGAAGACCGCGCTTGACATTGCGTGCTGGGACGTCTTTGGCAAGGCGGTCGGCATGCCTGTCTGCGAGCTGCTTGGCGGTCGCACGGGGGACGCGATGCCGATCATCACGTCGATAGGCGTGGATGAGCCGGAGGCGATGCGCGGCCGTGTGGCGGAGTACAGGGCGAAGGGAGCGAAAGGCCACTCGATTAAGATTGCGGGTGATGAGCCTGCGGCCGACGCGGCGCGCATTGCGGCGGCGCTCGCGGACAAGCGGCCGGGCGAGTTCTTTCTTGTTGACGCGAACGGCGGACTGACTGTTGAATTTGCACTTCGCATGCTTAAGCTGCTGCCGCGTGGATTGGATTTTGTCTTGGAGAGTCCCTGCGCGACGTGGCGGGAGAATGTCTCGCTCAGGCGCAGGACCGACGTACCCATCATCTTCGACGAGCTCGCGACGGACGACGCGTCCATCGTGCAGCTTGTTGCTGAGGATGGAGCGGATGGTATTGGGCTCAAGATTTCCAAAGCGGGCGGTCTCACGAGGAGCCGTCGCCAGCGGGACATTTGCATTGCTGCGGGCTATACCATCAGTGTACAGGACACGGTTGGGTCGGACATTGCATTTGCGGCAATTGTGCATTTGGGTCAGACTGTGCCGAAGCGCTACCTGCGGTGCGTTTTGGAGTGCCGGGACATGGTTACGCTCAAGACGGCGGATGGAGACTTTCCCGTCCGTGACGGCCATGTAGTGGCGCCGAGTGCTCCGGGGCTCGGGATCGCGCCTCGCATGGATGTGCTGGGGGAGCCTGTGGCTAGCTACTTTTAGATCACCTGCTTTTCGTAGTCAGGCAAATTGATTGATTATCTATCACTGGAGTGGGATTCTGAAACCCTTTTCGAGCAACGTTTTCCGCAGCTTGGTAAAATGCAGAGCATGGCGTTCGGAGATTCCGAAGCCGAGTGGCTTTCGGATGCCAGAGCCGAGTCTGCAGCGGGTCGGACCGCGCTCCCGAGGCCCCTCATGCTCACCTCATTCTTAACCCCGCCCTCCAAATACGCCATCGATTTGTCATGCGGTGTGATTTGTAATGTTCAAGTATGAAGAAAAGCTCACCATGTCTTGATGCATTCACAATGCCAGATAGAACAGCCCTTTCAAGGAAGCAGCCATGGCCAACGTTCCCGTCACAACCCGCCGCGCCTACCGCCGGACCGACGACCACACCCCCGGCACACCAAAGGTCAAACTCGTCACCGAACCCCTTCCACTCCCGCTCCCCGCAACCTCCGTCCTGATCAAAGTCCACGCCGTCTCCCTCAACTACAGAGATGCCAACATCGCCAACGGCGGCAACCCCTGGCCCGTGACTCCCCATGGCGTCCCGTGCAACGACGCAGCCGGCGAAGTGATAGCCGTCGGCGACGGAGTAACGACCTTGTCGCTTGGAGACCGGGTAGCGCCCATCACTGACACGGAGAACCTCACCGGGCGAGAGACGGCCCGGTCGTGGCTGGCCGCCGACGAGGACGGCGTGCTGGCGGACTATCTGGTGTTTGACGAGAAAAAGGTCTGCAAGCTGCCGGCCCATTTGGACTGGATCCAGGCGAGCATCATACCTTGCGCCGGCGTGACAGCCTGGGCTGCGCTGAAGGACGTTGGCTTCGGGAAGTCCGTCTTGATTCAAGGTATGTACGTCTGCGGTTGCTGGGAGGCGGCATCTGCTGATAGTTTGCAAGGTACTGGCGGTGTCAGCATGTTCGCGCTCAAGCTTGCGAGGGCAGCGGGGCTGAAGGTCATTTTGACTTCGTCGAGTGACGAGAAGCTCAAGAGCATGCGAGAGAAGTTCCCAAACCCACCGCTTTTGACTGTCAATTACGGCAAGAACCCGGCATGGCACGAGGAGGTCCTCAAACTTACTGATGGCGCTGGCGTCGATCTTGTGATTGAGGTTGGGGGAACGCAGTCGCTCGTCAAGAGCTTGAAGTGTACACGGCGGGGCGGGGTGATTAGCCAGGTCGGCTATCTCAGCAAGCAGGATGTGAACGAATTGTCAGAGCTTCTCCCACTACTGATCGATAGGAGAGTAAATTTGAGGTGAGAACCTACTGCACTGTTGACGGCGGAGCTAACTTGAAAAACAGAGGAATCAATGCTGGGTCAAAGCAGGATATGGACGATCTTGTCGCCGCTATCTCTGCTACACAAATGACGTTCGACGATATCATAGACTCAGTCTATCCATTTGATAAGGCTGACGAGGCTATAGAATTTATTTGGCAGGGTAGGCAAGTGGGAAAGCTCGTCATTCGTCTGGATTAGTGGCCAGGCCGTTTCATTACAAATACGAAATTGCTACCTCTTACAAATTTTGAACGTTGTGCGGCAAAGGATTGGCTGAGTACTTTTTTTTTTTTTGCTTGGTTGGGTTGTTCACAAAGATAGCGGAATTTTGATGGAAAGTGTGTGCGTGAAACGATGATTTCCAGAGTGACGAAGAAAACAGAAATGGCATAATGGAACGATGGATACGTTTATTAGCAACGGAAGAGCGGAAACTCCATCAATCTTTCTCTCCTCGCACCGGAAAAGACAAGGCGGGATCGGGGTTCGTGTATTTTGCAGGGATCGGGACAGACGCGGGGTGATGGCTAACCCCGCATGACAGCATCGGAGAGCATCCGATGCAGCTCTCTACTTATCCTCCAATCCGCACCAGAAACACACGAGGATCCCGATTCTCAGAATAGGGCGATGTAGATCGCATGCGCCAGAAATTTCCTCTTCTGGCAACCGAATGCGATTGGAAGGCTCAAAAGTGGTCTCTTAAAACAGACATTCCAAAGCTTGCAGGCTCTACTCTCCGCAATCTTTTATTTCCCAAAGTATCTTCCTACTACCAACCTTCCGTGCTTTGGTGTTACTTTTCACGCCTTGCTGCAACAATGTTCGACGTCGTAGTTATCGGAGCCGGGCTGAGTGGTCTTCAAGCAGCGTATTCTGCCCAGAAGACGGGACTATCTGTCGTTGTTGTTGAGGCTAGGGACCGTGTTGGAGGAAAAGTCTGGAGTGTTCCATTAGCCTCAAAACGTGGCTGCGCCGATTTGGGGGCTGCTTGGGTCAATGACACGCTGCAGAAGCGGGTTTGGTCTTACGTTGAGCAGTTCGGCCTGCAGGTAGTCAAGCAGAGACTGGATGGCAAGGCCGTAATGCAGACGGACCAAGGAGAAAGGATTGTGTACCCTTTTGGAATCACTCCAGAGGTGGGAATCCCATATCTCAAATAATCAGTTTTGCTCATCTTTACTACCTACTGACACGCCAAACAGTTCACTCCCGAGGAGAAGAAGAACCTGGAATTCATCCGCGACCACATCCAAGCTGCTTCTTTGAGACAGGAAGGTCCCCGTCCTGAAGACGATAATGTAACTCTTGACCAATATGTCCGTAACCTTGGTGCTGGCCCCAAGACGGTGCAGATGATCAACCTGTGGGCTCGCGTCATGCACGGCCTCGAATCCTCCCAGGAGTCAGCGGCATGGTTCATCGACTACTGCCGTCGGAACAAAGGGCTTCTAGCCGTCCGTGCAGATGACCACACCGGCGGCAACTACATGCGTATCACGACGGGTGAGTTACTCAGGCCTCATTAACCGGATTGAAAGCCACGGCCAAAAATTGACGTAGAACAACAGGCGCACAGCAAATTCCCATCGGCCTGGCTGGCTTGGTCGGAAGCAGCAACATCCACCTGTCCTCCCCAGTGGCATCCATCGAAGATCAGAAGTCTCGCGTCACCGTCACCACCACAACGGGCAAGACTTTCGTTGCCAGGAAATGCATCATTTCTCTCCCTAGCACCATGTATCAAGACCTTAACATCTCGCCACCCTTGCCAGCCCCCGTCCAGGAAGTCGCCAACGCGACGCTGCTGGGTCACTACAACAAGGCCATCGTCTGCTTCGACAAGCCATGGTGGCGTGATCTCGGCTACAACGGCTTCGTCTTGAGCTACAAGGGCCCCGTCGTCGTTGCTCGCGACACCAGCGTTGATGAGAAGCGGTTCTACGCCCTGACTTGCTTTGTCAACGGCAATGAGGGAGAGAAGTGGGGTAAGCTGTATCCGCATGAACGGAGGAGGGTGGTGCTCGAGCAGCTTGCTGCGCTGTTCGATGTTGGTCCGGACTCGGAGGTTTACCGCCCCATTGAGTTCTTCGAGCAAATCTGGAAGCATGAGCCGTACAGCAAGGGTGCTTTGGCGCCGGTCACTGCGATTGGACACTACACCAAGTTCGACTCTGTTTACGGTAAGCCTGTGGGTAATGTGCACTTCGTGGGAACTGAGTTCTCGAAAGAGTGGAAAGGCTACATGGAGGGAGCGCTATGTTCCGGAGAGGAAGGTGCTAAGGAGGTGGTTGAGGCAATTCAGCAACAGAAGCCAAGCGCCAGGCTGTAGTTCCGTGGGCCTTAATTTGATGGGCATCCAATAATTGAGGAGTTTATGCAACACTATATGTAAAGCCGATCAGACTGTAACCCCGTTTTCCTTTAGTAGCGAAATGACAGAAATCCGGCACCTCGATCCAATGGAGTCCGGCTGTCTAAGAGGGCGCCACGATCCTCGACGCTTTGTGTAAATAAGACGCTGTAAGAGACAGGTAGTAGGTGCCGATGAGATACATGAGCGGATTTCAGCTAATTAAACCTGCTTCAGTTGCGTCCGCACTCAAGAGTTTGACGACATCCCGGCACTCAGCCAGCGGCATTTCCCATTTGGAATGCTAGCCAACTTATGGACTCCATGCTCCAAAGGGAGATGAATGGCTGATAAACGCCGGACTGGGTAATGAGATGCATCGGCGTCAAGCTTCGGGCCGTTTTCAACGACCAAAAGTGGCTGCGCATCAAAGGCTCTCTTTGAAAATGTTGCGTTACGAAAGGCCCCCTTGCCCATTTCTGGATGATAGAACTGCAGATATATGCGCACATCAATAAGTATGAAGAAAACTCTTGATGGACCCACCAGTGTAAATCGCCCCGTAAAACCCCGTACCGCTCCACTTACTCAAGGCGAGCCGCTTTGAGAGCTCTGCCCAGCGAATATTGCTCAAGGCTTCCATCGGCAAAACGCACGTTGACGACTCTTTGTTCCAGTGTGACGCAGCTAATCGAAGTGCATTACCACGTGTCTAGCTGCACCAGCCCTTCGGCTCAGCCCATGAAGGCAGCATTTCACAAACAATGCTGGCGAACCCATCCCTGGCTGCAACCCTCAGCGGCATAATGAAATGTCGGGCTGACCGGTTACACTGCCAGCCCCCTGTATCCCAAAGCAGGGTGGCAAATTTTGTGTTGCCCCTGTGTCCAGCAAGCTGCAGCGGCTGTCGATGTGATACCCGAGATCATCCGGCGCACGTTTCTCCACGTCAGCCCCTTCTGAGAGAAAGAAGCAGGCGACACCAACCTGGTTGTACATATGGCAATGTGCGGTGGCGTTCGGCGATAGGATTGTTCTCGCCGCATGTTGTGACAGCCTGACCCGAGGAGCTCCTGAGACCGGTCGGTGTCGCCGGTCTTCGCAGCGCGATGTAGTTGAAATTGTTTTGCACATACTTGGGTCAGGAAACAAGCCTTTCTGGGGGTTGGAGAGCATTGTCGGCAAAATATAAAATATAGTGCGGCACTGTCGAACAGTGTGGCGGTAGGGAAGCGGTAGAAGATGGTGAGCCTGCGAAACAGAAGTGGGGGTGGGCTGAGGTGATTAAACCCTATCCCATGATACATATCCCGCATCTAATATGTAGTTAGTTGCTAGAACTTCCTACCGTAGGTCCCATCGTCTGTAGTCTGTCGGGTTCTACGAGCTCGGTGAACGTGAACATAGTCCATCAGAGGTTATTAATTTCTTGGAGCTCGTTTTGATCACTTTGCGTATGAACCAACTGGTGCTCAACATCGAAGTAGTGTGATGAATACAATTATCATTGATCAATTCTGTTCTTAAAGTACACTGAATCATCGGTCTGAATCCAGACCTTGGCGAGACAATCTGAACAGTCGCAAGAACAACAATACAAGAGACGGTGGAACGAAAACGCAAGTGAATAAGCAGAGTTCAAGGTGGTGAGGGCAGCGTGAACGAAGACATCCTCCGCCCAGCCGGCCTCTGTTCGGAAGCATTGCTTTCCCCCTCCTCGCCCATCACACGACCATGATCCTGGCTAACAGTAACCTCAGACTTATGATCGACACCCATCTCATGCACCTCGATATCCTCCTCCCTCTCCTTCATTGGGGCTGCAAGCTCATACGACCCACCGCCGACGCCGCTGCCGTCCAGCTCCGGCCTCCTCTCTTGGCCGTCCGCTCCAGCAGGCATTTCTGAGACCGAGTGCTGGTGGTGTTGTCGACCATGTTCGGCGTGCTGCTCCTGCGGCATGGTGGCCCAGGGGTCATACGGCTTGGCCTCGCGGTAGTAGTGTGGCGGTGGCTCTGCCGACGACTGGTACGTCGGCGCTTGGCTGGCAATGCTGGGTCGCTTCTTGTGCGTCTTCTTCTCCCGCCGCGGCCGCCAGCAGTACAAGTAGACGATGCCGATGGCGAGGATAAAGCTGACGATGACACCGATGGCAATGCCGGCTTTGGCTGCCACGCTGAGTGATGAGGATGGCCTAGAGGGAGGGACATAGTTTTTGGAGTGGATAGTGCGAATATCCCTGTCCGGCATGGGGTCCTCGAAGCGGGCTTGTGCAAGTGTGAATGTGGACGATTCGTAGTCGACGGTTAGGTAGGCCTCCTGCAAGAAGACGCGACCGATCGTGTACTGTGTAGAGTTCTTTGCTTGACGGATGGGGAAGTAACGCCTCGTGTCTTGGTAGGCTGGAAACCCGATGTAGTGGTCGAATGCCGCGTAGGGCAGGTCAATCTGGATACCGTTCTTGGTATCGGTGTCTCCCGGTTTCCCTACCCTCATTGTGATTGTTGGCTTCTGTTCGACGAGAATGTCATGGATTGTTTCATTGATCAGGTAGTAATTTTTTTTTGCATCGTAGGTAAGGCCGAAAGCCGTTGCAAAGTTGTTGCAGACATCTTCAGGGAGCCAGAGTTGTGAGACTGTGGAATCGATGATCGAAGAATGGCCGTTGGTGAGCAGACGCCGAGGCCCCGGATCCGAGAGACTAGAATTCGTACCAATAGCTTGGATAGCAACGGAAAGAGATTGCTGAGTGTCTTGAGAGATGGAGAAGTTGTGTTTTGAGGGTTGGGAGCGGGATTGGTCGTAGCCCCCAATCACCAGGCTTCCGGGCACTTTCGTGTTTCCTGAGCGGCAAGTCAAAATTTGTCTTCCCAAATTAGATTCTAGAACCTACGGTAATAAGCACCGGCTGTATATCCATAAGATATACTGGGAATTCTTGTGGTGTCGTTCAAGTCCCGGATGAAGCTCGGAATGGGCTGCTTTCCCTCTTGTAGGGTGGTGTTCACTTCGCCAATTCCCAGTAGGCCCAACCAGTAATCGTCATCCCCGTAGGTTACTGCCAGCGTCTTGTTCACTTCAAGAGCGTCTGTGTTGTCACCAAACCCCAGGCGAACTCTGTCAAAGCCGTAGTCACCGTTTCCGTGTTTGGGATAGAGTCTGTCCTCAAGACCAAGATTATAAATGCTTAGGTCATCCCAATCTGATGATGAGTTTGTCAGGAATCCATCGCTCTTTTTGCCTTGGAAGGGTTCCACGCCACGTGAGGATGGACAGCTATCGTTATAGCCCTCACATGCTTTCGGGCTAGGCACCCATAGCAAGCCTGCACGTGTGGAGACGAGCACACGGAAGTTTTGACTAGGCATGCTGCCGATGGATATGCGAAACGTTGACCAATTTCCATCCATCCCGTCCCATTCCTGAGTTGGGGGGGCGAGATACGGCGTCGGGGTCGGATTGGCAGTCATTTGCGTTATCGAGGGAGTATTGAGTGGGAGGCTAAAGAAGCTCGATCCACTGCATAGTCAGGCCTTACAAAGATGGGCCCCAGTGAAATGTAAACGTTTTGGATGTGGAGATGAATGGAAACGATGAATGTAGGAAACCGATTGATTTTATGGGGATTGAGCAAGGATGTTAGGGAAAGGGGAAAAAAGACAAACCCGAACACGTACGTTTTTTAAGGCTGATGGAGAAAAATGGTGTCTCACATCAAAGCGCCTGGCAGAAACTCAGCTCAAAATGATTGTAACACTACTTGGGTGGGTTTCGTAGGCAAGTCCAGCCGAGCGCGCCAAAATAATCAGGTATGTGGTACAACACCAATGCGTAGGATGTCTCCAGTTTCTGCGGTGAATAATGTATCGCAAAGTCCGTGCGACGAGACGTCACCGTGCCACAGTTTAAACCAGACTCTGTACGTTCGACCCCTTACAGGCAGCAGGCTAGTAATGTGTGTAGTGCACAGTCACCACATAATTAGAATCTAGAACGTTTGAATCGCATGTTCCAGAAGTTATTGCGGTGAACAATTGAAGCTTGTTGAGGGTTACTTCGGCCGAAGCTCACATGTGCTTGACTGTAATACCTGGATCATAAAAAAACCAGGACAGCTTAGCCCGAAAGACGCAGGAGCCCAAATGGTATGCTGTTGCAGCCTTCTTAGTTTCACCAGCCTCCGTTTCACTAATTAGTATGCTGCTTAATTCAGGTACCGCCAGAGAGACTGTAAAGCGGGGTAATGAGGCGCCGCAGCAAGACCACCAATACCGCACAAGGTGACTCGCAGGCAGCAATGCAACTCACCCGCCTCACCGCCAGAACATGTTGAACGAACGATAAACCACCTGCCGTATCGCGATTAGGCTGTCCACGAATCATTCATTTCACCTGTCCAATTCTTGTCATCAGCGCTTAACTATGATCCACGTATATTCTCTTTTGTACCGCCCCAAAGAGTATCATCGGTTGCAGGTGTGACAAGACCCTGCCAAAGGGGTTTTCCGCATGTTTCACGTGTTGTGCTGATCATACGAGCGAATGGAGGGTTTGAGACAAACAACGAGGAATGAGTGTCGCACTGCGAAACTTGCCAGCAGCCGTCGCGCAAATTTCGAAGATAATGTAATTGGATCAGCTCACTTTAGTGTTAATTTTTTGGCCCCCAAAAACTATCACTTGAAGCAAATATTGTGATCCAACCACGTATTTCCTTTCTTGTCACTGGTGCATAAGCCAGATAGAACGGCAGGCGCCACATTTCACACAACTGTACACCTGTGGCTTTCAGCTGTTGGCAACCGTTGTCCAGAAACACAAGTACGGTAAGGAATGCGTGAGATCTGTTCTTCTCTGGCTTTGACGTTTGTCCGTCTCCCAAATGGACCGCGAGACTTTCACAGCAAAATTGGAACATAAGATGCCCACAGGGAATGTAGGATATAAAGGTTTACATCTGCATCTCTTGCTAGACGCTCACCAAGCTTGGTTCCTCCGTGACAACTCCATACAGCTCAGGATGCATTCATTCATTTTGGTGGCCCTCTTTCTCACGGTCTTATCCGTTCACGCTATCCCGCAGGGGACCTCCCGTCTCGCCTCCTCAGAATCTCAACCAAGCCCGCTTCCATCGACGACCTCGCGTGGTGTTGTCACCATTGGACCAAAATGCACGGGATGTGTCCTTCAAGCTGTCAAACCAACTCTGCTCTCATACCCTGGCACGGTTTACTGCCTTGACGTGTTTTTCATCACGACTACGCCCGAATTCGTTCAATACACTACTGTGGGACCAGATGGTTCTACCACCCATACCTCCAGCCGCTACTGCCTCCCCTCTATCCAAGCCAGTACGACATCAATCACGTGGCAAGCGAACGGTACACCTCTGTAAACCTCTCCATATTCCCTGTAGATATGTGGTAAATGATCTGACAATTGGCAGGACCTGGCCGACCAAGTATCTTGCATACAGTACTTTCGAAGCAGGCACGTGGAGCCGTGGTGACGGCTCATTCTGCACAATTGATCCCACAATGATAGAAGCGCAGAGCCCCATCTTTTACCCTGCATCAAGTCTTCCGGCGACCCTTGCTCCTGTCCCGTCGCAAGTTGTTCAGTCAATTATTCATGACCCCTCCATTCCCCTCCCTTTCAACATTTCAACTTGCACGGCCAACGGCGGATTGGGGGGTCCCATTCTTGCAGAGCTGGAACCTGACTGCTCATGTACCACCACCAACACGCCATATTCATCATGTATTCAACTTCCCCCGACTACGTACACTATTCCGAATACTTGGGTTCAATCAGGATACCACCAGCATATCACGTCGCTTCCAAAACCTCATATTGCTGGCCGTGCCCCAGATCCCACAGCTGAAACGAGTCACATCATTGGCACCTCCATTGGACATTAAGAGCTGTCTTATACTTCCACCGTAAGTTTTTCACCTACATCTTGACGCCGAAATCCAAGAACTTACACCCTTATTTTACAGACATCGCGCGCAGAGATATCAACTATTGGCAGAACGTTCTTCAGGAAAAGTCAAGAAATAAGTACAACCGATTTTTGAGGTTGTTCTTTTCCACGATTTTGCAAACTTCATAATTAGTTCTGATCGCAATTAAATAGAACAAATCCCTCTCTCAATTTCCAGATAAATCATCCGAGCACGGCTGTGCAGTATTTCTCTGGATAAGATGGGAGATGATTTAGGATCAGATTTTTCATTCAGTTCCAAAAACAAACCACATGAACAGCGATCGAGCACAGGTCAACTTTAGATAGGTATAGCTCAATTAATTAAGTTTCTTTACCCGTATTACCGTCTATGACACTAACTAATTAGTGTAAAGATGCAGTGTGAAGATGTAGTGTGCCATAAGCCCTTTCGTATTGTTGACATTTTACTAGGTGGTGAGACGCTGCTGCAGATCGATTTTAAATCGATCTGGTAAGTAGAATTTAAAGTGCTGCTAAATTGTGCCGAATACAAAGCGTCCAGCAATATAACGACTCTCACCATGGTCGCCTCATAAGCGGAGAAAAGATATCAAATTTTGAAAAATTCCCTTTGCGCCCTGGCATCTTCTGAGACACTGACTTTGCGGCTAATCTGTTTTCTCTTTCCGGCTGAAGGCCCTGGCAAGCTGTGTCCGTAAACAGTCCACAATTCTGCATGTCCACTGGCCCGTGCAAGCTCTTGAACCTTGGAGCCAGAACCGTCGTAAGTTGGGCTTTCTTGCCTTCCCCTCACCGGCCGAGCCAAGGTGATCCTTCTGTTTGCTGGCATCAGCGCACGGTCCATTAGGCGAGCAACGGAAGTGATGGAAGCAGTATGTGTGTCGCTGTGTTTCTGGCCCCCGTTTCGTATCCCCGCATATGTGGGACCCCACGCCTGCCTTTTTGAGTTCTCCAGGATCGACTAAAGTTACTGATCGGCATCCAATCCTTCAGGCACGAACCAGCACGCAGACACGAACCATCATGCAGATTGAATGTTGGTCTGACACGAATGCCCAGTTCGGCTATGTACCTCGACGGACCACGGTTCCGAGAAAACACATATAAAATGCCTCTTTCTCTCTCGAATTTGTCTCTCTCCTCACCAAACCCACCAGCTCATTCACAGTCAATTGAGTCTTTTGAACACCGCCAACATGCGTTTCACCTTCTCCATGATCGCTCTCTTCTTTGCCGCCGCCCTCGCTGCGCCGAGCGCAGAACCTGAGAACTCGGGCCTGTTGCAGCCCAGGTGCTCCGCCCGTGGTGGTAAGTTGATCATCCTCTGTTTCGTTGCTATGCTGACGGAAATGATTAGTGCAATGCCAGCAGCCGGCTGAGTGCTGCAGCGGCGTTTGTGCTATCGACAAGGGCTGTGCTTGCCAGACGTGTCTTTAGGTAAGTGATTCTTTGAAGTGTAGCGTATGTAAAATAACGATCAAGTTGCTGAGACATTACAGAAAACTCATGGTTGCTGTTTTTCACTTGTTGCGGCACAATGAATGAGTAACGAGATACGTTGGGATCCGAAATGGAACAAATAAATGGACATTCACTTGCGGGAGCGCTGCTGCTCATACTTTCCATTGGGAACGATGTAGATGGAGGGTATTTGTAGATAAAACTACCCATATCCAATTAAAAGAGCTCTGCACAATCATGAATGATTTTTTGTGCCTAAATTCCGCTGTTGAAAATTTTATTGACACTTGCGAAGAGATTCGGTAGTTCGGCTTTTCTGCCTGACGGACTTCCGGGATGGGCGCCGAGACGTGTGGATACTGTTCCGCACTATTTGCTTGCGCGGAATCCGCGGGTTCCAGTCAGTGAACGTAGGCTGGTAAGCTACACCGGGCTTACGTGATTGAAGTTGTGGTTTTGAGAGAGAAGACGGAGGCGGAGTAGAGGGCGGGAGTGTTGTGGGAACAAGCATGTCAGTAGTGATTGATGACGGTAGTCATTGTGACAGATGGTTGAAAAGCTGCTCTACGGGGGCGAAATGCACGTATATGCTATTTTCGTTGTTGTTGATGTCTGTAGCACAGGTCTACTTAAATCGAGGGGAGGCATGGTCCGTCTGGATCTCTACCGTTTACATCTCTGGAAATTCTAGCGGTGCCTGCCAAGGGCCAAAATTCTTGCAATTGGCCCAAAGTTCACTTCGCAAGGTCCTTTATGGCTCGCGACCACATTCACTGACTTTGCACCTCATCCATTTTATAGATATTCGAAGATAAAGCGTATCACGTATGAGGTCGCTGCACCTTTGCATGATGCATTCGTGCGTGAGTAAATTTTTATAGCATGCCGTCAACCATAAGCAACAATACTTCAGCATATATATTCCTTGTCCAGCACTTTGAATATACTATGCCTACTTGCTGCAGGAACCCTCACCGTTGGTGTGCCCTAAATATATAGCTTGCTTTCTGGCTGCCCAATCTCCCGAATTTATTTGTTTAAGCTACTCTTTTATTGTGTTAAAAGGCTGTGGGAAAACGCAGGTGTGAGATACAGTTTACCAGTAGTAGCGAATGGGATGGCCATTTCATGGGCGGCAGGTTATTAAATCGAACACAAAAAGGTTTGGCGCATGGGGATCGATAAACGGCCAGAGCCAATAATGGCCATGCGCTGAACGTATCCCAGCAATAAATGTAGTATAGGTAGGCAGAGTAATATATTACTATTAGTATCGATATTAATAAGTGTTACTCCCACAGTATGCAACGCACCGTCGCAGCTCGGGCAGCGACCTCGTAGACAACATGTTGTTACCTAGGCATAATTAGTCCTAGTGCTTACATTAACGGCGTGAGATCCGTTTGTGGTTAGACCGTAATCGACGTGGGGCGATGTGGCGAATCTTCTTATCGGAGATTGACGAGAGAAGTGGGGAAATATCCCGACGTAAAGCAGTATGATTCTTATGTAGTTGCCTCGCCCCCGGTAGTGAGACTTTTGACTGGCATCTGTCCTTGTAAACCTTGTTTGCTCCGTCACAGTGAAGGACCTCGACAGACTTTATTGGGTGGTCAAGAATTAAGTCGCGCGATTCGCAGCAACATGCGGGAAGGTCGTTACCATATGTGTGATTAGGGTTCTGACTGTACCTTATCGGTCGATCAACCCCGTCTCGGTTTTATGGCTGCCCTCCCACTCTCAGGTGCAACGTCCATTTCAAGGAGTGTTTTAAAGCCCTATGATTGTCTTATCTGCATGATGTCAATGAAGCGCAGCCTCTGGAGCACAAGAGGCCATTGACTATATCAGCATTGGGGCCCCCGGTCTACTGGGCTGATCAGCCCAGCCTTCGGTTTTCCGAATCAGCAGTAACCCAAGATGGCATCTACAGAGAGAGGCTACCGTCTTGGTGTAGACATTGGAGTGAGTCTCACATCACTTGCTCTTCCGATACTCCGCTCAATACTACAAATAGGGAACCTTCACCGATATCTGCGTCATCACTCCTGAGGGCAGGACTGTTTCCGCGAAGGTGCCCACAAATGTCTCCGACCAGAGTATCGCCGTAAAGGAGGGGGTCAATCAGGTGAGAAAGTTGCTGAAAGAGACGTACTCTTGGGACGGCAAGTTTGACTACATCCATCATGGTACAACAATTGCAACCAATGCCATTCTTGAGGGAAAGGGTGCCAAAACCGGCCTTGTTGTCACAGCTGGGCATAGAAGTATCCTCAGCACAAGACGCTCCCAAATTCCCGGTGGCCTAGGAGCCTGGATCAACTGGCAGCCTCCCACACCCCTCGTGCCTCTGGAGAGGACTGTTGAGGCTCCCGAGCGAGTCTCGATTCAGGGTGAGATTGTGCGCCAGCTGGATGAGGAGACGTTCCGTGAAAGCCTTCAAGATCTCAAGCGTCAAAAGCCAGAGGCCATTTGCGTTAGTCTGCTCAACTCGTTTGCAAACAATGTACATGAGGAGAGTATCAGGAAAATCATCGCGGAAGAGTTCCCCTCGAACGTTGAAGTTGTCACTTCAACTGAAGTTCTTCCGGAAATTCAAGAGGCAAGTGAGCAAACGCATTGCCATGGATTGATTACTGACATTAACCAGTACGAGAGAACTGTCACCACAGCTGCCAATGCTGTCGTCAAACCCGTTGTAAAGAAATATCTGAACAACTTGAAGGAGCTCCTTGCACCTGATACCGATATCATCAGAATCCTCAAGTCTGATGGAGACCTGACATCTGTTGAACTCGCCGGCGAACAACCGGTCAACATCCTGATGAGCGGACCAGCTGGTGGAGTCACTGGCGTCGGCCATGAGATTGCCAAAAACACTCCGTTCAAAAATCTCATCACCCTGGATATGGGTGGCACCTCAACTGACTGCGCTCTTATTCCCGGCACGAACACTGTCCTCCGCCGTGAGACTGTTGTCGGCTCCCACACAGTCAAGGCCCCTTCTGTTGACGTTCGAACCGTAGGTGCTGGTGGAGGCTCGATCGCCCAATTCAACTCCTTGACACACGCCTTGCGTGTTGGGCCCGAGTCTGCAGGTGCTATCCCCGGCCCTGTTGCATATGGAAAAGGAGGCACCCAGGCAACCGTTACTGATGCCAATCTTGTTCTTGGATATCTACCCTCCAAAATCCTGGGTGGGACGTTTAACCTCGACGTCCGAGCGGCAACAACCGCCGTAGAGTCCATCGCCAACCAGATGGGTATGACAGTGACGCAAACTGCTGAGGGTATCATCGACCTAGCCAATGAAACAATGTATGGAGCTTTGCGTCTCGTGTCGGTCGAGCAAGGTTACGATCCTCGAGAATTTGCACTCGTTGCGTTTGGAGGCGCTGGACCTCTCCACGCAAATGCGGTTGGAAAGCTGCTAGGGGCATTCCCCATCATCATTCCTCCGGCTCCTGGAATCCTCTGTGCTCGTGGTGATGCAGCAACAAAGATGAGCCATGAGCAATCCTGCACGTACATCAAGCTCTTTTCCGACGCATCAGCAGAGGACCTCAGGGCAGCATTTGACAATCTCAAATCCGGCTGCGTAACGACCATGATGAAAGCTCTTGGCACAGATCGGTCTTCGTTTGAGATTTCTTACCAAGCCGATATGCGGTACAAAGGCCAGGCTTTGATCCTCACAGTCAACATGACGGAGTCTGAGCTGATGTCCGAGCAATCCAAGCTGCTCTCCCTCCTTCGTGAAAAATTTGACGCAGTACACGAACAGCAATTCAGCTTCACTCTGGCACAGACGATTGATTTGGAAATCATGCGTCTTCGTGTCAAGGCCACAGATGCATCACCGGATATTCCCATCCAGTCCATTGAAGACGCTCCCAGTGACACCCCTCCAGACTCAGCTATCATCTCCCGTAGCCCTATCGTCTGCAATGGAGAGACGGTTGAGGCTATCTTCTGGAACCGCTCATTGATCACCAAGAAAGGTTACAAGGTATCTGGACCATGCATCATCACCGAGATGGACTCAAACACGCTTATCCTGCCCGGCTACAGCGGTGAGATCGACAACATGGGCAACATTGTCATCAACCCAGATCAATCTGCTCAAGCCTTGACCAATGGGATTGTTGAGAACAGAACATCGGCTCAAGAGGTTGTTGCCGCCAACCCGCTTATACCAACGCTCATCTCCAGTGCTTTGGGTAGCATTCGCCGCGAGATGGATACGCTCATGCTGCGGTGCGCGATGAGCCCTGCCATTCGGGATCAGCAGGACGAATTCAATGTGATCACCAACACCCGTGGCCAGATGCTTGTAGGCCAGTTCGGAAGCTTCATCACTCAATTTCTGCAGAACTGGAAGGGTACCATTGAAGAAGGTGACGTCTTCGTGACAAACGACGTGTATGGTACGGAAGGTGCCGTATCACATTTGAACGACGTCATAGTGCTCTTGCCCATTTGGTACCACGGAAAGACTGTAGGCTGGGCTGCAAATTTTGGCCATTTGACGTGAGTATCCATTCCGGGAACTGCAATGAATGGCCGCTTACAAGGACTAGAGATGTGCAAGGGAAAGTCCCTGGGTCAATGAGCATCAACGCCACCACGATATTCGAGGATGGGTTGCAGATTCCTTCTGTTAAGCTGTACTCCAAGGGCGTGTTCAACGGTGATCTGATGAAGGTGTTCCTACGAAACAGCCGCATTCCGGAATGGTTCCAAAGCGATGTGACTGCGCTGGTTGCTGCTTGCAGGACCGCTGCTACTCGTGTCTGTGAGGTAAGGCTGAACCTACCTGAAACGGTTCCTCGCTAAACATTGTACAGCTCTGCGATCGTTACGGTGCCGAAGTATACGAAGCCGCGTGTGATAGTCTGCTCGACCGCTGCCGTTCGGCCATCAGCCAAATCATCGAAACCAAAATGGACGACGAGTACAGCAGCTTCACCGACTTCATCGACGACAACGGCCAAGGCATCGGCCCCTGGATGATTTCCTGCTCCATGCAAAAGCAGAACAACCGCCTGATCTTCGACTGGGACGGCACGAGCCCGCAGGCCGAAACATCCATCAACTTCTACCTCTCAACGCCCATGTTCAAGATGTTCATCGGCTACTTCCTCCTCGCCATCTACGACCCACACTGCGTCGTCAACGACGGCTTCCACGACCTCGTCGAGCTGCGCATCCCGGAAGGCACGATCCTACGACCCATCCGCCCCGCCGCACTGTCCTGCCGCACGCACCTCCTGGGCCGCATCATGGACGTCATCCAAGCCCTCTTCGGCCAGCGCAACGCCGCCTACCGCTCCGCCGCCGGCTTCTCCGACTCACCCCACCTCTTCTACAGCGGCTTCAAGCCTTCGGGCGACTGGTTCCTGCTGTACCAGATCGGCTTCGGCGGCGTGCCGGCGCGCCCCGTCGGCGACGGGCCCGACTGCCACTGCCTGTTCCCGGCCATCAAGAGCATCCCGACCGAGACCATCGAGCTGTACTTCCCGCTGCTCATCGAGGCGAACGAGAGCGTGGCGGATAGCGGCGGCGCGGGGTTCTTTCGCGGCGGCAATGCGCAGCGCACGCTGTATCGATTCCTCTGTAAGGGAGAGGTGTCGATTCATGATGACAGGTGGCTGACCAAGCCGTGGGGCGTCAATGGCGGCGAGCCGGGGACGCGGTCGCGGAAGGGGATTTTTAGGGACAATTCGTACGGCACGGAGTGCCCGAAGTATGAGCCGCTGCCGAGCAAGATGGACCACCTTCGTGTGAAGCCCGGAGATGTGCTCGAGTGGGTGACGTGGGGTGGTGGGGGGCTGAATGATCCGTTGACCAGGCCGCCGGAGATTGTCGCGTTGGAGGTGCATCGAAAGCTCGTCACGCTGGATGGCGCGAGGAAGAATTATGGTGTTGTTGTGCGCCCGGGGGATTTCACCGTTGATGAGGAGGCTACAGAGAAACTACGTGAAGAGACAAAGAGAGCAAGGCCGACAGAGTGGGGGAAGGACAGCTACAATCGCGGTGGTACCATGAAGGAGCTTATAGAGAGATGTGAAGAAGAGACAGGGATGAAGGCACCCAGACCTCAGTGGGAGGAAGATCCATATGGACCGCACATGGCGAGGCCGTACGTTAAGCAGTGGTTCGAGGAGATGAGAAAGAGAACGGAATATCAGTGACAAGGGCGGTGGCGATAGTAGTAGCAGTAGTTGAACTATACCAGAATACCACCAGCCTCCGCGGCTGTGCCATCAAGAATATGACGTGTGATTTTCAAACAAGCGTTTAAAAGACTCACATGCTATCCGTTGACTCTGTGCCGCCTTGTGTAACCCAAAGCATGGTCACCGACACTGCGCCCGTGCGCGGTTTCCGCCCTCACCAGATCTCCCTAGTCGAACCTCAACGTCGACCATGCCACCATCAGAACCGCTTTTGAAATGTTCAGAGTGGCATGTTATGCATTGGATCGCCCTCGAAGCCATACTCGGCCGCAGCCTTCAAATTCACCCAGGAACCTCTGTAAAAACCGAGGCTCGAGTACGGTCACCGAAGAGTAGATCAACGAACGCATTGCCGACCTCCGCACAGTCTCCACTTTTACTGAGGGGTCTCGAACCACGAGACCTTGGCAACGGTTTTTTAACTATGGCTCATCTTATCGGTCGCAACGAGGCGATGGCACCGTGCCGTGCCTTGGCTACACTGAACGGCATTAACCGGTTTTCTTTTGAGCGGTCAACAGCGTCGAGAATCAAGTGACCGAGCATGAATTTGGAGCTGTTTGTCCAACGTGTCTGGCAGCACAATGAAATACGCAGGCGGATGCAGCTGGATAGCGGCGGAAGCTCGGATGCAAGGTGAAAGTCATGGACGCTTTTATTTTGGGATTTATTGGGGGCCAAAACACTGGGCCCGTGCTCGTATCCGGAGGAGTACTCCGCTTGGAAGAAAAGCCAAGGGTAGTCAGGTCTGCTGCTCAACGGCCAATGGGATGAAGCGTGGACGAATGATTAGTGTAGGCAGCAGTATGGCCCGCCATTTTTCCGTTGTTCAATAGAACCCACCTTCCATTTCAGGCACATTTGGTTCCGATCCCGGGAGGTGGGGCGACTCGACGCGTCGCCGTTCGCTAAAAGGGCCTGCACGTAAGCAGCTTGCTTTTATTAGGTTGCTTTGCATTCCGGCCCCGATCTCTACCTACGCCACAACCGATCCGGACTTAATACTTCAAGAAAAGGAATAGGCAGCGTTTTTAGAATTGCTGCTTCCCCCTTGCCATGGCTGCGTCCCACGCGAAAAAGGATCCGCCCCCCAGTTCCATGGCGATTTACCAAGCCGACAAAATGCCGCTGATGCGAACTGCGCGACCGGCATTCACATTGGCGGGTGGAGGATCGTCACAGCCACCACCCACACTGCTGTTCGTAAATGTTGGATCTGCGCAAAGTCGAGAGGAAAAACGGCAAATACGCGCCCACATTATGTTTACCACGCATGAGGCAAGACGACGCCAAGGAACACAGGGCCGCAAATCCAGCAACAAGAATCCCGAAGAAGATCAACGGAGGATCGTTTACCTCGCTGCATCGGAGAGTCCTCTGCAAGATGCGAGTGTCATGTGCGAAGATCCCTTCGACTCTCTACCAGTCAAGAGCTTCCCGGGGATGCATGAACTGGTTGAATACTGTAAGTGGTTGACAATCCGTATCCGAACCTCACTGAGAAAATTGCGCAATCAGACTTCGACGTCTACCCCGGTGTCTTGGCAATGACTGATGGTAAGTCCATGTCAAACGCCCACTGGCATGTGCGATACAGATTTGTTAACTCAAGTAAAAAGACCTCTTCTTAAAGAAAAAGGACAAAGAACGGAATGCAGTTGGAAGACGAAGCAATACGGTCTGGGACATCATGTCTTCGGAGGAGACACCGTTCCTCGTTCTCCTGGCAGAAATGTCACGCTTCCTCGACACAGCCAACCCCCAAGCCAAGTGGCGGAAATGCCACTTCACACTGCGGGAAAGGGCACTAAGATCAATCAGAGAGGGCTTGTCCAAGACAGCAACAGAGCCGTGGAATATCTCCGACGGCTACATCGCCGCAGTAGCGGGCATGCAAGGCGCAGCGGTACAAACCCCCTGCACACCAACCACCACTACCACACACTAACCCGCATCCACCGCAGACCATCTTCGGCGAAAAGAAAGCCGCCATCTCCCACCTCGCCGGCATGCGCGAACTCGTCCGGCTGCGCGGCGGCATCGACACCTTCCAAGGCATCGCGCGCCGCATCATCATCTGGTGCGAGTTCTACGTCTGCGCCGCGCACCACCTGCTGCCGACCATCGCGCCCATCCCGCCCGCTCCTTCTTCCCCTGTAGTTGACGACAACGACGATGATGATACCTCGTCGCCCTTCCCCGCCGCCTTCCGCTCCCTCGTCTCCCTCACGCATTCCCGGACTCTTGCACGTTTACCGCAGCACTGGCACTACCCCGGTAGTAGTCCGACCGTCTTCCCCCTCGTCCGCATCCTCCACGCCTTGCATCTCGTCAGCACCGCCAAGTCCGCAGCTTGGGCACCGGACCTCATGCCGCCGGGCCCCTCGCGCGATGCCGTGACGTCCGTCCTTGATGATGCGGGGCATTCGCTGCTTGTTCAGCTCGCACTATCCGAGGACGAGAGCGGCATTGTCCAGGTGCAGGACGAAGAGGAGGACGATGACGAGTGGAGGGAAATCAGGGAGGAAGGGGGAGTAAGGGCGAATGAGGCGGAAGGGGAGAATGCGGAGGACCGCTGGCTCCGCGTCGTGCTGCTGCATGCGGCGCATGTCTATCTCTGGGCCACGCTGAGCCATATTCCGCCTGGGGCGCAGATGAATGTGTTGTTTTTGGAGAGGTTGAGGAGAGCGTTGGATTTGGAGGGTGGGGATGAGGGGGGAGAGGAGATTGGTAGTGGCAGTCGGAGTGGTGGTGGGGTTAGCGTGCGTGCGGCGTTAGCTCGGTGCGGTGGGGAGGCTGGAGAGGGCCTGATGTGGGCGTTGGCGGTGGGGTGGTATCTGGCGGACAAGATATGGATCATGGCGCAGAGCGGGAAAGATCAAGTCCGCATGGCGGCAAGAGGGGGGATGATGTTGGGGTGGTTCGAGGATCGGATTGCGGAGCTGTTGGAGGCGTTTGGCGTCGGGGAAGAAGGAGGCACGGAGCTTGCGGCGCGGGTGGTGGCGGATTTTCCGGGGACGGATGAGTTTAGGAGGGGCTGGCACTGTTTACTGTTGCAGCAGAGATTTCGTGGGCTGCATTACTGATTGGTGTTGCGGGAAAGCTGACAGAGTGCTGGTGAACCAGGATCAATGAGAGATTGCGGAAATTTCGGGACCCCTCGCACTCGTGGCAGTCTAATGGTTAGTTTGCCTGCTCCCGTTACCTTTCTGCTGTTGACATGTATTTTAATCTGATAGGATGATGAGTTGGGGAAATACCACTGTACCAATTGAAATGGCCAGCTTTGACACAAATGTAATCCTTGACATCATACGCATGCCATATCTGAAGTTATGTACGCGCCGTCTATTGCTTGATTTCCAACACAGCCATGCTCGCCGGCGCTGGCCAGGGCGGCGTGGTAGGCGGCTTCCTGAGCCGCGTCGCCGTGCCATTGCGGGTTGCTGTCGACAGCGATGCGCAGCGTGGCGGCGGGCGCAGGCGGCGGCGGCGGGAGGCGGCGCGAGAAGGGGTTGTCCGGTTCGTACTGGGCCACCACGTCGTAGGCCAGGCAGGCGTCGTCCAGATTGAGGGCGAAGATAGAGACGCAGTCGAGGGCGCGGCAGGCGGGCACGACGCCGGCAGTGCTCAGAGCGCCGCGGGTTGGCTTGAGCCCGTTGAAGCCTGCAGGCACCCGGCCCGAGCCCGCAGTGTCGGTGCCCAGCGCACCAGCCCGCGCGCCACCACCGACGCCGATCCACTGCTGGAGCCACCGCACACGAAGCTTTTGTCGAACGTGTTCGGCACCACGCCGCACAGCAACCGCACGCCCACCAAGCCCGTTGCGAACTGGTCCAGATTGCACTTGCCCATCACCACCCGCCCCGCCTGCTTCAGCTGCCGCACCACGCCGACATCGACGCTGGCCGTGTACGCGAAGCTGGCGCACGCCGCCGTCGTCACCATGCCCGCGACGTCAATGTTGACCTTGACGGCAACCGGCACGCCGAACAGGGGCACGGCCGCTCTGGCTGCCCCATGTTCCATTTCCCCAGACTTTTTCCCCGTGGAAATCGCTCGAGCTGAGTCCCGCTTTTTCCGTTACGTGCAACTTGACGGTTGAGATAGCGAGGTGTTCGTCTTTATCTCTCCAATGCGCCGTCGGGCTGCCCCTCATTGCATCTCCGAGGGCTTCTCCCTTGGTTGGGCCTATAGGTGCAATTCGGCGCGCGTCCCGCTTTTTGGGTTACGTGAAGTTTACCGTCTGTATCTTATCGCTCGGCAAGTGGCCGTCGAGATACCTAAAATTCAGCCGCTATCAATTTGCTCGCCTTATCGCCGATCCCCACGCCGCCGACCATGACTCACGTGCAATCCGCCATTGTGTATGAATGCAAGGTACCTACACTAAAAAAATGTCGAAGTACCTCTCTCGTAGCTTTGCAATAATCAATCGCCGCAACCATGGACGCTGCTCCCTCTGACGCCCACACGGCGCCACTGAGCCAGGCCTATGGCTATGGCATCGTCGTTGGTCTCGGCTTTCTCTTTTCGCTGGGCATGATTCTCACCACCTGGATTCTCAAACGATACCAAGGCGAGCAGCAGACCAGTGAGATGTTCAGCACTGCCGGACGCACAGTCAAGTCTGGCCTTGTATCGTCCGCCGTCGTATCCTCTTGGACCTGGGCTGCCACACTCCTACAGTCCTCGGGAGTTGCATACCGCTACGGCGTTTCCGGCCCCTTCTGGGTACTTCACCTCTTCCGCATCCAACGAGATCCATTGTTGACGCTTTCCAGTATGCATCAGGTGCTACCGTCCAGATTCTTCTCTTCTCCACCCTTGCCATTGAGCTCAAACGTCGTGCTCCGAATGCCCATACCTTTCTCGAAGTCATCCGAGCTCGCTATGGACCAACAGCACACGCTGTATAGTACGCATCTGATTCTTTGCTGTTGCTGTGTCCCTACTAATTCCTTCACCCCAGCATTGTCTTTGGTCTCATGACCAACATCCTCGTCACTGCCATGCTGCTCACTGGCGGTTCCGCTGTGGTGACTAGCTTGACTGGAATGCATCCCGTTGCCGGCTGCTTTTTACTACCCCTGGGAGTCATCCTGTATACTTTGTTCGGCGGCATCAAGGCCACCTTCCTCACCGACTACGTGCACACGGTCGTCATTCTGGTCATCATCTTCCTCTTCGCCTTTTCCGCGTATGCCACCAGCGATATTCTCGGCTCCCCAAGCCGCGTCTATGACCTCCTTGTCGAAGCCTCTGCAGCCCACCCGGTCGACGGAAACGCCCATGGCAGCTACCTCACCATGCGTTCCAAAGAAGGCATCATTTTCTTCGTCATCAACATCGTCGGCAACTTCGGCACCGTCTTCTGCGACAACGGCTACTACAACAAAGCCATCGCCGCGCACCCGGTGTCGGCTCTGCCGGGCTACATCATGGGCGGCCTCTCCTGGTTCGCCATCCCGTGGCTCTGCGCCACGACCATGGGCCTCGCCGCCCTGGCCACCGAGTCCTCGCCCTCGTTCCCCACCTTCCCGTCCCGCATGGCCTCGGAAGACGTCACGGCCGGGCTCGTGCTCCCCTACGCCGCCGTCGCGCTCCTCGGCAAGGGCGGCGCCATCGCCACCCTCATCCTCATCTTCATGGCCGTCACGTCCGCCACCTCAGCCGAGCTGATCGCCGTCTCGGGCATCGCGACCTACGACATCTACCAGACGTACATCAACCCGCTCGCGACGGGCCGCAACCTCATCTGGACGGCGCACGGCTCCGTCGTCGGCTTCGGGCTCGCCATGGCCGCCTTCTCGACCGGCCTGCACTACGCCGGCATCTCCATGGGCTACCTCTACCTGCTCATGGGCGTCGTCGTGTCGTCGGCCGTGCTGCCCGCCTCGCTCACGCTGCTGTGGCGCAAGCAAAACCGCGCCGCCGCCACCCTCGCCCCGCTGCTCGGCCTGGCCACCAGCCTCGTCGCCTGGCTCGTCACGGCGAAGGTGCAGTACGGCGCCCTCACCGTCGAGAGCACCGGCGCAAACGACCCCATGCTCGCAGGCAACGTCGCCGCCCTGCTGTCGCCCGCCGTCTACGTGCCCGCCCTGACGTTCCTGCTCGGCGCCGACGACTACGACTGGGCGTCGATGAGGCAGGGCATCCGCAAGGCTGATGACGACGATGGCCCGCAAGATGTCGATCCCGAGAAGGTGGCTGCTGTTGCTGCTACTGCTGCTGTCGTGATTGCTGATGCCGGCCTGGACGAGGAGCAGAGGCTGCTGCTGCGCGCGTCGGCCATCGCCAAGTGGACGACCGGCGTCATGGCCCTGGCGTTCCTGGTCCTCTGGCCCATGCCGCTGTACGGCTCCGCGTATGTCTTCAGCAAGCCCTTCTTTACCGGCTGGGTTGTTGTGGGCTTTATCTGGCTGGCCTGCAGCACGGCTTGCGTCGGCGTTTTCCCGCTGTGGCAGGGGCGGAAGACGATTGCGAGGACGACGGGGATGCTGGTGAAGGATGTGTTTGGCTTCGGGAAGTCTGGCCGTGTTGTTGCCGGCTTGACGCCAAGTTCGCCCGAGACGACTGACGAAAGTGCCAGGAAGGAATGAAGTTGATGAGACATGTCTATAACGCTTTGTTTCATTGGAGACGACACAAAAAAAGATGAACAATTGTTTTACAACCACTCGTTAGGTAAAAGTTTTTGCACTTTGCGCTGTAGTAGATTCATAGATAGTCTAGTAGGGTATGTACATAGCAGCCTTCCGGTTGGTCGCCCTCTCAGTCTGCGTGCTACCCAATCAGTGCATTATTTCAATCCGACCTTGTCATGTCCGTGACACTCTCAAACCTTCTCCCGCAACATCCTGCAAACCCAAGCCGTCCTCGTCTGGACCGACATCTTCGCAATCGCCGCCTCCGGCACAATCACATCAAACCCATGCGGCCCACCCGGCCAAACATGCAACTCCGCCTGCACGCCATCGCGCCACAACCCCGACGCATACGCCACGCCCTCATCGCGAAACGGCTCCGTCGAGCTCACATCCACATACGCCGGCGGCAGCCCCGACAAATCCACCGCCCTTGCCGGCGCCGCATAATAACTAACATCCGCCCCGCCCGCCTTCCCCTCCCCAAGCAGACACTCCCACGTAAACGCATTCGCCTCACCCGTCCAATTCCCGCTCCCATCCCCCACCGCATACTGCCGCGCCGACACGCTGTCGTTGCGGTCATCCAGCATCGCCACGCCCACCACCTGCCCGCACAGCGCCGGCCCGCCCCTGTCGCGCGCCATCAGCGCCGTCGCCGCCGCCAGCCCGCCGCCCGCGGACTGGCCTTCGATCAGGATGCGGCGCGCGTCGATGCCCAGCTCGGCCGCGTGCTCGCCGATCCATTTCAGCGCCGCGTAGCAGTCCTCGACCGGCGCGGGGAAAGGGTGCTCGGGCGGACGGCGGTACTCGACGGAGACGAGGACGGCGTCGAGCGTCTTTATCCACGGCACGGCCATGTCGACGCCGGCGAAGCGGTCGCCGGCTGTCATGCCGCCGCCGTGGATGTGGAGGATGCAGGGTTTGGGAGTGGAGGTTTTGTGGTGGGCGAGGGAGAAGATGGCGAGGGTGAGGTCGTTGCCGTCGGGTCCGGGGATGGTGCGGGAGGTGTGGACGAGGTCTGGGTCGGAGAGGATGGCGCCCGTGGCGGGCTCCGTCATGTCCACGAAGAATTGGCGGATCTTGGGGATTCCGGATTTGGAGGTGGGGAAGAGGTCGGTGGGCATCGGGGGGAGGAGACTGGATATCTCGTCGTCGTATGGAGGGCGGGGGAGTTGGTTTGAGGGCATGATTGTGATCGTTGTTTTCGGTGTTTGTTTTGCAATTGATTTGATTGATGTGCTGGATAGTAACATGTCTTTCTACCAAGACATTATATTGTACTGAATTTACAGACATTTCGGATTTTATCTGGCCATTTCACTCTAAAGTCCGTACATATTTGTCAGTAGAGGCCAGGTTTAATTTGTACGTCCTCGAAACGTTGCAGGTAAGGTTAATTCCGGCCGTCTGTGGAGCTCCCTCCGGCTTCCCCGGAGCTGTTTGGTCAGGGATGCAAGATGTACGCTATTACTACAACTCACATGATAGAAATTCAGTACCAGTTTGAGCTGCGGGGGATGTTGGAGACGTATACTTTGCTTACCAATTCTTCCGAAGTTAGCCGTTATAGGCACGTGCCACATCCGAAGTTGGCCGTGTCGCCGACAACCACGACCATCCAAGAGGGCCACTTTAAGAGATCATGTTTATTTTTCTATAGTGTGCAAAGTAACTTTGATTGTCATTCTTTTTGGATCCTCAAAGTCTCAAGTGATATGCGCTGCCTTGTCCAAAGCTTGACAAAAAAGAATATTTCAAACTACGTAGAACGAGTCGATGCAAAGTATAGTTGAAATCCGTAAGCATCAAACTGTAAAGGCTTGTTTCTTCGTTCATTCCACTGGCGTCCCTTACACCAAAAAGGGCTATGTTGCATATCTTGGCTGAATGGTTGAGACAAGGTACTCCGCTTTTAAATGCGGAACTGATTGGTGAGCGTGGCTTTGCAGTGCTATTGCAGGCGCATTGTTGATCTCCGTTGTTGCCTACCAGCTGAACGACCAACAATAATTGCCATTTTATGGCTGTGTAGGCTGTGCAGGCTGTGCCGCATGTCTGCATTGCCACGTCACTGTTATGTAGGCTGCAGCCTGCGCCGCATGTCTGCTGTGCCACGTCAATGTGGGGGTTTGCATTGCATCGGGGGAGGCACTTCACCTCTTATATATTCATCAGCCCCATTGCAAAATCAACACGAATATCATCAACATTGTTGACCAGTACCTTCAGTTCTGCATCAATTTCTCGAGCTAAATAAAAAAGATTCCCAACACTACCAGAAGAACCACTTTGAAGCTTCCTTCTCAACAATAGACTGAAGCACCAATGTTGCACAACGATCCGAAATCCAATGATCTTCAGTATGATAAACCGGACGTCTATCTATCTTTACTCGCAAGACTTACAGTGCGACAGGCAGGATGAAACCTCACACTCAGATGACGCTGCAAAAATTCTCGACCATCTCACTCAGCTAAAAAAGCTCGTCCTCCCCGAAGAAAGTCTGCAAAGCCATGGCTATATTCTGCAATCTCTGTCTGGAGACGACTTGGAGATGAAGAAGCGCTGCCAAGGCTGTGGTAAAAGTACTCTGTCAAATGCCATTGAACAAACGAAAATCACTGGCACTAACGCGCTTCAAGCAATGTCACAGTTCCGAAAGAGAGCATCAAGAAACAAAACTCCAGATCAGCCTAAAGTACCAGAGCAGATATTGGCTCTGCCGAGCGAAGATCCACTGGAGGAGATAGAAAACCAGAGACCTGATCAGGACAGTCAGCCCACACCCAAAGTTAGAGAGCCTGTTATAAGATGCAGGTTTCACAATGGTGTGGTCAAAGATAAGGTAAGTTCGAAGGTCTCTGGCGTTATAAGGAGTGGCGCGAGCTTACGACAATTGCCTGTTCTAGATTTGGTCATGTTGCGGGCAGAAACCATCGGCGGACCCCTGTTCCGGCAGCGAGCATCACATCCCCCGCCAATACCCAAAAGGCGAGCTCGAGCGCTTCTGGAAGATAGCGCCTACGCCAACACCGGCTTCGTGCAAAAGTATTCGGCTGGCTGTCGCCATAGACTGCGAAATGGGCACCGCTGCATCCGGAGATTCAGAGCTGATCCGCGTCACGCTGGTGGACTATTTCACTTCCGACGTCCTCCTTGACAGTCTCGTATTCCCTAGTGTTCCCATGCGAGATTTGAGAAGCCGTTTCTCAGGCGTGACATGGTCCGAATTGTACAAGGCGCGCAAGGCACGCACGTGCATTTTTGGCCGCGAGAATGCCAGGAAAGCGGTGTGGAAGTTCGTCGGTCCCAACACCATCGTCGTTGGGCATTCGGCATATAACGATCTCCTTGCTCTGCGCTGGGCACATACGACGGTCGTTGACACGTACTACCTCGACGCGCTACAGCCTCCGAAGCTTGACATCAAAGATGCAGAAGATGTTAAGCAAGCATCCAGCGACTCAAATGAAAACGAACCAACCACCACCTCCGCCTGTGCTTCAGATCCAAAACGGGTGCCAAAACGCCCTTCGCCAAAGTCTCTGAAGGGTATGGCATTGGATAAACTCGGGCGTGAGATTCAGACGGCGGGGAAACAAGGACACGATAGCCTTGAAGATGCTATTGCAACGAGAGATTTGGCACGGTGGGTTGTCTACAACGCTCAAGTTTGAAACAGGCGGAATTAGCAAGTGATTCGATCCAAAACCTATTTCTGCTTCGTTCCGATTCCTTGTTTTTTTTTTCGGTTATCCAAAGCGATCAAATTATTGAAGGACTTTGACTTACCTGTAGCTGCTGGCGTCGTTACTGCTATGGATCGGAGGCTGCCCGTGACCGGTTCGATTAAAGAAAAATGAAACGAGTAGAAAAACCAATTTGATTTAAGTATCTATTTCGAAATTACGTAGAGCATTCCGATGCTAAATACTATCCCCCCAGTAGCAGCACAGACGCTTTCGCTGCCAACAAGAGCGATGCTCGCTGAAAACTTGCACACTACAGCAGCTACCATTCCTACCCAGACAGACACACAGATGAAGGGCGCCCAGGTGTTTATCAGCGCTTGCAATAGCGTCTTGAGAGCTGATTCCTCCTTCACAGCGTTGTCCTTCTGTGCCTCATTACCCCAAGTTCCATCTAAAAAGGTTGCAGATGCCCAAAATACAATCGGGGGTTGGGGAAACTGCAAGAACACCTGACTTGCGCACAACCAAGGCCACCGCCGCCATCCTGCTCCTCGTCTCGTGGCCGTGTAAATGGAGCAGAGCAGCATCCGTGCGGTGATATCAGCAGGGCTTGTCACCGTAGTCCCGGCGCCAGATCTGAGGTAGCGGATGACGATCCAAGCCTGAAGGTACGGACCTGCTATGCGGCGCAAGGCGTAGAGTGCGAACATGGGGTTCCGCGAGGTCAGCACCCGCGGATGCGCGATCGTCTCCAGCACAATGGCGCGGCTCCAGCGCACCTGCTGGACGATCCACGTAGCGAAAGTGGAAGGTGCATCCGTCATGACTGTGGCTGCAGGGTGGAAGGTGACTCGGTAGCCGCGTGAGAGAAGCAGCGTGCTTAGATGGCGGTCCTCATTAACGATCGGGCGCACTCCGAGAAAGGTCTGGGTATACCAGGGCAGGAGAATATCGGAGAGAGCAGTGGTAGTGAAAGCAGCGCACGGCCCCGGCTGACAGTCGGTGACATCGAATGCTGAGTTTTGCCCAGATGTGAGAGCGAGGTCTGTCCAATATGTCGCGCTGACCAGGCGGGTGATGGTGGACTGTGCCGCGTTGTGGATCTGCAAGGCACCGCACGAGCCAGCGATGGTAGGATCCGCAGCCATGGTGGTCAGAACCCGGTGGACTGGGGCAGCGGTGGGGTCGAGGTAAGAGTCGGAATCTGAGGACCAGACATAGGGGATGTCCTGTGCACGTGCGATGGCAAGAGTAAAGAGGAATGCGGTGAACATGATGTCCTTCTTCGACACATGTGGCTGAGTGATGCAGATGGCTTTGGCCAAATCACCGGTACCCAGGTTGTCGAGAAGCTTGAAATCATGGAGCACGGCTGCAGCTCGCCGGACCAGGACGCCGAAGACATGCTCGAGGAACTCGTCTTCGTCTAGTGCCTGACTTTTGTCGCCGTGTGACCTCTGCACCTTCCAGTCGTCGATCATCCGTGCCGCAATGGCACCGAAGGGCTCGTCAAGTTCGATGACAGATACATTGGTTGCGCCGCAGACCTGGTTCGTGCGTCAGTCAAATTTGCGACAGTGTAAGTAGCAGCGGGCCGTACCGCGCGGGACGAGAAGGTTATTTGCTGGACGTACACTCTCGGCCAACTCTACCATCTGCATATCTTCCGGCTCATTGCCATCAATGCCAACAACGAGCGCTCTAATCGTCCGGGTGCCATCATTGCGGTAGCTTTCCAAGCACTTACGGAAAAGACATGGATCTTCTCGGTATCCAATTACGGTGGCCACGCAGTCGGCGCGAGCAACACCTTTCTCTCCTAAATCTTCCTGATGCTGAACCCGCTTATACCGTCGCTCCTGCTTATAATAATTCAGCTCGGAGCATATGATCTGGAAGACGCCTTCGATAAGTAGTGGAAAGCCAAATGTGTAGCGGGCAATGACGATAAAGACAAGTAAAATAGTAACAATCAACGACAATACCCGCACGGTCTGCGTTGAGGCGGTGCGGAGTTGAGAAAAGTTGAGTGCCATGACTGATTGATGTGGCGGAGACTCTCGAAGAGAAAGCGATGGGGGATTGCGGTGCGCGGAGCGAGTGCAATAAGTAAGGCGGCAGACTCATCGTCCTCCGACAATACCTGAGCCAGAAAATTCTCTGTGCCTACCCGAGTATCTGAGGCGCCTTTCCATGCACCTCTGACTCAGTAGTAGTCCAGCCAAAGGTGCCAAATATCAGCTGACCGGTGCAGAGTGCCTATATGGGGAGGTCGCCACACGCCATTGTATGAAACTACGGAGTAGTGTTTCGTAGAGGCTCGGCATGGAGTTGTGGAGCAAGGCCGGACCGATCTCACTCGGGATAAGCGCCGAACAATTGACTTTTCTATTCCCGATCGGGTAAGAGGAAGGAGGCTGGTATGACATAAAATGGGATCATGCCATACCATGTTACATTCCCCGCCCATCACTCTTGCTGTTCAACCCCAACCTCCTTCTTCATCAACGACTATAATATCTTCAGAATCATGTTCTCGAAGGCTGTTCCGGATGCTATTAGTTTGTGGCGAGCGTTTTGCGGGCTGGCTGTCTTGACATCCCTGATGTGAGCTGAGGGTCCCCATTGAACCCCAGAAACAAGGAGCTGAAAACTGAGAACTCCAGCCATCTCTCAATTAGCCGCTCGAAAAGCCCAGAACTCTTCCCCCACTATCAGAATCCCCGACACTTGATCGCAGGTCAGTGCTTCGTCATCCTTTTTAGCTAGTGCGGCGAACTCCGAAACTCCGAATACACACTCCGGGCCCGGACCTACCCATTTGCCGCCGAAACTGAGACATCATTCGTACTCCAGGTCGATGCCGAATGCCCAACCTAGCCGCCTTGACGTTCGACGACTTCCCCGGCGAGAAGATTGATGAGCTTCTTGAGCTCCTGGACAGGTGGAACGCCACGGCAACTTTTTTCATCAACGGGCCATACGACCCAAGCGAGCCAGTCCTGCAGGAACGGATTTTAGGTCCCCGCTTGCAGAAGATCCATAACGCAGGTCACCAGATTGCCTCGCATACGTGAGTCTAATCCCTGCGAATGTCCGTTGGTCAGCCGGTCTAGATGCGCTAACAAACTTAATGTTCACACCCAGGTATGACCATGTCAATCTTCAGACCGCCGATGCACCTGCTATTCTGAACGAGATGGTGAGTTGAGTCCCCACCTTGTCGCAGATACCTTGGACACGGCGACATCTGAGTCGTTGTTCCAGTCGGACCGATGCTGATGATCTTCGCATCCAGACACTGCTGGACCGATGGTTAGCAGAGGTGTTAGGCGTGACAGCTCCGCGATTCATGAGAGCCCCGTACGGTGAATGCAACGCGACGTGCGCGCGGACCCTGACTCTTGCGGGGTACAAAGTGATCGGCTGGGGCTTTGATACCGAGGACTGGAAATATGCCACTCCGGAAACGGTGCATCGCAGCATCGCCAAGGTGCACGAATACATCGGCCAGTTCAAGGAGCGCAAAATTGTCGACATGGCGGCAGACATCGTACTCATGCACGCATTTATCAACACCACCGTCACCACAGTGGCGCCTGCCGTTTTGGAGGCCTTTAGCCGCGAAGGGCTCCGGTTCGTATCAGTGGCCGAGTGTTTGGGCTATCCTCAGGAGATGTGGTATCGGTAACCGGGACTGAAGTTTAATAATTTTACCGTTGGCGCCCGAGCGGGTATCTGTCCGCGGTGAAAGCTTTATCTTGAAAACCCCGGCCACCCGTGCGGCGATTTGCCGCCGGAACGGCCACGCCAACTTCATACAGTTAAAGCAGAATTCTTAAAACCTAAAACTCCGAGACTCCTTGCCTCGGCTACCGAATAGGCGCACGGACATGAATCTTTGCATTGTCGTGCTCTTAAAGATAAATATTCACTTTCTTTGCCGTGAACATAATTGATCTCAAACCATCAGCAGTGCTTGTACACGATTGTTCTCAAACATGGAAAAATCACTTCCTCTACATGATCCATCAAAACCTACACCAGCTGGGCGCCCCGCGTCTACAGCTTGGCTCAATGGCTTGCGTGGCATGGCCAGCGTCATTGTCGCCCTCAATCACTACCTCTACGGCGAATTTAGCGCACCGTGGCTAGGCTTTGGCAGCAGTCCAGAGAACCGCTACCTCCACCAACTTCCATTCATCCGCATTATCTGGTGCGGCCATGCGATGCCACCAATCTTCTTCGTCGTCTCCGGATACTGTGCCTGTTATTCTGGCCTCCGGCTTCGCGATGCCCAAGACTATGCAGCAATGGCAAAGAGTCTCTCCCATTCTGCTTTCCGCCGCGGCCTGCGTCTCTACCTCCCTGTATTCTTCATGAGTGCACTGTCGCAGCTTCTTCTTTTCTGCGGCCTGTACAACTGGCGCTGGACCGAAACCGCCCTAGTACCGTGGCATGCCCCTATAGAGCATCTCAAATACCTGGCAACATACCTGCTGGACATCACCAACCTCGTCTACCTTACCGACAATCCGGGCCTCAACGTACAGTTTTGGGTTATTCCCCTGGAATACATCGGCTCGCTCACCATCTACGTAACGGTCCTGGCGCTGGCTGGTGTCAAGGCTCATTTCCGCCCGGCGGTTCTCGCCGCACTGATTGCTCCTTTTGTGTATCGTGGCCATTACAACACGTACACATTTTTGGCAGGCCATTTGATTTGCGAGATGAACCTTCTACACTCCCAGCGGGGAGGGTGGCGCTTTGGCCGACGCGTCAATGCTGCACTATTCTTTTTCGCTTGGTTTCTTATTGGTCTACCCGACAACTACTTTGATACCCCGGGCTATTCGTTCCTCTCTGCTCTCGAGCCGTCCCCCTGGGGAACATACGCGCAGCAAAACTGGCGAGGGCTCGCCGCCATCCTTTTGGTTTTCAGCATGAGCAATGACATCCGACTTCAGTCACTGCCCAACAGCCGGATCCCTCAATATCTCAGCACCATCTCGTGGGAAATTTACCTCAGCCACACCATGATATATCGTTTATGGCGGAACCCGCTCGTCAACTTTTTCATGAGCTGGTTCGAGTACGCCACTTTCGCAGGAACTTGGTTTAGCTTCGCAGCAAGCGGAGTAGTGATGGCGACGATAGTCCAGTGGGGCGCAGAGCGATTAAAGATGATTAACAATAAATTATCAGAGCTTTCAAAGAAGGCAGAAGGGAATCTATTGATGTAGGATACATAAGAAAAAGGAGTAGGGCATTTGCCGATGACTGTTATGGATTAAATCCAGTACAAGAGACCTGGTTGATTTGTTCTTATTGGTCTGTATATTCATGGTGATAAAGAGACTTGCTGTTGCGGTCGGATGACCCAAAGGGTTAGGCGCCGGCGTATGAAAGTCCACCCAACCATGTAGCTTAGCGATGTCGGCGAGCGCAATGGAAATTGCAGCATTGGTTTAGTGGTGGCGGGGGCCTGCCAATCAGGTCTGGTGATTGGATGTTGGGGTCCATGTGCAACGGAAACACGGGCCGGAACGCCCCAGGGTCTTATCAAGCATTGGGTCGTTTGATTGCTTCCTCAGCAGATCTGCGTTGATGCGCCGCATCACCAGAACTCGCAGATTTTCGTCTGACCCACAAGTCAGCGCTAAATATGTATACTGCAACGCCGCAGCATGCGTCCTTCCCAGCTCGGAATAGTTGCCTGATGGTTGCAATTAGCATGAGTCTTGATACAGAGTCTATTAGTTGGCCTTTAAGGGTCATATTTGTGCTCTCTATTTTACACATACTTGATGCGCTTTTGGGCAGAGGAAATTCGCTTCAGTGGAACGCTCTTTGTATCAGTTGCAGGATTGAGATCGTCTGCTGATCAGAGAAGTGGAGTAACCGCGACCCCGCAACAATACTTATCGCATTGCATAGCGCCACTTTCTTACAGCCGAAGTTCCGCCAGTGCTGCCTGCATTATCAGCAGTCCAGAGATCCGGTGGCTATATTATTTGCGCGCCTTGCTGAAAAATTCACTTCATTCATTCAGTGCCTCCCCATCGAAAAAGCCACGACAACGTTCTTCAGTTTACGCAATAGAACATGGCTTTCGAGGATGATGAACAGACCCCATTGATCAGACGTGACAAACAGGTGGACCAAGGGCGTTGGAACTCATCTACATTGAACGCACTCCGTGTAGCCGCCACCTTCTGGTCTTTTATCATTTCGGGGTTAAATGACAGCCTGTACGGGGTGAGAATCCTTCGTCCACTACACGTCATCTTCTTGCTAATAATATCACTCCTCAGGTTCTCATTCCACGGGTACGGTTTGACTGTCGCTTCGATTAAAGGTTACTCTTCGCTGACACGGGGTATAGCTGGAGTCCTTCTATGGCCTCAACCACACGACTGTTTCTCTGCTTTTCCTTTCGCCAGTCACTGGCTACATTATCGCCTCCCTTGCAAATCATTCTCTCCACGTTCGCCTCGGACAGCGCGGCATTGCCTTGATTGGAGGCTCTTGCCATGTGATAGCCTACGCCATTGCAAGCACGCACCCACCATTTCCAACCCTCGTCCTCGTCTATACGCTTGTGGGACTGGGCAGCGGAACAAAGCAAGGAGCATGGAACTCGTGGGTCGGCGGATTACAAAACCCGAACGAACTACTGGGTCTCCTGCACGGCTTCTACGGTGCTGGTGCTACTATAATGCCCATAGTAGCGAGCGTGCTCCTCAGTAAGCGGAACTGGCAATGGTTCGAGATTTACTACCCCTTCGTAGCTGTCGCTGCTACCGATATGGCGTTCTCTTCCTCCGTCTTCGCGACGCATGACGGAACCGCGTATCGGGAGAAGAATGGGATCCAGCCTGAGGAGGAACATACTCAGCACCGAAGCATGCGTGGACTCTTCGCTTCCATCAGACGCAGCCAGACTGTCGCTTGTCTCAAGGAAAAGGTCGTGCTGCTCAGCAGCGCTTTTCTGATCACCTATACCGGCTCAGAAGTTGCGCTTGGAGGATGGATGGTCACGTTCTTAATGGAGATCCGACAAGGTACAGCCTTTGCTTCAGGACTTGCCGTCAGCGGGTTCTGGGGCGGGCTCACCCTGGGCAGGTTTGTGCTGGGTTTTGTGACGGCGAAATTGCTTAACAGAAAGGGATTTTTTGGCAGCATGAAGTTTGTTGTGTCTTTCTATTTGGCCTGCGCAATGGCCATGCAGCTACTGTTCTGGCTGATACCGAGCTTCGTCGCGTCCGCTATTAGCGCCGCATTTCTGGGTAAGTCCTGCCAACTCCGCAACCGTTCTTCATCAAGCTCATTAATGGAACAGGCTTCTTCCTCGGTCCGTTATTTCCTGCTATTATTGTAAGCCTTACTACAGTCCTTCCAAAGTCGTTGCAAGTGCCTGCGGTTGGCATTTGCTCCGCTATTGGAGCGTCTGGGGCATCTTCGGTACCATTTGCCGTTGGAGCTATAGCGCAGGCCATGGGAGTGCAAGTGCTTCAGCCTATTATTTTTGCATGTCTTCTACTTTGTTTATTGCTTTGGGCTTCGTTCCCCGATCCGGACTCTCCGCTCGTTGATGTTGGGACTTCTTGAGAGAAATCATATCGCCTCATGCTGAACCTAGAGCAGTATTTCTCCTTCTTTTTTCTTTTGCATCCGTAGTTATTGCATAAAAGGGAGCGCGACCAGTTGGCTTAGAAGTAGCGACAATTTAGAACAAATTAAGACTACGATTGAATAAATTGAGTCTTCTCCAGTGTCACCTTGCATTGCCCATTTCATTTGCAGCGAACGGTAAAGCCGAGGGCCATTTGTATCGTTGACATTATCTATAATATTGAAAATGTTTCATCTCCAGCCCAACCGGCTACACTCTCATTCTCCAGCGCTTGCATTGTGAAATAGTACGTCGGCAAACAGGTCCTGTGAACATTACACCCCAATGACTTGATTTTGGAGCATAAGCATTCTACTTCGGGAGTTGAATGTGGTCATGCTCCTTGCCACACACGCGTAGCTCGCCCTCCCACAACTCTTTAAGGCATTGTTATATGAGTTGAACGTCCTCGTACTCCCTGCAAGTTTGAACCAGGGCTCGCAACAAGCGCAAGCGGATTGACAAGTGGCAATCAATCGGATTGGCAAGCGGGATTCTGAGGCCGCTTGACAGGGGTTTCAAGCGTTTGTCAAGCGTTTATACGTTATAATTAAGAGAAGGGACCACCGGGTAATCTCCTAGCGGTTCTTGAAGAGTAGCAAATACAAGAAAAGCATGTAACAGGCCTCGGTAATTTAATTCACGTGTGCAGATCACGGAGAAGCTGGATGTATCTACCCATCCGCTCATCCCGCAACCTCTCTTTCTTCCTCTTTGTACTTATATTTATACTTGATAGCAAATCAGGTCTTTGCTGCTTCACACAAAGAGGTGGCTACTCCACCCATCTGAATGCCCCTCGGGAGGCCGCTAGCCAGTACAGACAGATGTTAATACAAACACACTCCCTCTGGGTCGTCATGCCAGTTCAACATTTATGACCATGAACCTCACCAGTGCAACGATACATGTTACTGCCGTCTACTATCCGGTCTTATACCGTAGCTGTGCCATTATATTACACTACGACGGATGGTCCCATCTGTTCCCACAACGCAGGACCTGAATAACTTTCCCCACCAACAAGGCCACCCTCAAGAATGCCAATCCATCTGTCATATCCTGCAGGATCGACTATGGATCTATTAGCAGTAGCTGTGAAAGTGTAATTTCCAAGCGAGCCAGCGTCAATGTTAATCTCATAGCCTGCGATCGTAGCGTTGTAGTTGTCCGGAAGTGGATACTCGACACCTTCACCGAAGGGGCGGACGGTCACACCCGAGCAAGCTGAGTGGATAATCTTGTTATCCTGTGCGATATACGCGGATGCGACGACCTCGTTCGCCGTGTCGAGGTGGTAGAACCACACGACTGATAAGCTCCCAGCTCGGCCGTGACCCCAGTACCATTGATTGAGATAAGCGATAAAGTTGAAAGGCGCCCAATTCTGCGTCGGTTGAGTAAGAGTTGATAATGTAAAGTGAGTATTCTTACCTTGTCATGGTATCCGGAGCCCTGGAATGCTAGAGTTGTTCCGTTGATCTTGAGGTTGACGGAGGCCTGGGAATCAGGGATGGCGTTCACCCAGTACAGGTCCCAGTTCAATTTGAGAGTTTCACCATCAACAGCGGGGCCGCATGGGCCGTGTGCAGGTGCAATCTATTCATCCATTGTTAGAACCAAGCTAGATTAGCCCACAGTTGTAATAATAGTTACCGATTGCATGCGTATATCGCCGGAGATGCCAAGCTCGGGAATGTCCATTGTGATGATGTACTCTGAAAGATCTGGCGCTCCATGCCACGAATAGGAGCCATCCGATGCCACGCCGGAAGAAGCAGCGCCAACTGTTGAAACGAAAAGCTTTTCGCGCGGGAGAATAAATTCGCTGGAGGTGCCATTTTCGTAGGCGAAGTTTAATCTGAGATTGAGATAGTCGTTTGCCATATATCCAGCAACAGGTTGAAAGACGACGGCGGCGCTTGCGTCAGCAGCCGTTACATCGAAATACCACCATTCGTATGAGGTTGAGTTTGGTTGCTGAATCTGTACGCTGTCTATACCATTGTGTGATGCGGTCGAGCTAAAGGTGGCGGATCCATTGACTGGTTCGATTGGAAGTACAAAGTTCTCGGCATACGGACGTAGAGCGAAAGCTAAAGAAGCATAGTAGCTAAGAAGAATAAGGATTATCATGTTGAATGCCAAGATACACAGGATTTGGTGGAATTGATAGGCCTGCTTAAGATGAGTTTTTGAGAGACATAGACAGCATTTATAGTTAGAGGTAGGCCGAACAATATTACTACTCGGCTAAAACATATTCCGGGTTTAACTCAAGACCTTACTACTTTTTGTTACGGACTAACCTCCACAGGGTGAGGAAATTGAGGATAACCCCGTCAGGAGCGGTCGGTGCTACAGCACCCACAAGGTGGAGTAGAGGAGACGGAAGGAGCGGTATCTCCCTGAGATAATCGAGGGTCTCCAAATATAACCGTGGACTCCCTGTGATAACCATGGGTTCCCGACCTCCCTGTGACAACCATGAATTCCCGACCTCCCTACGACAACCATGAATTCTCAACCTTCCTGTGATATCTACGGATTCCCTGAACCTATCCGATTAGAAAGTCACTTCATATATACAAACCACACTCGCTTACAGTAGATAGAACTTTAGCAACAATTCAGCATCATTGTCAATAACACGGCCTTTACACATATAGTACTCTCAGTCGCATTACATGATCACCTCGATCTTACTTCTTATATCCCACATAGAGAAACCCCCTCGATAGGCTTTCTTTCTCTTCGGTGTTCAGATTGTTAGAGGTAGATGCTCGCCGTTACACTTATACATTCTAGATGTATACTACAATTACGTATCGTACAGCGTCTTATCTTACCTATATACACTAGGCTTTATATAGTTTAGCCTGCTCCTAAATACCGCTGACTACCGCCTATTACCGCCTATTACCGCTAACTACCGCCTACTACCGCCTGCTACCGCCCACTCCCGCCTACCAACTATAAAGGTAGGTGGTACTCATCGAGGGTTATGGTTTTGTAAGGGTTTTCCTACAAAAATTAGCGAAATTCCATTGAGTGGCAGTGAATGAGGTTTACCTTAAGAACCATGAATGACACCACTGATGGGCGGGCTTGCTTGCTGGAACACTCGGATAACATCTTGCGGGAGACGATGACAGCGGCAAAGCCGCATGGTCCCTTGTTAACACGACCATCCCTTTTCATTGATGCGTCGCGCTGGTTAATCAGATTGCCAGGGTCGTCAGTGGGCTAAGGAAGCCGTTTCAATCTGCAGGAGTGCGAAGACGTTTAAATCACGGAACAATGCCTTAGAAAGTTGTGGTAGGGCGAGCTACGCGTGTTTTGGAAGGATCATGACCAAATTCAACCCCCAAAGCGGGATGCTGATGCTCCAAAGGTGAGGAAGGAAAGGCTGAGTAGCATCAGAGGAAATGGGAATTGTGAGTTGACATTGTCATCGAATACATGAAGCCGTGACATGATGTTGGTCGAATGCAGTGGGAGAGGTCGAAGCGGAGTGGCTTGGGGCGGATTGCCGGGGAGTGAGAACAATATTGACCAATTTTGAGTATAATGACTTCGTTGATAATCTTCAAGTCCCGTTTGTAGTTTCGACAGTAGTAAAAAAATTTATCTGGGGGATGTCACGCCAGCTCTTGATTTAAACACCATAGGGTAACTCGGGATCATGGAGCGCACGTATGGGTGCTGAAGCGGGGCTGTAACGTATGATCGAGGATGGAAAAGCGGGGTTACAACATCTGTGTCAGATGCTTAGCAGAAGATCGGCCTTGGTCTCAGCTTTGTCAAAAAAGCAGCTCGCAATGCTCGCTGATATTGGGATTGATCAATTTGCTTCAATGCGGTAGGCTTGGTTCGGAGGATCGACACACGTCACCGCCTTATAAGGTCTCGCACAGCTGCTGTCTAAATTTCGTTTGGTTGCCTGGCTGCTTCTGCGACTCCAAATGGACGGCTGCAGAAAATGGACCCCGCTCGAGCTGACATGCAGGAGGGCCGGAGTCCTCCGCATCAGACCCGTGATAGTTAGCTCTTTGCCCCCCACCATTATCGGTCTTCCGCTTCTCCGGAGGCTGAATTTCAATCAAGTGTAATAGAGGTGCATGTAATTCTTCCTGCCTTGGGCCGCCTAGCCGTAGAAATGGTAGCATCAGGGATTCCTTTAGAGGCGGCGCACTCAGTCCTGCTTCCGATATCCACCGTAGTCTTACCAACGACGACTGTGGACCTTAAATCGGATATTGAGCAGCGTAGACTTGAGCATCAAAGAGCCGCAAATGGCACTTGTAGAACACCACATGATTCCTCTACGCTAGGGCCAGCTCCACAAACAAGAGTACCACGTCACTCTAATAAATTCGAAGATAGTCTTCGGGATATCAAATACAACTTTGGTTTCTACAAGGCTGAAACCTTTAGTGGTATGCTTCTTCTACAACCGACCATTATATTCTACACTGGGCGAATGGTTTGTGCTCTATAGCGTTTTTCACTGAGCTCTACAAATTAAAGCATGGTGGAGCATACATACAAGTTGTTTGCCGATATAGTATCTCGCACAGCAGATCAAGTTGCGGGGTGTTAAGGATTCAACTTGTAGCTATCTTAGGTCAAACACCTGGTTACACTGCGGAGAGTGGCTGTGTAATTCAGCTTCGGAGGCCGCACTAATACGACACGTCCTCTGTGCTCGGCTATACAGCTGGAGAAAGCAGGTGCCACAAACCAGAAAGCCATGCAAGATGCATGATAGTAAACTATCCGTTGGTGGGGTCTCAATATTCTGTAGTGTTGCACAAGTCTGGGTGTTGTAACGGCGGCCAGAATGTTCGCCCCAAAGACCCAAGAATGCCAAGTCCGGTCTGGGTTAGCTTGCTTTTCACTTCAAGAACGGTAACACAAGACCAGCTCCAAGGTCTTTGTTCCGCCTACTAGTGCCCCTCAATTCATCGATGACACTCTGCAAGATTGTAGAATGCGATCCACAAATACCGTCCGGAATCTTGGGTTGAAAAAAGGAAAGATCAATCAGTTATACCTACAAGGACTGAGACGATAATGTATCCAAAATATGCAGGCAGGATGGTGGGTATAATACTACATTTCTACAGAAAGAGGCAAGTCTCCGAAGCCTGCTGCCGACATCATAAAATTGGGGAACAGGACATTCAGAATGGTAAACGTAACCTTGTCTTTAGAAACGGAAGATGAATTGTGATTTTTGCAAACGGCTCTTGCGAGGTCGAGGTTTGGATTTCCATAGCACGAAAAAAAATTGCATGGGTTCCTCACGGTCGTGGTTCATAACGTAAGAAAGAAAAGGCTTTAAAACTGGTCCTGAACTCTTGAGTTGCTCGTGTGTGGCTGAGACACGGCAACAGCTAGCTGAGGAAAATCAACAAAGCTGAAATTGGACGCCTGTTGCTTTTTCTTGAACGCATTTACGGACCCCAAAAACCCACAGCAAATGCCAGTATTGGAAGGGTGGAACGTTTCGCATCGATGATCGCAAGAAAATGGACGGGAAAACAAGGGCAGTGATCTACTATTGTAGCACACTGCCACTCCTGTGCTCAATTATAAGCCTAGCAGCTACTATCCTCAGAACCTTCCTTCGATTGTGCTCTCATTCGGCCACGATGTCAAACTTTTAACCTCAGCGCCAACCCCCACTCGAATATCTTCCCATTTCCAACAACGGAACAGCACACACTTCTGACCGACTATGCACGACCTGCGTTTCCTTCTTAATGTTCGCACTCTACCTCACAATGCTCTGTGATGAGTGCGAAACATCTGACTACGGCCACGTAAAATCATATCAGGACACGAATTTCACTGCGGCTCAATGCGACTTATGCAAAGCGTTGATCGAAATTGAACAGGAAAAGTTTGCAAGTCGCTATAACTGCTCGATGACAGAAGCTCACTATCGCCTTCTTGCAATAAAAAGAAAGAGGAGGCCTTGCCGAATGGTTCTCGTTCAGAATTGCGGTCTTGTTGAGGTGCGAATACAAACAACGGAGACCCTCTTCTTCACCTTGCAGCTCTCCAGTGGTACTTCTAATATATCAAGTTAGCCTAGACGGTTACTGAACCTTTATCAGGCCCCCCGCCGTTTCAGGAAACTTCAATTTTCTGGAAGGACATCGACCATAACCCCGACTTCCAGATCGGAAAACGTTGGATTGAAGAATGTTCCACTTCACATAGGGATTGTTCAACGGGACCAAGATCCGCAACCTTTCCAACCAGGCTCATCGACACAAAGGCTGATGAGGTAGGGACAACAGACATACGTATTGTGGAATCTGCGGGCCACACAATGTCTTATCTTGCACTAAGCCACTGTTGGGGAACGACCACGCCTTTGAGAACGACCCAGGAGAACCTTGTCCAACATTTGCAAAAGATACAGTTCAATAGCCTGCCCTCAACATTCAAAGATGCAGTGCAAGCTACGCGCGAACTGGGCTTTCGATATATCTGGATCGATTCTTTATGCATAGTTCAAGACGACCCGTCAGATTGGGCGCACGAGTGCGAGGGGATGTGCGAGATCTATCGCAGCGCTACCGCCGTCATCTGCGGACCTACTGCAGGCAACAGCGCAGCGGGCTTCTTACACCCACGAAAACCCTGCAAATCAATGTGTGTTACCTGCACATATCAGGAACCGACCACAAGACGGCAGCAGAGTACTACATTCAGGCTCAAGCTCGGGAGGTACTCGGATCAGAAAACCCTTAATGGCGATGAGTGCAGCTCTCCCGTAGAGAGGCGTGCGTGGACCCTACATGAGAGGCTCTTGGCCCCGAGGGTTCTCTACTTTGGCCAGCATAGAATGTATTGGGAATGCAAGATGCATT